GTCCACAGACAATAAATTTCCAAGTGAAACTCCCGAGAAAATTCTGCCTGAGCCTTCGATAGACGCACACGTGTTTGCCCAGAGAGTGAGAGAGAGAGAGAAGCGAGAGAAAATTGCCTCAAGTTCAATGTTCTATTGACGGAGCTTTTTTGCGCCTCTCTCTCCTGACTCACATGAACGGGAAAGGCATGAAAATCAATTGCCCATCGCCAGTATTGGTGAGAAAAGTCCACAGTGACACAATGAAAACCCCCTGACCGTCCCACCCGCGCCATTCAGAGGACAAAAGAGACCCAAACATTTAAGTCATTGACCCTTTCTCACTAAATGAATGGACTCTTCACTAATTCCACCCCCTTTCGATCTCAAATACAACCAAGTGAAGGAAATTTTCGGAAGGAAAAATACTGACAAATCAGGAAAGAGTGTTTGGTTAGTCGAGAAGCAGCAGCATCACCACAGTGAAGAGGAAAAAATCAATACAAAAGAGAGAATGTGAATGGAAAAAAAATCAACCGAGAAATTGTGGCGCACGTTTGTGAAAATGCACAATTGGGAATTTAATTTAATGGGGAAAAATTCCTTCCGTCGCCACACGACAAATAATTAAATTTTCCAACGCCACCCACAACATAAGCCACCCCCGTGGTGACCCATTGGAATGCCTTATGAGGGGGTTGAAAAAATGCAAAATAATTGTGAAATCATCTCGCAATTTCTTTATCTACACAACCATTGGGAAAATTTTGCATTCTATCACATCACAATAACGCAATTCAAGTGAGCTTTTCGCTGCCACCCAGCAACATCACACAGTTTTCTCCCCGGCACTGTTTACGTTCTATCACGCAAGCGTCACCATTGGAGGGTGTTTCTATGGAGAAAAAGCTCTCCGTGAGCTTCTCACGCCTCGCAAAGCCCTCCTTCATCGAAAACACCCCCATTTACAGTGTAAACGAAAGAGACAACCACACACTCATATCCTTGAGATCAAAAGTGTATCACTTTCAAATGGAATTTCCTTGAGGAATGACCGTAAAAATTCAATTTCACAAAAAAAAAAAAAATCTGGCATCAAAATCGAATGTGTGGACAACCTTATCAGGTACTCTAAGCACCACAGTCCCCCACTTGTTAGCTCAGCTCACATTGACAGGCATATATTCGGAAGCGTGGTGAGATAATTTAGCGGTTTTTGAATAAAACACACATAAGCCAAATGATAATTTTCATAGCGGTTTCACAACTTAAAGCCACTCTGCGTGGACTGAGGAAAAAACAGACGCTCTTTTTACTCTTCTCCGCTGAATACGTCAGTAGAGAATCATGCAATTGTCCATGTCACATGTTATTTGCAAAAAGAAGCACCGTCTAATGAATATTTTTGTACATCAACAGTGATTGTTTCAGTGAGCAAAAGTTCTAAAGCAGTCTCTCAACACTTGTGGAAATTAGATATTTTTATAGTTGAATTATACTGCTAATTTACATTTCTTGATAAATCTCTCTTTAAATAATAATTATTCATAATGTTTAACTCAACCCTATATACTAGATGAAACGTCCAGTTACTCCTTCCAAAACGATAACCATTTATCACAGATATAAAGAATGAGAGTATAATTTTTTGGCGTTTCATTATAGAGATTGAAAATTTGATTTCCTTCGCGGATTACGACTACAGATTAATAAAAAACAGAAAATGTTGATTAAGTAATGTCTTTTTTTTCGAATAAAACAACGAAATAAAATTTTTTTTTTGAAATAGAAGTTTAGTGAATATAAGTATGAATATTTCTATGATTTGTAAGTGTGGTGATCGATAAATAGTTTTCCTTTTACCATAACGAGACACTCTATAATGACAATATTTTCACCATTTTTGGCCACATTGAATCCCCACATATGATTAATGTACAGATGATTGAATAATCTCACGATTTCCATGAGTATAGTCAATGAAATCGCCCCTGAGAGGAACTTTCTCGTGACATTTTTGCCAAGTGCAAGATAAAAATCAAGAAACATGACCAGTCACAGGGAGTGACGAATAGAGATACTCAAGTGATGGAGAGATCACCCCATTTTGTGGGGCATTGTGGAATCTCTCCACAGCATTCATGGCGCAAAACGAAAAAATGGATGGCCAAACAGGATGAGGCGAAGAATGGGATGTGCTGAGAAGATAGAATTGAGTGAAAAATAGTATGGTATGCCTCTGTGATGCTGCTGTCCCCCAAAAATGCTGTTCACATTCGACGCGGAATTTACATGAGTGTGTGGTGTGGAGAGAGCAAAACAGATGCGACGATACTTTAATGCCAAATGTGACGTCACCACTTGCTATCAATCCCCACTTCTGAAAGCACACGACAGAGACAGTGCAGAGGCTGTGCGCGTGTGTGACTGAGATGGCGCGTAGGTTTCGGGGACGCCGTGACAATCGTGTGGAAGCCAAGAGAATCGACCAAGTAAAAGCTCTCGATCAATATTTATAAAGTTGCGCGACGCCGACACAACACGGCATTCGCCCCCCACGTCTCCTGTGGAGCCCCAGCATCCACATTGACACCATCTCAGGCGCGTCATCTCGCTCAATCGCGCGCCACGTGATATGCGCCAGAGAGAGACAGGCAGTGCTCACAGGCCTCCATGAAAAATAAAAACACACACAGCGCCAAAAACAGAAATGTATGGATTTATTCATGGTGTGTCCCCGCTTCTGTTGCCTTAACAGTACCCCCACCCCCGCCGTCTCCCGCTCCATTCGCGTAGCTCAGTTGAAAAGTTGCTTGGGATTTGTTAATAATATCACTTACACAATACTTGAGTTTTGTACTGCCATTGAATGAATTGTTGTGGAGTAATAAAAATGCACACAGCACAAAAAATATACTGTACTTGTGGGAGAAACGGTTGTGTATACGTAAAAAAAATCAGTCTTCTTAAGAGGGACACGTGGTGAAGGAGCCTGAGAACCTGTCTCAAAATTCGTCACTCAAATCATACTTGAAGAGATTTGTTTGCTATTTTACCTCGAAATAAGGCCCTTAAGTTCGAAATGATCTTGATGACATTCAATGAAAATGTTCCACTGTTAGCGCAAATAACCATCACAATTCTAACTGAAACGAAATAACCCTTCCAATATAAATACCAATGCTTCAATTTGCCTTAAATGTCGATTAAAAACTTGTGAATTCAATTTTATCCCCTCGTGATCTTTTGTTCATTCATAAATCTCATGCCAACACGAAAAATGATCTTACACAATATTATATGCCTTCTTTAAAAGAGAAAATGAGAAATTGTCTCTTGTTGCATCACGAAAAATCCCCCACGGCTCGTTATACTCCACACCACACACAACATCCCAATCCTCATCCTTGTTTATCCTTTCTCACACACAATCCTCGGCATTAAGAGAATGTCACATTTCTCGTGAATCGTCACGATTTCGGAGGGGCTTTGTTTTTCCTCCACACCCACGGATTAATTTACCTTTTTGTCGCCGTGAGTTGAACACTCACACACAATTCTCGAGCTCATGGAAAAGTCATTTCAGTGAGAGTACTTACAAATGAGTAAAACTACACGACATTAAGTAAAAGTACGCAATCGAAGGCGCTTCAAATATTGCAAGTATGTATCTAATCTCGCACACTTTTCAAATATTCCTGCAGCTCTTATCTTTTAATCAGCTGGAATTTCTTATTCAGGTTCAGCACACTTCAACACTCCTTCAGAAATATTAATGGCAAAATAGGAAAACAGAATGAAAGTGTGTGCGGTAAATTTGGTTATCAAAAGGTTCTTGATTGTGAAAATATTAATGCGGAGAAAACTTCAAAAATCAGATCTGAATACAACGTGCGCCTAATTTCAGACTGATCCCGAAGATTAAACCGTTTTGTTGGTTCCTTTTCTTCATTCCAAAAATCCAATGAAATTTTCTCCTTCCATCTCACTGTTCAATCTCTGCCCTCTCGCTCATCACACAGAAAGTGCATTTGAAACTGCATTCAGTCACGCAAATAGATTCACTCAGTGCGTCACTCACCATGAAAATTGCACATACATATATACAAACACTGTGTGGAAACTCTCCAAGCTCACTATCTATGATCCACATAATTGTATTTTTCATTTCAAACTCAACCATCTTTCTTTCTTCCATACACGCATAATTAGAGTTGAGATGAAAAATAAAATGAGAGAAAAACAACAATATCAAGTGTGAGGAGAATGCATCGTGAAAAATTCACTCCACGCCTCAAGATCGCGAAAAAGTGAGTGAAAAAAAGAAATTTCACATGAGAAAGTGTCTCAATACATGCAACATGATGCAATTTACTGTCACGAGAGACGAGTAGAAAAAATAGTGAAACAGCAAAAATTATATCTACTTAAGCCTCATGTGAAACAGTGTTATCTCCAGACGTCACCGAAAGAAACTTCTATATTGTTCCTTTCCATGTTTTGTGATAGTGATTTTTTGCACATTGAAATTTCTCACCGATCTTCTTTCTCAAAATCATACATTTTAACCCTCAGAAATTTTCATCTCAGACAGCAGCAAATATCTTGATCCATATTAAGTTGCACCCTTTAATTCTTATGCAAATTTTCAGACCAAATTTGCACATGAATCCTCCGTATGAGACCGCCCTAATTTTGCATGAGAAAAACCATCTCAAGACACCGTAATGCCGCTGTTAGAAAGGATATGACCGAAGGAACAATATCTGATTAATCGATTAAAGATGAGAGAGAGAAATCCTTTTTAACGTTTACACCAATTGATTTAAGAAACAGTTTATCATGATAAACTCGACCATAAGACTCAGAATTTAATCTCAAGCAATACAGGTGAATTATATTTGAGGTGCTTCATCACATAAGGGCAAACAAGAAATTTTCTGAAGCTACTCTTCAGTGCTTCTCTTTATCAAAAATATTATTAACCAATCAAGTCAATTATCAAATAATTGTGAACTTACCCTGCATTTTCTGCTGCCGCAATTGACATGTGGGGTTCATCTGTTAGCTGCACGGGTGATGGACCCTGCGAAGGCGCTGGTGGAGCTGAAGGACGCTCCGTGGTCGCTGTAACGCCAGCCACCTGAAACAAAATAGCAGAGAGAGAGTGGTATTAGGCATTGTCGCGCTGTTTCTTCCATTTTCTATCGATCGTTAGACGCGTAGCGCAGAAAGCGCCCAAATTCGATCATTCTAATCAGCCTTTAAAGCTGAAAAAGATAAGCTTCATGGCCTCTCCTTCTTGCCCACGAAATCGCCGCTGTGAGATGAAGAACACAAGATAGATGTCTAACGAAAAACCACACACAGAATCATCATTCGTCAAACCGGTCTCAACCGTAGCGGTTCCAGAAATTGCATCTGTCTCGAGAATCTCACATAGCCTCTTCGCGGTACCCCAAGCAAGAGACCCATTTATTGGCCCGTGGGCTCATGGATGAAAAATTATAGGTCACTCTCGTGGCCACGACGCGCTCCCGCGGAATTTCTCCAGGTGATTTCTTCACTTTCATGGCTCGATTTTATGCTAATTCTCCAGAGCTATTTTAACACGTCGACGCCCACCTCGAGTCATGTTCGCCGTTATCTCACAAATTACTTTAGATCTCTATCCATTTCATATGCATATCTAGAGGAATCTTTTACATTTCTCACAACTGCCTCCATACATTTCTCCAGATTATCTCTCCACGCTGAGATTTTATATCATTTTAATCGCGACAGAGAGGCGCTCATCACCGTTAATGCTTGGACAACCTATCCCTGTATTAGATAGCAAATCATCTATGAATTTACAATTATCATAAAAGATAAACTTTTAAAAGTTAATCAAAAATTCTGTTAAGCATTTTTGCAGTGTTTAAACTTTGCTTCATTTACTTTTTTCCTTCGCTCCTGCCAATCCTTATTCCCCCAAATATTCTTCTGACATTTAATAAAGAGGAATTAAAAATAATTATGTACATGTTGACTTTAATGTGACTATAATTGGGTAACTTTATTGGTCACTCATCTTTTCGCCTCGTTTAACATTTACCATCAATCTTTTATAGTCATTCACAATTTTCTTAGACTGACTTTCATGGTGAATCACATTCAAAATTCTATCAATATCCTTCTTCTACACTTGTCAATCTTAATTGCAAATGACTTCTATCTCCTTTAAAACACTTTGCCTGTTTTCCTCCTCGGCATTTTGGCCGAAACATTTGCAATAGCATTAAAAGAACGTCCAACAGACACTATATTTCGCTAATGATGAAAATTAGAATTAAGTCTCTCTCACACATTCAGATGAAATTATTAGTTGAAAAGGTAGTTAAGTGCATGTCATCCTTATTTCTCTACAGCGGCGCTCACTGAGCGCGAGCGAGATGGCCGGACTGGCAAAAATAGACAATGTTTTTTTCCAATGCTCCATCCCCCCATCTCATTCTCCCATTCGCTATCTTCACTGCCTGCTTTTTTTCTCTAAATAATATTTTAGACTTTTATATTTTTAATTGACTCTAGCATATCTCCCATTAATTCATAGTCTCTAATTGGATTGCGTGGCTCCGTGGCTTTGTGTTGTATTTCATACATATGAATCTAATTATTTTTTCTCCTTCTCTCTCTCTCCCTCTCGCTTGCTCCATCTTACTCACACTCCTCATCGCGACCAAACAACTTGTAAGGTATCCAGGCATTCCCTCTCATTCGCACCAATTCCTTTCCCGATTCTTTCGCGCTTCTAATACGTTAGTCATAATCGCAAACAAACAACACCGAACAACCGAGGTGTACAGCATACCATCAATATCTCGGCTCTTCCTCTGCTTCCCCGTCAATTTTCCGTCTATCTCGTCTCCCGCCCTCCCAACTGTTCGTGTGAGGTGCCACAAGAATAATCACAGTGCCTCGCCTCTAAGAAAAAGCTCTAGAGCTCGCGCGAGAGAATTGTAAAGTAACTAGTTTGTTTCCAGAAGTTACACACTCATTATGTAATTTAGCGTCTTGCTGAATTAGCCTTTTCCTTCTCTCACCCAGCATTATGCTCTCATGCTGACACCCAAATCCAGCTCCACACTCGCGCATAATATTATGTCCATTTTATTTGCAAATCGTACCAATTTGTCAAACTTCTTTTTTATTCTGCCACCTCTTCTACAATTCCAACCGCCTTTTGCCTCGCACTCGCATGGCCATCCGAAAAAATAGGCCCCACTTGGAGGCCTCTCACCCGATATGCTGGGGGGAGGGGAAAAGCCCAATGGAAAAGCGACACAGCTGAAAAGTATAAAATGGAAATTTATGGAAATGGAAGTGTAGCTAATGTACCTCATCCTCCATTTCTGAGCGATCAAAATTTCAACGAAAAACCACAACCTTGTGGAAACTTTCAATTAGAATCGCTAACGGTTTTGAGAGTATTTTCAGATAAATTTACTGGACACCCTTTTGCTATTCCCTTGTCAAAGATGGATTGCACAGTTTCTTTTTCTTTATGTTTTGCATTTCTATTATTTTGTATGCATTAATCATTCTCAATTCCGATCTGTCTCACAACCATTGATTGCATTGTAGATAAGAGTTTATCGGATTCGCTCAAAAACCTAACAACTTTGTTCAACTTCCTCCCTATCAGGACGTGTGAGCTAGACCTAATTTAGCATTTCTCTACCGCAACGCAATCTAAAATAGTCGGAAAACCACACAATCATGAAAACATTCCACAAAACCCACAAAACTTCAATTGCTTCGAAGACACATTGATTGAGCCCTCATTTTTCTCTTAATTCTCCTCTCCGCACATACACACTTCACACATGGTAGCAAAAAGCGCCGAAGAACCATATAAAATGAGCGACACGGCCAGAAATCATTCTTGTGGTCTTCACGGATGTCCTTGGATATTGTAAAAACCAGCAAATTCACAAGAGAGTCGATTGTTTACGCGCGCGAGAAAATGGGCAAAAATCACCCATTTTCCAACAACAGTTTTGTGTCCCCTCTATTGGGTGAACACCTTTTCGCAGGTGATTCACTCTATGCGAACAGAAAAGTGGAGACGACAAAGGGAGGCAACGCGCGCCATTGGGTCGATTTCTTCTAGATCGAATGGAGGCGTACTAGTGTCTCGAAAGTGTCTGGAAAATGTCTAAGTGAGCCGCCAATTGTGGGTGTTAAATGGCAAATATTGAGTTGTACGTCGGGTGGTGCGACTTTAGTACCCTTTCTGGCCTCATTTGTACTCCATCAATTGAGCATTTTTCTTTTTCCTCCTCCTCCCAACCATTGTTTATGGATTCTTTGTCGCGTAGCATTGATTCGTCATTGTGACACTATTTTCCTCTCCTTACCCGCAACCGGCCACTCATCAATCGCGTATCTGCCTCAATTCAGACATCAATTTTTATCTATATAGATTGTTTATTGATGCCCCTCTCTGCCACCCATGAACCTCCATCATGTTTCTCATCAATGATAAGGTTGCAATGATTATTTTTGTGGTGGATCGAATACCACCTGTGAACAAGAGACGTCGCGTCAATTCTTCTACTCTCCCCCTTGCACACACACATCGCTCCCAACTCATTCCGTTCCACTCTCGCCTCCTTCCACACGGCTTATGTAATTCCAGAAAATTGAGAGATGAAATAGATTTAATACATAACCTGTGACTATAGATTAGAACCAATGGTGAGAGAATGGATGGAAACTTTTGTATTTCATATCTTCTCTCTTGCCTCCGTTTTTGCCTTCATCAACACACCAAAATTCACTAAAATGGAACAAATTCGCGAATTTTATTTCAGCACCGCAAAACACACGCTTCTTTCATAATTAATATATTTCGCCATAATCCTTGAATTTAATAAAATTCACCAATGATTCCCGTCCATTTCCTTTGCCAACGCACACTTCCTCGACGATTAATTGACTCCGTTTTTATAGGAAATTTACCAAATTCGACCGGATGAGAATTGAGAAAAAATATATGGGAAAACGTATTCACTTTGGAGAGTGAAAAGATTTTGAGAAATCTTCTTTTTTCTTGTAAATCTAAGAAAGCAGCATCACATAGTACCTACATTTTTCTTATATTTATGCCAAAGTCAAGCAGTAAGACTCTCGTTTCGCGCGAGGTTAAAGTGAACATGTGACCTTAGAATTCTGTTGCAACCCCGTGTTTTTATCTATAAAGGAAAAGCCTATCCAAATTAGCCCCGCTCTACACTAAACTCAATAAATCACATGGAAAATTAAGTGTCTCCTTTGAGCACTTTTCTGTCCTCTGCCTTATTAGCATTTAAGTGTCTTGTCTCCTAACTTGAGCTGATTTAATTATACATGTTTAATTCACTCCACCACAAAATGTGACGTGCCTGATAAACTCAGCCAGGCGGAGTGGGCAAGAAGTGTGGAATAAAAGGAACATTACACAAATTCCTTCTCCCTTATCGTCACCAACATACTTTTAAAAGTTTGCACATATTTAATGCTATATTTATCCAGCTATCAGTCGTGAAAAAGTGCCCATTTCAACCATATTCTCCTCTACAATACCTATTGTGTTGTGCCTCCAAAAACGTCTTCGCGAATCTCGCGCGCGCCTCCAACACTACAATGGAAAAGCACCAGTGACTTGGTGTGCATGTATTCTCCAAGCCACGAAAGCAACTCATGCACAACCAAGTGCCTTGCAACACCACCAAAACATCTTTTTCGCAGTGCTTCTCGACTGAAAACTATACCATACCTATTACTATTCTTCGCATACAGTCCGCAATTATAGCTATTTTTCCACATCTCGCTTGTTGCTTTTCCTTCGCTTGTGAAAAACCACATGCGAAAATCTCTCCCCTCCCGAAAAAACAGTGACATTTTCTATTAATAGCTGCTTTTCTTCTGACAATTTTCCCATATTGCCAAACCATGAAAACTCCCTCAATATTTACTCGGCTAAAGAGAGAGAGATAGAAAGAAAATAGCAATACATTGCTTATTATACGTACACTGTTAGGAAAAGTACCTTAATCTTATTTTCTCCTCAGCATTATAAAGCCACTAACCCTGAAAAGTGTTACCCTATTTGAGCAAATTGTAATTCTATTAGCACTGGCCACATTGCCACTAATTCCCCACGACACAACTCAAAATTCGTGCTCTTTTTAATTGTACCTCATTCTCAATTCATTCCCTGACACTGAATTGGCCAAGACGCCACAGGTGATACAATATTTCATAATTCTCTTCCCTACACTTGGCCTCTCCAACACCCTGACAAAAGTGAGCCGTTGTCAATATTTGTGAGGCATTTTCGACATTTTAGATGAATGTGCAAATAATTGGATGGCAAGTTGTCTCTCTTCTCTCAACAATTACCTGAGAAATTACTCTTTTGTCCAGTTTATGGTGGAAAAATCTTGATTTTAGGACACTCTTTTTGTCCCAACTGCACTACACTGTCAAAATAAAATCGCAGGACAGAGTATTTCACAAATATCAGGATCACCAGTCCTGTTTAGTTGTTAATAAGGGGCACCGCGTAGAGGTGCAAGTAAATCATCCAGGTGAATTCTTTTCCATTTGGAAGAACAATTTTATAACCACAAATACACGCAAGGTGGCAATTTTTCCAACTAACAACTGTCACTCATCAGCGGAAATCACTTGTCAAATTGCGATGATCGGTTTACTCTATATTTTTCAATTATTTCACCATGAATTTCACATTATTCCTCAACACACACAGCGTGAAAATTCACCAAATTTCAATTCATCATCCACGAGAAGAGAAAAAAGCCTCAATTCCAACACATTTCCATGTATTAGTCATGTACCTGTGTCCGAAAATCCTCCACTGTATTGGATGGAAAAAGTGTGTCTGTGGATTTGCATATAAATCACCTTTGTTATACAGTTGCAATTAAATTCTTATGTATTTTCATCACTGTAAAAATACATTCCACGTCACTTGAATTTCATACTCGCTTCTCAACCACTCTCACACATTTTCAGTGGCACATCATGGGGAAAAATGCACGTCAATTTGAGGCGACACTTTTTCCCTACCCCAAATAATGTTACACCTTTCCGGAACTCCAGACCAAGGGAAAATGTTACAACTGTCACTCTATATCCACTACACCTCACTTTTTCGTGGCTCAAGGCAGTGAATTTCGTGTTTTCCACTATTCAATATCCTTTCCTATCGATTTTTCCGACCTCAATAGCCGTTATCCTTGATTTGTGGGCGCGCAATAACGTCACTACCAGGAGAAAGTCTCACCTCTGGAGGCCAGAGGGATCACAGTACCAAAAAATCAAAGGTAAAATATGCCCTAAAGTCAAATTGAATTGATAGCAAGTGTGGAAAAAAAGGCAGATATATCACCATCCAACCGATATGAAATGCGAACTCATACTGAAGTCGGGTGCTACAAATTGCGTCGTCAGAAAAATTGTCAAGTGCAACGGATAGATGCACGTTGTCACATGAGAGAGTGAGTAAGAGCAACCGGTCGGATGGATCACGAGAAGTGGGGAGCTTTTGGTGACGACACACACGCGCAACTAACACAGCACACAGTCTACCGTCGAGTCACCTAGCTCTTCACCTCCTTTTCCCAACACTCTTTCACTGTAGTACGCCTTGAGAAACACCAACCACTCAATACACACGCAAATCACTCAAAACTGCACCTCTCCCATTCGCTCGCACGCCTGCCGCATAGGACAGAGTGGACCCAATATAAATCCCAAAGCTCCACACATTCCCAAAAGTATCCAAAATTTCACATTAAATAACATCTATTTAATATTAAATTTACAGGGTGAGCCAGAGCTGTTTGCACTCACCCTCAAAATAACCTCACCTCGCTTCACCAGATTCATTTCTGGACAAAACCAAAATACCGTGGATGTGCCAATTATCCCTCGATACATCCACTTTTCATTCCCCATCCCAGCAATGAAGAAGTGTGAAGCAATGAAAATATTACAAATTCATTTGTCGTCGCAAGGTTATCGCATCAATGACTTCTATAATCTTAGAGCTGCAATCTTTTTTCGCCTTTTTCCATCGTGTGTCTTTATAATCTTCCTTGCCATATATTGAGTGATTCTCATCCACGAAATTCACTCAAATCCACTTTCAGTGTAGGAGTGCTTTTTGACAGTGTAACGTGGGACCTTCATTCAAAATATTATATGTGCATTTTATAAAATAGTCATTGTGTGTAAGACAGTGTAAATGGCTAGAAAAGTGAGGAAAACTTTATTCTCGTGAACACTTGAATGTGCCCATACAATCCTTTATTCTATCACTTTTCAACAAATAAAGATTTTTCGTGATCCACCCGCTTGTCTTTAAAGGGTGTGATAATGACACCAAGTCAAAGGCAAAACCAATTTATACAATTCTAATAAATAATGGTTTTTTAAAGTACCCAATGCCCCAGTGAGAGTTGTAAAAATTGTCAGTTGAGAAACTGGACTTATAGTATACAAAGGCCTAGGGAAAGAAATCAATCCTCTCTGGGAAAAGAAGCCCTGAATGATTTATTGGAAAATAAATTACGTTTTTATATTATTACTGGTTAAACTCCTTGGGTCATTTAATATCCACTGTTATGAATTTCTTCGGTGAATTCCTCTCATATTGCCTTCTGAAGATTTATTTATAGTTTCAATACAGGAGAAGAGATTGAAGTAAATTGGGTCAGGATAGGAAGTGAAACAATTTTTTCCTCCCACCCCTCAACCCTAATTAATCCCAATCGAATTAACCAAGGACTCAGTGAATTTCCCGCGAGGGGATTTCCTCACAGCCCGCACATTTTGTGCGAAAAACCTAATGCATTTTGATGTCGAATTTTGTGAACGCATATCGAGAGTGATTGTCTGAAATAGAAAAGACAACATGAGTCAAGATGAAGAAACTCCGTGTCTATTTTTGGCATTAAAATTTCTTTTTCCTAACCATTCATTTGAGTTTGTCGTAGGAAATTTCAGTGTGGGTCTCTCATGTTGAAAATTCCACAGCAACACAGGCGTCTTCTCACTCTCGATGGTGGTGTGAATGCCAGAAAAATTTTTGCCAACGCATCTCCTGTGTCATTGTGAACATTTTCCATTTGCATTTTCACATGTATTTGTGGCAATTTTGTCTCATTTTCCATCTTCCTTTTCACACCAAAAATAGCATCCACTTAGACCGGAGAGCGCAATTTTTCACTCTTGACATCCCATAAGTACAGAGTACAGGAAAGTTTGTCATGATTTCTAAGCTTTTCTTGCCAATATTGATTGAAATGTGGAGTTCCATTTCGACCCTAAATTCACAATTCTAAGTCCTCAACTTATTCGTTTAATTCATTAAGTCTCTGCAGAAGTGAATAGTTTTGAAAAATTTCGCAAATATATATAATAGAAGCTTGAGCAATAAAAAAAAATAAATAAATAAATTCCAATAGATGCCATGATGTGTACATGTATGTGTTGGAGATCCATCTCTCCGCCATCTATTTCATTCCTTTTTCTCTTCTTGGCTCTCTCATTCGACTTTTAAATCATTTGGGTTGCTCATGCTCGAATTTTCTCATTTCACACAAACATTCGTCCCAATAAACATTGCAATTACCAGTGAATGCTTGAGATGATCACCAGAAGCGTCTTGGTAATCCATTGACCCTCCCGCTGAGGTCCTTAACACGATTTTTCACCATTTGTTTGCTCACTGGTGGTGCCTTTTTTCTCGTGGTCGCCAAAAAGCTCTCACTCTCTCTCTCACAGTATTTCTCTCTTACCCGAAAGTTGCGTAAAACAGCAAACCTCCATCTCGTTATACGATGGTTAGCATCTCATGCTATATGGGGAAAAGCGTAGTGGAAAAAATGGGGTGAAAATCTCAAGCAAATCCACCACCAACTGTGAGTGTCTTTCTTCCTGTTGTGAAAGGAAGGAAGGAAGACATTGATAATGACGACAAACTCAATAAATCCATTTCTCCAACCACTCTTCATTCCTTTTTTTTTCTATTTTCCATGTTTTTATTGGGAAAAATCCTATCATGACTCATTCTCATATTTAGACTAAGAACCCACTGACTGAGTGCCTTCAAACCAAGCAAATTTTGAGGTTATATCGAGCTATAACACCACATCTAACCAAGAATTTCTGGAATCCTCCCTAAACTGGTTCCATGTTTGCTGTTATCGAATTGTCAGACTTGTCACGACTCTCGCAACAGTGTTTAAAGCGTAATATCCGGACAATTGAATTCCCCCTGTGATATTGTATTCGGATATTCAGATGCACAATTTCGCGTATTTCTTGTTTGACGACCTTTGCGCGAGAAGAAAAAAATAACGTCACAAAATATAATGACATATCGCGAGTATAAATTTTGATAGATGAGACGTCAATGTCACTGGAGGTTATTTTTAGCCAGTGGATGAGATAAAAAATTTGTACTTTTCATGTATTTTCCTCAGTGCGATACTCGTGTGCATCACAAAATAATGGTTTTTATTCGTGGGTGATGTCAAAGTATAATATTAAAATTTTCCCATGTTACCCACATCGACAAAGAACATGATTTCCAATAATCTCTCGAGACAACCTATCATATATTTATGCATTCATGTCAACAGTGTTGAACTTATTGGATAGATCTTATCACATTCAAACAACGTCCTCTACGTAATGGAGCACTCACTGGAGTGTCTCAGGGGAGAGACACTTGGCAATTATCAATTTTACTGACGGCAATGCTCGTTCACATGTTCCATGGGTTCTTTTTCGGCTCTCGATCAATTGGCCTTAGGTATTAAATGTCAAATATTACACATTTTCCTCTTTATGTTTCATAAAACTGACGAGCCAAGAAGACAAGCATACATTTTAGACAAATTGAAAAGAATTTTCTGCAAATATCTTCAAGTAGAAAAAGAAAAAAAAATTTAATTCGTTAATAAAAATATAGAAAAATTAATATCGAGTTTTTTTTATCATTTAAGATTGCTTTTAACTTATTCAACTTTGAACAACTGCAATATCTTACAGTATTTTATCTTGATAAACACTTCTGATTCACTGAAAACTGCTGATTTCTGTGGCACCCGCGTAAACTGATTTCTCCACAGATCTATTTCGAGAGCATTTCATTTGCAGAAATGAATGATGCAAATGCTGCAGTTAGTCGGCAATTAAGTATAGAGGAACGTGAAAATTGTTAGGGAAATTCACCAATCGATGGTGAGATATCAAAACAAGTGGAGTGCCAAGGAAATAAAGCATGACTGTGGAAAGTCAGAAATAGTTCTCAAAGTCAAGGAAATTCAGTCCGAAATTCCAATTTTATGTTTGCCTCTTCGATTGCCATCGTTTTTGTCTCCTGCATTCACCCGAAAAGTAAGTGTAACTCAGGTAGAGAAAGATCAACTGCAGTGACTAACAAAATGCCCAATGCATTCTCTGCCTGCCTGGTTGGCCACTTCCTCAGGGGTGAACGGCACGCAAATGCACTCTTGCTGTAAAGGAATATAAATTACACTCTTCCAAATTGTTGAGAAAAGGACTATTGTAAGTTGACGCAAAATAACCTCCACATTCAGTTAATAAACACCAAAGTTTCCAAAAGACATGTGGTTTCTCTAAACAAACTTATGTAACTTTACATTGGGCCAATTTCAAAGATTAAATGCAAACACTTCTTGTTCTTGTAAAGTCTATTAAAGCCCTCAAAGTCCTTTCTCTACTTGAAAAGGAAAAATAGCTTTAAACTAAATTTCTCTTAATGAATCTCCAAGTTAACTTGTCTGAATTTAATCAGTGTTCATTAAAAATGCACTAAATTTACATCATTTATTTTTAATGGCTCAATATAGCTACACTTTTCCCTCCCCTTCAAAAAGCACATACCCTTTTAGAATGTACCTCACATTCACATTACTAAAAACACATTTTTCCCTTCTCCCTAGAAAATCCTCGAGTAGCACAGAAACGAAGACTATAATTGAAAGAGATTTTTCACACTTTTCGACTGAATTGCACTTTCTCAGGCGAAGACGCAAATGGAAAAAATACATCAAAAGAAAAGTACGCAAAATCGAGGGAAAGATTTCGTATTCATGAGAACGGATAAAAAATAATTATTAATTTCGCTCTCTTTCACTCTCTTCATTATTTTTTTTATTTACTTGTCTTTTCTTTCGCCTTCTTCATGATCTGAATGAAAAGACTCTCTTTCAGTGTTGGCAGAAAATAATAATACAGATGTATTAAAAATGTAAGTTGCCTCTTTAATGATATATAGAGAGCTCAACCCTGAGCGAGAGGAGATGAAGAAGAGAAAAAATGAAGAAATTTGCTGTTTCATGCATTCTGCAATGTTACAGTCAGAAAAATTGTGTTTTCTTCTCCAATGTTTCTGCATAACATCATGTAATTTGCTTTACGATGAATATGACTCTCGCACTTTTACACTATACTTTATATTTACATTGACAATTCTGATTATCACTATACATAACTTCACTTTATTTCAGTTTAGTGCTTTGTGCATTCGGAATAATCCCTTGGCAGAATTTTCGTTTTATTGTGAAACTAGAAATTAAATGTAAAAGTATTCTTAGACTGCAAGAGAACTTAGAAAAACCTCCCAATAAATCTCATTACAGATTTTTTTTCCAACTCAAAGAATTATTAATTGTCCAGCGATGACTAATAAATTTGTGCAAAAATACTTTTCAGTGTTCAATAGAGGGTTTCGCGAACAAAAGCCGCATCAAATATGAACAAAAACACCATGTTCAATCATGTGAATAATTCTGCATACACTCATTTTGTCTCCAAGCTACCACAATTACACACTTTGTCAATAAGGGCAACATTTCACTTGAATTCAGACATACTTTTTGCGATTATTGATCCCCAAATTTGGCAGCTTTTCATCCATCATTCCCAACGGATTCTCCCGAAAAATATCTCTACACAGTGTAAACATTTTATGTATTTCTTCAATATGAGATGTTGCAAAAAAGTCGTTTTTTTGTGAGTAATTTATTCCTTCACGCTTTGTGTTGCAATAATTATTATGAATTTCTGCTGGCACCGCTGGCACTATTGAGTACACACATGAGCATACATTTTTTTCCCTGTGTCGGTGCTTATTTTTCTCAGAGTTAAATCTAGCAGGTAGATTTTCAAAATTCATAATTTGTCAAGATAAAAAAAAAATGTATTTTATTTTAGGCAAAATGAGTAATTGTCTGCATTCCTGGAAAATGAAAATCCCTTCAACTGTACGTCAATTAATGAGTGAAAACACGAACAATTGATGTCTCTTTCCGAGTTTCTCGGAAAATTCTGTGGCTTTTGTCGGTCTTCCACGAAAGGCGCTCAAATTATGCCTCAATTGAGGTATATTTTGATGTTGTGTGGACAAGTCAATTTCGAATGGAAAAGAGCCGTGACAAAACACGCCAAATGAGAGTGATTTCCACAAAAGCAGTGCTAAACTGAAATAAAATGTCCAATTTCGCAACACTGTGACTCACATTGCCTATTCGGGGCCATTGCTTTTGCCTTTAGCTCCGATCCCGGAGGAACAGTAGCATTTTAAAGGATACACCACGCGAGGGAATCCTGAAAATCCCTTCGGCATTCGAGAATTTCCCCTTGAAGAACACGACAAGTCCTGAATCGACCAGGAGACCATGAATCTGACTGGGATTTTTCAAGAGGGAACCTTTCGCAACCACACAACAATTTGTTCGTCTCCCTCGGGCAACCCTTAGCTAATCGCAACGGGGTTGAATGCCAGAGTGAGATGCAAGATGTGTTTGAAAAATCCACTCAAATGACTTGAGAATTTTCTCCATATTCTAGAGAGAAAATCTCTCCATTATTCAGCGATTCTCTTTCATCCATCCAATTGACGGCTCTTTTTCTTCACTATTCACATATGTACATCTTGTACCTCGAAAATTATTCGCTGTCCCACTCTCTTATTCTCCCTCGTCACTCACACATTTGGCAATGTTGCTGACGTTTCACTGGATTCTCCACTGTTTACTCTTTGACGTGTGTGGTGTTATACACTGCTTAATGGAAATTTATGGCCAAATCTGTTTTAGTGTCTTTCAAAATTTCATTTCATGAATTATTCGAAACTTCAATCCAATAGCTGATCGTGTCAAATTGTCCATTTCGGAAATTAATTAACCCACAAGAGGATTCTATTGTTGCAAAGAATAGTTTAAAAATTTACCAAATATCTCCATTTTTCACCGAAAAGATACAAAGAGTGAAATCATAGTGAATTTGTGTTCAAGATTTCACAATTCTCTTAATATACTGCTGATTCTAATTTGAAATAGCTATTAAACACTGAAATTGAATAACCATCGAATGAATAAACTGTCAAAGAAAATCTACTAATCTAAGAGTTTCGATGATCGTGTGCCAAATTTGGGGCAGCATATTCTGCACTCTTCCATAGATTCTCCTAATACAACCTGACATTCCTCATTAAATGGATATTTCCACTCACTCTCAGTGTTTATACATATTTCCGAAGACATTATGTGCATAGATTGTGTTTATTTGTGCAGAGCAACTAAGTATTCTCTTTAGAATACCCTAGCAGTCCACGTACAAACCCCCATTTATCCGAGTATGGGGATGCATTTGCTGTGGTTGGGGTGAATCCCAATATGCGCATGACCTATCCCACCAAAAAGTCCCCGAATCTCCGCGACACCCACCCAAAAGTGACCTTGAGCCTCGTCTCAGTCTTTTCACCGAGAGCCTTCGCGTTTTGGGCTTTCCACCGCCGCCTGAGGCCATCATGAGAGCTTTCCCCAGAGCATTTGCGAAGATGCCATTCGCGATGTTGAAAATGATACGAGGAGAGAAAAACAACAGGGAGCGCACAAAATTGTGTGTCTCTAGAGGTGGAAAAATTCGTCATCTTGCCTTTTGTTGTGCTCTGGGTGGCACAACACATTTCTCGCGAAGAAACTCGAACGAGTGCGAAGGAGACGGCACGTCAGTGGAGCTCCTGGCATTGGGGAAACTTTGGGTGCGAGTGAGATGGCTGTAGCGCCGCGAGTGTCAAGTATGACCGCAAGAGTGATGGCGCTGGCGTAGCATATCGATATATCTCCTCACAGATACACGCGACTCCACTGTTTTGAAGGTTGACACGGGCATGTTGCCGTCTCACTCGCACCCGTGGGGTGCAAATGGGGGCCAGAGAGCCTTTTCCGCGGATCGCCATAAAAATCACAACGGCAAGGATGGCAAAATGGACGACATGGGCATGCAACTCACCTTTATGAACTTTTAACATACTAGTCGGGCAGAAGAGGGGCTAGACTTGTCCACTAGCCGTTGTGATTGTCAAAATAGTCGGGTATCCACACAAGATGGCCACAGAGGGAGTCACACAGACCTCTCCCCGACCTCGGGCTTCAGGCAGCCCCGTTGTGCACTTTGCAACGCACCGCCACCCGCGAATTCGGGTATTCACTGCGGAGAAGAGCTGCGGGGGAAACTCACAAGAAAAGTGATATTTTCCTTGGCACTCACACACACGCGCGCGCGTTAAAAAGAAAAGAACAGAAGCGCCCGTCCACCGAGTTTTTCATTGAATTCTTCGCTCTCTCAGAGAACATCCGCACTAAACAGTATCTGCTGTGAACTCCTTGGACACCAATGTCTGCCTTTAGCAACAATAAATGGGTTTTAACGTGGTTTTTCACGCTGATTTCTATGAAAAATGTACTCCGTCGAGAGTACAATTTGACAGATTGACTGACGTCAGAAGACCTGACCAGTTAGAAATTGTCGCCATGTACAAGACTTCGGAGGACATTTCTTTCGACTCAATTCCAATCTCAGTTATGTAAACCAAATCTCTCTCCAAACTCTGAGCCCTTCCCGAATTCCACAAAGCATACAATGTTAATTGCATGGCTAATTTGTGCTGGTAATGTAGCTTACGCAAATTAAGAATGAAAATGAAAGACATTCATTGGATGAGTAAAGAAAACGCTCGAGATTGTCTTATGAATAATCCTTGGATCTTTGCAATGGGGCTGACTTTGGCGCGTTCAGGAAACCTTTTATTCCACGAAACATGTCAACAGTCAATATCTCACTTGCATGCCAGAACACAGCCCGAATAGGAAATATTGGAAAACTCAAGGAAAATCTGCGTTTATTGCTACCGCCGACGTTCTTGTTTGACACTCTTTCGTTTCTCCTTCTTCTCCTCACGGAGCTGCTTTTGCCGCTTTAGATCCTCTTTGTCCTTCTCTTTCTTCTTCTGACTTTCCAGTCGGGCCTGTTCCCGCCGCTCTCTCATCATCTGCTGCACAGCCTCCACATTGGCGTTCCGGCCTTCGGCATCGCCATTCGTTGCGGTGGCCCCCCGTTCCTCATCCTCCTCATCCGACAGCTGAAATAACGAGTTAAAGGAAAGTCAGTAGATGAAGAGCTTCAATTGGGGCGAGATTAACCGGCACTTGGCTGTACTGAGCTAGTATTTTGTCACGAATCTGAGATTCCTCCGCTGTCTGCCGTCGCTGGACCGTTGATGTGACCACATTGGATTCCAATAGGCGCGCCAGACGAGTGTCTACATCTTCACTGCTGTTCTTCTCCTGCACCGGCTCCGTACTAACCGATTTCCACTTGTTGACAATTTCTTCAGCCGTCGCTGTGACATCCTTATCCTGAAAGCACGGAGGTTTTGTGTAGCAATTCTCACTGAGAGATGTCCTTTTATAGGCATTGGGAGAGTTCCTCAGCCACAGACTCACGATTATTCCCGAAAGGAGCTCCTCAATGGCGCTAATTTTCTCCTCCACCTGCTCCTCACCATCCCCATCGAGTATTCCCACGATGTAGGGCCCGTAGATGGACTCGTCCGTGTTAATTTGGCGCAATTTCCTCTTTAGCCACATCTCAAAGTCCTCTTCCGTGTCTGCCATGTTTTCCTTCTGCCTTCGACGAACCAACACAAGAGGCGTTGCAATCGAAGAGGAGTTATCTCTTTTGTTGGGGCGAGAAAGTGTGTTGGAAAATCTTCCAAAATAGCCCGATTTTTCTCAAATCTCTCCAGGCAGGTAAGGATGGCGGTTCAACATCATGTTAAAGGATATGAGGAGTTCACCAAATTGGGTGAGTGGAATCTTTATCTCTCGAAATTATCGTATTCTGACAAGACAACTTGGACCACTTGGAGTTCCGCTGATAAGAGTGGCATTTCCAGACTGTTCTATCTCTGCGGGATGATATTCAGCAATTTTCTATCTTTCCTCCAATAGTGGACGAACTGGAGACGTCTAAGAAGACCATTCATATCCTCTTCAGTGGCGGAAAACAAGAGAATGGCGAAAGCTGGTGCCCGTATTGCGTGAAAGGTGAATACCGGTGGGATTTTTTACAGGTGCCCGGGGTTTCTAAAAGAGTGTCTTTCCAGCTGAGCCGGTGGTTATGAGTGCCTTGGAGAAAGCCTCCCCTGAGAGTCACTTTATTCATGTGGACGTAGGCGAGAGGACATACTGGAAGGACCTCAACTGTCCCTTCCGGAAGGATCCCCGGACGCACCTCGTCTTCTTGCCAACGCTGCTGCGCTGGAAGTCACCTCAGCGTCTGGATGGAGAAAAGTGCTCTAATGCTGACCTCGTGGAGATGCTCCTGAGCGATGAGGATTAAAACACTCTTGTGGATAAAATAAAACATTCAGGAATGATATTTACAAATTAAAAGATCCGCTATACTTCTTGATGAACATCTTGATCACGTGGATGTTTACGAGCTGCGAGCGCGCGTTGGGCGTGAGAAGTTTGTGGAACCGATGATAGTATTGGAGAAGGCTGGTAAGAGCGAGCTGGAGGAGAGTCTGGCCAGTGACGAGGGACGGGAAGGAGAGCAACACTTCCTTGTTAATTTCCTCAAGAGCTGTCTTCCAGTTGGCTGAGAAATTGGCAACTAGAGCCAGTGATCGACGCTCCTGCCGTCTAAATTCCTCAGTTTGCTCCTTCTCCAACATTAGCTCGCATTCTCGCACAAACTGAATGATCCCACCGAAATGGGGCGCTAAAATCTCCTCTACATATTCGCCACTGCGTGCTGTAAGCTGCTCCCTGAAGGCCTCGGCTTCTTTGCTATTGTCCCGGGTGCGCTCCATGAGCACGCCCAGCACCAAGTCGTAGTTGTTAATCAGGTATATGAGCTGTTCTTTACGCGCCGGAAAAATTGCCGCCATGCGCAGAATGAAACATTCCACTTCGTTCTGCAACTCCAGTAACAGCCGACTCATGAGCTCATTTGGGAAGTGCTCAGAAATACCCACAATGGCTGCTGAGAACTCCGCATATCGCCTGGTAATGTAGTGTGGCCCCATTTCGCGCGTGAAGCGCGTGGGATCGCAATCGCGTACGCTCTGGATATTGGTCCGAAAGATCACCTCGAGGCGCGGCCAGATGACTGCCTGCAGGGAGTCCCAGTATTTGTCCAATGCCGGAACGCAGCGCTTGTGGCACATGAGCTGATAGCGCAGAATAAGGTGGATGCACAAGAACATGGCGATGCAGTCGAAGCAATCCGCAATGTATGTTTCCACGTTCTTAATCAGAAGTGACAGTGTTCGTCCCATGATCTGGTTGAAGAGCTCCTGGGCTTGCGATCCGCGCACCATGAAGAACTCAGTGACGAACAGGTACTCCCGACAGGCGTTGTCCACCAAAGCGTACTGCTCGGAGCGGAAGAGCGCCTCGTACGAGTACTGCAAGTAAAGAACGACGGATGAAATAATGGCGATAAACCCCTCTTGTTATGAACTCATACCTTGTTCTTTTGCTGCGCATGTGGCACTAGGATTGGCGCCTCCAGCTGCTGATTGAGAACATCCCCGCGATTCCCAATGGTGAACACTGTGCTCTTATTCTTCAAGGAAGTCGTCTTGGAGAAGAGAGACTTGCTAACTGTATCCTCCACACCCATGAGATCATCCTTCGATGCGGCCTCCTCGAACTGCAGAGCGGCTAGGCGCGAGGAGTAGCTCTTGAAGTAGCTGAAGTAAATCTTGCTCATGGTGTCCACGTACTCACCACAGATCTCCTGCGCTACTTGTCTCTCATTTGACAAGATGAACTCGAAGAACAGTTTGTTCTTGAGCATAGCGTTCTGGGGTACCTGATAGTTGGTCATGGGTTTGCGAAACTTGTGGATCTGCTCCATCAAGTATGTTCTGATCCTGGCCATGGCTTTCACTTTGAGATTCTCCAGCACATCTTGAACGTCATTAGCGGAAGCGGATTCCTTGAATCGCAGCTCCTTCACCAGTGCCAATTTGTGGTTCAACTGATTCAAATTCACCAGGAACTCCTTCTCCGTTACAGCAGTCTCCATGATCACCGCGATCATCTCCTCGGGCACAGCCATGTCTTCGATAAACTGCGAAAGCTGCGCCCGAACAGACTGTCTGTTGGTTAACTGCACCGACATGGACACTGACTTCTTCTGCAGCGACGTAATCTCCGTGCTGATGTTGCTCAGGACGTGCTGGAAGTTGGTCAGCATGTTCTCCATGCGTTCCAGGGTGTCGTCACATGCCCGAATTTGTGTGTGGAGGCTCGCAATGTTCTGGCTCTCTTTGATGTAGTCGCTGATGGAGCGGTTTTCCACCTCATTGAACTCCTTTTCGATCTGCTGCGAATATTGCCTGAGATCCGTGCCTGTCTTAAGAATCTCCTGCACCTCCTCATCGTCCAGCTTTTCCACTAAATCCGACATATCGCTGTGAAAAGCGGAAAAAACACCTTCGCTTTGAGCGAGCTTATACACTTGAAAATCAGCTGTTTTTATTCCCCTCTTATTCACCACGCTCACACACACGCACATTCAATGCACACTTGACGAACTCCGCACGCACTTTTTTCAAACCGCCGTGTAATAAATCTCTTCTCTGTGTTTTGAGAAGTATTTCCAGAAATACCTTTATTCAAAAATTATCCACTCTCCTTTATTCATCCAGAGCAGGTAAGAATTCATAACAAATGTTATTCTTATCAGAATTCACACCGTAAACAATACATCGCGCAAGAGTTTGACGGCGACTGTTGAGGTTATGGCCTCTCCGCTGTTTTCCTATCTATTTTTGTACACCGCGAAAATTAGCTCTGCTCGTGGTCTCTTGCGTTTAAAATTAGATTATTTGATAAGATTCGGGGTATTGTGGATTCTTAGAATCGAATTGCAAAATCCCGGTAGTCGGGTCGAAGCAAGGTGAGCCAATTCCTGAACTCGCACTTTTCTATCTGGCATCCGGGCGATCCAGTGTTTGTCAGCCAGTTTGTCCTGCAAGAAAAAGAGGAAAATCCGTCTTATCTCTTTGTGATTAATACTCGAAATTGGTGATGATTGTGAATAAAAAATTGTATTAGCAAATTGTTGTGATTGCATGGTAATCAAAGCATAGACACATGATTCAGTGCTTAGTATCAGAAAGCTTTTGGAATGCGTATTAAGGAGAAAAAGAACAGTAAGAAGTTAAAGACTCCGAGTAAGACATGCTTCAATTGAAACAACTTCCTAACTACAGAAAGTAAAAAATTTTAACATCTCATTCATATAAAAGCAAGGAAAAATTATTATAAAGGAGATAAAAACAAATTTTTTTATACACCTTGGAAAAAAAGACTTAATTTATTTAACAATCCTGCTAAATGGCGCTTTAGGTAAGACTGCTTGGTGTGCTAATAACCACAGACGCTTAATAAAAGTGAGAGACAATGAAGTAGGATGAATTTCACTTGACCTTGGTGATATTTTTCCTCAATGATCTTCAATGATGAGCCACGCTAAAGATCATCATTTAGCTTAGACGAGTAATCAGTGTTTTGGCAGCCAATTTTTGCAAAGAAAGTCCCCGCTGTTAATCACATTATCAAGCTATTTTCATTTACGTGTTGCCAAATAGTTCATGTGCTTTGACAATAAACCATAATTTGAACCTTGACCAATTTCTCTTTCAAGGAAATTAATCACTTACAACAACCCACTCCAATTAGCATAGCTATTTTTTCACATTTCCTCAATTGTTGAGAGGCGTCTTGAAGATTTTGTAGGAAAACAGTCCACTTGGTATGCGGTTTATGCTTTTTTATTGATATTATTCATTAATTGGCATGGGAATCCTCGTGTAAATCGTAATGGGAACGTTTAGGTTTATTTTAGCAATTCTCTTTACTGTGGCGTCGTATCTCAATGGCTAAGACCAAAACACATTGCATAAGACAAGATGAGGAGCTCGTTGGTGGGTATTTTAGAAGATTTTCATTCCTTTCCCATCCATAAACTGCGCAATTTTAGTTCTTTGCAATTAGAGAAATGATCAGACAATGTTAACCAGAGATTATAGCACTTTCATGATGCTATGGGGAGGAATTGTGGCGTTCTATGAGAATAGTTGCATGCTCTGGCAATGGATCGGACTTTGAACGTGAATTGTGTCAGAAATGCACTCATTTGCTGCTTACATCTCATCAATCGCCTCCTTGCTGCCCTGCATTTTTCCCAAGATCGTGCCAGTCTTGGAGTTTTTCACCCAACCACCAATTTTCCGCTTAACACACATGTCTCGGCAGTGTTTTGTGAAGCCACATCCTTTTGACGAGCACCCATTGGCGTTGCGCGTCCAGGTGCGATGGAGAGTAGCGTTGATTGATGGAGCATGAAATGAGAAATGGAAGATATAAAAGAGGGTCTGCGTGTTTTGCAATTAATTGCATTTAGCATAGAGATAAATGATGCCACTTTTCAGTAAATGAAATATACTTGTGTCAATGCGTCTCATTCGCGCAAATTAATCATATATTTCACTTACACCAATTACTTTATATCAATTATGTCAATTAAATTTTTCCTCTACGCTTAATGATGAAAAATTTATGATGGCATTTCATGTGGCGGTGAGTCTGTAGGCAATTTCGCATTGGAGGTCTGCAACAGTGATCCAAAAGTACCTTGTACATGACCAAATACTTCAAATTCCACTGATACGAAAGATATATTCAACTCAACCATTTTGACTGCACTACAGTTTCTCTTGATTTATTGTTATTATTCTATTGGCACGAAACTGTGGAAGGTCCTTTTACAATCCAAAATCTTTCGCTCAAAACTATTCACAATAGAGTACTTTCTAGAAATCTTGTAGAGTACTAAGGAGAGACACTGAGATGATCTTCAATCATTGTGGTCATGATCGAAACTGAAGAGACTATTTATAAAAGCGAGTGATTGACTATTTCATGATACTCTTTTCTCGTTAACATTAACGAGAGGCACACATACATACTATTAATTAAAAATCTCTCTTCACTTTCTGAGTAAACTCACAAAACTTGCATAGTGTCGTAGAATTAAAATTTAAGGCAAATAATTGGGGAAAAGTGATGAAAAAATCATACATGCGCGATTTTTCAGAAGTAAGCATTTATGATTAAAAGCTTTTACTGCCTTTACTTATAAAGGTTCCATTTGTTGTTTTTTTCTTGCTTTACCCGGCTTTTTTATCATTGGGATTTTTTTTAAACGATAAGAGGTCATGAGGCAATAAAACAATACCAATATGTTCGTTTTTACCTCTGAGATATAAGCGAAAGCGTGTTTTTATTTACAACTTGTTGTGGGTCTATTCGTATTTAGCGAAGGGAAAACTTTTCCAGAATGCAGTTCCTGTTTTATGGCCCATTGCTAATCGCTTTGCTTTGAACTGGCGAAGAGCTAAAAAAAATATATATTAATTGACAATTCCGCTAGTTAAGTGATTAAAAGTGGTCTGGATTTAGGGCTAATTTGTGAATTGTAGGCCATGGAAAAATCAAATGGTCGGAAGTTGAATGGGTTTTTCTCTTGTGCCGTCGTCGGTGTTGAGAGGATATTTCCCGTTGGAAACTCCCTAGGTGGTCCATTGTTGACTACAGCGCGGGTTGTTCCTCTTCTCAAACACGAGAGCAAATTGCCATATTGTGCAATTAATTGTTGGGCAAATGAAAAACAAAAATGACATGTCTCTTATATGTCTCACTTCACATATGAGACAGTTAATTTATTTCTTCATATACAACAATTTTCTTAGCAATTGTATCACTTTATATATATATATATAATATTCTCTTCCATCAAGAGATTAAATGACATAATTTGCAATTCAATATATTAGTGGGTATTTCACATTCATTAATATAATTTAATGTAAAGACACCGAAATCATCATCTTCTTGCGCCCACAGCCAATCGAATACAACCGTTTAAGAGGGTTCTCTTGCACTTCCATACATTTGCTTTCATTTTTTGTTATTGATAACATATCTTGTCTAAATTTGTTCTTTTCCACTCATATTTTATCATCAAAATGAATATCATTATTTTGCACTTTCATTATTTATGGGCTTCTTTTCGTTAGTATTCTTTACAACAACTACATTATTGGCAGGCTTTTCGAGGAGTAACAATGTATTTGCCCCTTCGCTCTTTTCCATATTGTCCAATACGCGTTGGTTCTTTTTCGTGCGCTCCTTTTGGAAATAGAGTCGGATGTAGTACACAGGGAAGATCACGCATTTTCCACCGGGCTCCTCAGCATCCAGGAAGACACCGCGCACCAGCACGGTGTTGGCACAGTTCATGAGGGCGAGGAGTATAAAGCAGATTCCGTGAGTAAGCCAATCACTGAGAGCTCGCTGATCTGCAATTTTGTATTTAAGGACAAATTGGTGTCACTGTCGTTAGTGTTGAAATGTGGGTGGAGATTTATCTCACCTGGGAGAAAATAGTGATCGAGAAGCTGCCAAATACCACGCCATGCATTAACTGTGCCAATGAAGCTGAAGAAGAGAAAGACATCCGCAATGGCGAGGCGCCAAAATCCAGTCAGCTTGTCACAAGTCCATCTCATAACAGGTTGAAGAGCAAATGTGATGAAAACTATTCCATATCCGATGGCCTTTAAAGGGATTGAGAAGAAAAAGACATTAAAATCTGGTGATAAGCGTATACTGAGGCAGAATACACACGCAGCAACTCATCTTGTCAATGGAGATGTTCTCAATGTGTTTGTAGGAAATATCCCAACCAAGAGGCTTGTCATATAAAATTTAATGGTGAGATAAAGTGAGTGTTATCGAAATTTTGATTAGATAACAAAAGGCAATCGGATTAATTGAATTTATCTTTCTGCGGAAAGCAAAGAGTGTTGAGTAAGTCACATATTTCCATTCGACATTTGTATTTATTGTCGGCAGACTTAATCAGTTCAATCATACATTTTCAAATTATTTTCGTCATTCGTAGACACAGTGAGGGTGTCACAAGGGGTGTCAGGTGAAATGAATATAATTTGCACATATATTTTCCTTGTGTCATATTGTAAATATTGTAAATGGATAAGATTTGTTTATTATCTAAAACAGTCTATAAAAATGAGAACAGAAAACTGAGTGATAAATATACTTGAGTGTTAATTGTTTGTACAAAATTCATGGAGTTTTCCATTAGAGATGTAATTCACTTGGACTCTCGTCAAATATGTATTTTGAGAATCTTTCTCAGCATGACTATTTACTAAGCATGAGGATAATGGATGATGAATAGTATTAACCAGTCAACTGATTAATATCTTCAACGCTGATAATATACGTGTCACATGTCTGTTTTTTTCTGTACAAATACATAATATCAGCATCTCTATTCTTATCTTACAATGTCGAGAGGGAGAATTCCGATGGAAATTATTGATATTTACAAGGAAGGAAATTCAGATGGACTTACCAATGAGTACCATGCTGAGAGTTTCGCATCACTGGGATAGAGTACAAGATCCAGGAACACCCAAACACCACGCCAAACAAACACCACGAGGGATCCAATAATTAGAACAGAGAAGCAACAATCAAGAACGTAGTAAAGTGGTTGGCGAGCGCCCTGAAATGAAAGTGAAATAAAAGGTTGGCTATTTTCTTCCTTTCTGGACACCTGGGCCTACATGAAAGTTGTTACTATGCATAAAAAAAATAAATGGTAGTAAAATTTCTTAGAAATACACTGTTATAATTACAAAAAATTAATTAAACCATAAATAATCATCGTGATATCACTTACTTATTTTTTTTTATTATCTAAGTACTCGAATTCCTGAATTTTTCGTTTATGTTATGTCATATATCTACTGTTACAATGTGTTTTATTTATTCTCCTCATAGTAATTACATAGAAAAAGGATTTTCGCAGGATTTATGATCCTTTCATGTAATCACTAGAATGTATCTTCATAATTCAAATGAAGAAATTTATTGTGTAATTTGTATGACAATTATGCGATTCGAAGCATCACAAGAAATGCTTTGCTCACGCATAATTAATATGAATTGAGGAAACTGCTAATTAGCATGATTATCTTACCGATGTTTTGAACATGGTTTGAATGTCAAAGTACTCATTTGGAGCATCTATTGAGATTGTGAAAGGTGCAGCTGAGAGATTCCGCAGAGTCTTAAGTGCTGCGAGGCAGAATGCCGGCGGAATGGTCAGTAGGAGGACAGTGGGTACTTTATGGGAAGTGTAGCAATCAATTAGTTGCCATCCTCCTCGCCACCCATTGATACATATTACACCATACAGGGCTGTGTATATGCGTGAGCTGATGTAGTAGGCAACCCTGTGGCGATTAGGGTGAATGTGAGTTTTCAGGGTGTCCTGGCAGAGGGTAAAGACGAGGTGGCCCACGATACCGATCACGAGGGAGGCGAACGCACTGATCACGGGCCTCTCGGCGAATAGATAGAGATCCATGAGATTCCATGTGCCGCGCCAGTAGGATATGACAAGGGGTCCCACGATCAAGGTCGAGAGCATTGTGTCGAGGAAATCCAGGAGCACGCCATGGGCGTCTCTCGATGGATTAAGAACACCGTCAGCTAATCCAGCTGTACTTCCACGCATTCTGGATTTGAATTCTTACTGATTGTTCCTATAATTCGTCAAGAGTCACAACTTACACAACCTTGCCATGGCTAAACAAGTGCAACAAATCAACACAATCACACATGGGTTGATTTATTATTGCGGAACTGTTGATTTTGCCACAGTACACACGAAGATACTCATTGCTCAAGAAGACTTTTATTTAGTTTGTTTATAATGGATTTTGTCATATACTATTGATACACTTGAAAATCTTTTTGAGTGATATTATAATAACTCAAGATGCTCATTGGTCCTCGGCATTAGACATGAGGCACAGTAATTTCACATATCATGACTACATTCACTATTAACCATATGGATACGCACTTTATTTGCAAATAACGTGCTCTGATCGATTCTGAATATTATCGAAAAATAGCCTTGGAAATAGCACAGATCTCTTGATAAGGCACCTGAACTCAAGCAATTCTTTTATTTCTGCTCTGCTCCATTCACATATTATGAACACACTTTATTAATATATTATACTGGGAATTATTCAATTTGAGATTCTAAAATCACTTCACACTTGTCCCTCTGGCATCTAACTGTAATCGAGGATCGTGTTTTTGGCTCTTGGGCTCATTTGAGTGAAAACAACCGCCTTTTATAATTCGCACTATTTCACTCAATGGGATAGATAATGAGAAACAGGATACCGTCAGAGGGTTTTGCAGGGAACGGAGGAAATTTAGTACATGGGCAAGATGATTTTTCATGCGATCTTCTCCCGTTATCGAATGACACAGAGACGCGTGTGCTATTATCAATTTTATCACTCTGAAGAGACTCTCATTGTGTCGACAACTTTTATATGGACTCTGAATATTCCGTTTAATTCTCCCTTTGGCCAGTTTGCGTGTGTATGTAGATATGTGGTTATCCATGCGACATAGTATTATCAGCTTTATAAGAGTTTTGAACTTGTATTGTTTTGAGGCAATTCCTCATATATGGGATACATTGGAGAGATGTCACGTCAAATGATCTCTCTCGCTCTCTGCGACATACAAGATAATCAATGTATTTTCAGTTGGTGTGTAGGTAAAATATTTGACTAGTGGGTGCAAATATTGCGTTTGTGAATTTATTAAAACCATAAAGCTTCCCCAAAGTTTCTCACTGCGTTAAATTTAAATTTAACGTCATGCGTATTCTGCAGATTGTCAAAATGATGCAACATAGCTTTCTTTCCCATTGGTTTGATTTAATGGGCCAGGGAATAATAAATTTCACATTACCTCACATCGAAATCTGGTGGGAAATGTAAATGCGACGTCCTTGCAATCCATCAAAATAATGTACGGTGGTGCCAATGAGTTCCTCAGCGATCGAAGAACAAGAAGTGGAATAAGTGTGATGAATGATACAATTACAGCTGGCCAAACTCCGGGTCCTACAGAGTGGTGAAACACATTAAAGTGTGAAGGATAGTGGCAAAGGAAGTAATTCTCACCTAAATGAAGCTCCATCATGGCCCATCCCCCGCGCCAATGCATTATGCTGCCGACTGAGAAGATGTATGTGTAGACTTTGGTAACAAAAATCCGCCATATTGTCCTCTTGAGGGATTTATTGCCGTTGCTTGGTGGCGAGAATTCCTCGTGGAGCGGTTCGCGGAGAAGGGCAAAGGCTGTGTGCAAAATACCGCCCAATATGAAGCAATACCAAGCGGGAAATTTGTCCGGACGCTGATCCATATAATCCCACGTGCCACGCCAGTGGGCAATGGCGAGGGGTGAAATGATGAACCAGGACAGGAGGGTGTCTCCAAAATTGAGGAGACGCTTGGTGGCCTTGTCAGGCGGTGATGAGAGCCACACAGTGAAGAAGTCGCTTCCTGTGGGAAGAGGTTGTTTCTCCATCTCCTCGCAGGTGTCTCAACTCAGGGTTATCCGTTTCTTTTAGTATAAAATGACAAAAGTTCAAGGATCAATCTTTGTCACACTGATACTTTCACACTCTTTTTGCAGGAAACGCAAATGCGATACACGAAATGGGAGGGTTGAAAAAGGAAGAGAAAATTAATGTCTCACCAAATATTTAATATAATATCTCTCCTATAGCGAGACTTAACAAAGAACACAGTGTTAAGGTCGATGTGGGGGTGAATTTTATTAACCGAGTATAATGGCACACAAATAGATTTGAAGAATATTTGTGCGTTAATAATAATTTCACTGGTAATATAGACACGGTTATTGCAATTAGGATGTTGCTGAATTTACTTAATAAGAGGAAAAATAGAGACACTCGCGAGTGTGGAGATCGATATTGGGATTCAGGAATCAACTGAAAATGATTTGTTGTTCGCAACTGGATTATATCTTATATGCTCTGCTTCTCTGGCTATTTACCTGATTTGTTTTCACTACTTGATCTACGTAAAGAGCGCGATGATTCTTTTTCGTCTTCATACTAATTATTTGAATCCACAATGAGAATAGTCTGGAGATGATCATAATGACATAATTGGGTGGGCTTTTCTGTTTTTCTCTCGTTGAGTGCAAGATTGAATGTGTTTTTGAGGAAGTTGGGGTGAAATGTGTTTCCCTAACCACATATCTATGTATAAACACACATCGTCTCCAACTTCACTGAAAAGGTCATGTAACTGTACATGAAGCCACACAATTGTTGTAATTTTCCTCAAATACACATTTTCACTGGAGTCTTCTCTACTATACATTCTGATCTCTTGGGAGTGTCACGCACTGGCGAAAATCTTCCACGAAGAGGCGCAATTACTTTATAGAGTGTGACATGTTCTTTTTAAATCATCATCTGGAGACTTAAAGAATACTGCGCGTCCTATTTTTCATGTCCTCCAGGGCGCTGAAGAGTGTCGAATGATAAGGAAATTTTTCATCAATTTACTGGGTCAGGGTAAAAGCTCTGCGCATAATCTCCTTCTCCTTTTTTACGCCTTACGATTTATTTTACGATACGTGGAAATAATAAAAAATGAGCCCTAAATAAAGTTATGTGATATTCCGAATTGCTCTCTAAAATGCTTTCATTGAAATCTCATTTTAATAAAAACTCATCAAGCACAAATTATCCTCTAAATAAAAATCAAAGCTTTCTACAGGGTATTTATGGCAAAATGCACTGTAATTTTTTGACTGACCTGATATGAAGACTGTAACATTATCCGTCAGAGTAGAATTTCAAGTTCATATTAAATTATTTCTGTGATGAGTGATGTAGTGCAAGAGCATAGACATTTTTATGGATTTTTAGCGACGTTATCACATGAATTCTCCAATTAATTGTTAACATTGGCTGCTTCAAGGTGCTTTTGAAGTGGAACTATAATTACTAACACGACACTTGAATTCTTTGTTTTTCAATATAATCGATTACTCTTGAAAAATCGGTTCACATTGTTCTTCATCAATTATCTTGGTGTTATTATTTAAATTTTCACTCTCACAATATTTATTACTTCTCACATTATTTGTTGGATCCTCTATGAGGAGAAAAGTGTTATTATCGTGTCTCTCTAGAGTGTTAAGGAGCCGCTTTTGCTTCCTGGATCGCTCTTTTTGAAATAGTTGACGGATATAATACACAGGAAAGACTACACACTGTCCAGCGGGTTCCTCAGCATCAATGTACACGCCACGAAGGAGCACTGAGTTGGAGCAATTGAGAAAGGCAAGGAGGATTAAGGAAGCCGCGTGTGTTATCCAAATACTCTCTATTAGGTAGTGTGGGAGGAAATAGAAATCTATGCAGTACCACACTCCTCGCCAAATGCTCACTGTGCCGACGAAACTTAGGCTGAGAAAAACATCCGTAGCAGCGACACGCCACAAACCTTCAAGTCGCTCACACGTCCACCTCATGATGGGCTGAATGGCAAAGATTACTGCCACGGTTCCATATCCAATGGCCTATGGAGGAAAATATGATGGAAAATGTAATGCAAATAATTTCAAGTCAATTTCAATTTTCAAGTCAATTCAATTTTAAAAGACACGCACAAGAGACAGGAAGGCTGAAAGATGGGTATCCGTGGGGAACAAGTAGAGATCCATGAGAAGCCAAACGCCACGCCACACGAAGACCACCAACGTTCCAACACAGAGCACAGAAAATGCACAGTCGAGGACATAAAGTCCCGGCTTGTGGCCACCTTCGATGCGGAATCTCGTGGGGAAGATGAAGGCGGAATCCCTGTAGTCCATGATGATGACAAATGGTGGGGCCAGAGTGTTGCGGACGCACCGAATGGCCACGAGGATGACAAAGGTCACAGCAGTGACGATGATAGCCACATGAGGAGTGTGACCAAAGTGATAGTCGAGAACAGCCCATCCTCCGCGCCATTGCAGGATACATGCAATGCTGAAGATATATGTGTAGGTTTTGCTTATGATGAAATGCTTGATGGTGCGACAGATGGACTTGGTGTCGCTCGTTGTGGAGAATTCCTCGTGGAGAGACTCCCGCAGTAGGGCGAAAGCCGTGTGGAGCACACTGCCGAGGAGGAAGCAGTGCCACGGTGGGAAAATCTCCTCGTGATAGTCCATAAATGTCCACGTTCCGCGCCAGTGAGCGACGGCAAGAGGAGTGATAATCAGCAAGGAGACAATAGTGTCGCTCACGTGGAGTAGACGCTTAATCCATCGATTTGGTGGCGACAGTGATATATTGTACATGGGCAGCTCGTCCAGAGATAGTCTCTCCTGTTCCTCCATTGTCACAGAGGCAGAACTCAAGTTACACTGATCGTTCAACTATTTTCACAATTACCACATACAATCATTTATGGCGGTGACAAGTCTTGTTTCATAATTAATTTCCACCCATTAACTGCCACCATATGCAGTAAAAGACAACACAGTGTGATTAGACAAATATCCACATATGTGTTGATCTCAATGTTTTTACAATTGCACCGAGATTTGTGGAACTAACTTGTCTTGTGAGCGCGTGATAATGTAAATTTATCGCGTGTGATCAATTCACAAACTAATGCAAAATTTTCCAAATTCTTTGAACTGCCGCCTACAAGTTCTCGTTGGGGATGTTCATCGTCACGAGGGCAAACGCTGACTGGTTTGTGGTATTCTGTGTATAGATTTGACTCCGACTGATTCTTAAGGGTGGCAGTGGTCTCAGAGGGTGGATAGTAATGAGATATTTGTCGAGTTTGCATGTGTGAGTCGTGTGGGTGTTCTATATGAATGACACGAGCCGTCGAGGTGGTTGGGAATCATTAACATTTTTTCTCACTCTAGAAATGCCCTTAGAGCGAGAAGGGAAGAAAAAAATGATGAAAACGATGTCATGAGCTTTCAAGTTCTCGCATGGAGTATCTCTCTATAATCGTTGTAGAATGTAATTGACAACATAGGCGCGTGATGATATTTCCTTCTTCCTCGTGAACTGTATCAAGCGGAAAAATGGAGTGGAAAACTTTACGCCAACTTAAGGCTACAAACTGTTTTAATTAGATCTTTTTGGAGTCATGCAGAAAAATCGATAAATCGATTTAATCTAGTATTTTTTATCTGAATTTTCTACCTTTTCCATCGCTGCCTTAATTTCTCTATTCAGGTGGGAAAATTCATGTTGTGACGTTATCATGATATTTCGAATGCCTTTTTTGTTTGTTTTTTGCTAAAGAAGGAAAAGATGACGACTGATTTTTCACGAAGGTAAAACTAACTCTTAATTATATCGCCTTCCTCATTGGTTTAATAGCAAATATTTCGAGAATCCTAATTCCTATGGCCAATCATCACTATGGCTTTATTTATATCCCCTGTCGTCATTCTTCTAAGTGTGATTGAAGAAACTTGTTGATTCTTGTGGCCATTGAAGGATTTCGGGTGTTGACATTTCCCACTCTCCCTAGAAAGTGTTTCAAGGTCTGTCGATATGAAAGAGACTTCGAAGTTTAGAAAACTCCCAGATCTTCCTTTATTTCGTCAATAGTTTAAATAGCAGTCATTTCGTCTTAAAAAAACAATAAGTCCGATATTGGCTTAAATTGTAATTGAATAGGATTAATTGGATTTGCAATTGATTAATTTACATAGTGTCAATAACTTTTAACATAAGGTTTAAACCATGTGAACTCGAAATTTCGTTGCTGTTTATTTCTAAAATTATTCACTTTACGTTTTACATTTACAATAAATACATATTAATTGCAGTCTATATTGACTAATTTATGTAATAATTTAGCTCACATGCTATCAATAATTACATTATATGTATATATGTGTGGAAGGTTGTCGTTAGAAAGTTTAAAAAAATCTATTGTTAAAATAGAAAAGACGTACTTATTCGTTCGAGTCGAGAATTGTAATTTTTTTTAGAGAAAAGACAGCGTGTGAGTATAGAAAAGAAGTTAAAGATTATCGTCTTGTCCTCTCAATTGATCAACAATATGTTATACGAGTATTCCTCTTCAACAATTAACAATGCTTATCTTCGGTTTTTTTTTTTGCTTTAATCTCTATATTAAAATAGTTGTATGCCTCCTAAGGTACTTTTAAAAATATCACCGTGATTTACACAGAAATATACACCTACAGTTTCTAGGATAATTCAAATACTTGTTAAAATTTCGATTTTGCCTAGAGAAAGTATATCTTAGGGCATGGTTTCGAAAATTCGATGTCTAATATTTTTCTAAACTAAAGTAACAATTTAAATTATAGTCATATGTAGATTTCTTAGTCATTTCCTTAGAATAGCCGTTTCTTCTTCTTGCTCTCCTTTGCTGACTTGGTTGTGCTGCTGATCATATCTTCACAAGGTACATTATTTTCCGTAGGCTTGTCTTCAATACCCTTAAACTGAAGATAATCATATTATTAATTTAGACATTTGTTTACATGTAGCTTCTTATCGTACTTCTGATAATGAAATCCGTGGCACGGCAATTTCCTCTGGGTACCTCCACGGTTTCCGAAAGTGTGTCTGTGAATTTTTCCATTCAACATAACCGAGGGCTGCCTTCTTGAGATCCTTAATCATGCGCGGCCCCAGCGTGTGAGTGACCTTGTTGACTAGCCAGGGCGGGAGGGCTCCTTGGGGATCACAGTGAGCCACATAGCTCAAGATGCACTGACCGTTCTGAGAGCGCAGAAGGAAGCCAGTGATGTGCGACGTAGCCCTAACGTAACCCTTCCTGGGCGGCCAATCACGATGGGTGACAGACCGGGAGATGAGCATCTGTTCGCCATGCGGACCAGTGTCAAGCCATGAGCGCATCAGCACGAAATCTCGTGGCTTCAGTGGCGGAGGACAACTCACTGCAAACGAAAGGGATTTGCTTAATAATTTCACATCAACAAAGATCTTTTCTATATACAAATTCTACTGACTTGCATAGTATCCAACATCGTTGTTGACGTTGAAGATGCCAATCTCCTCACTGGCCAGCATGTGGGTATCCCAAACTCGTCTATAGTCTGGGTCATGGAGGACATCGAACAGCGTGTCGGTTGTGATGTCGTCAAACAAGGTGTTGATTTTTACCATGTGAAAATCACATCCCACCACGGGACGCGTCCACACTTCCGTGTTGGCTTTCGATAGCTCCAACGTCCAGCCTTCGTTGCTGTTCACGAGGCACTTGAGCATCTCAAAGTCAGTGTCGTCAGCAATACGAGCCATAATCTTATCGATTGAAATGCTCAACGTGAAATCACACAAATGTTACTCTCAGATTTTTTTTATATCCCTCGGGTATGTTAAACTTTGATATCAGGACGCGTGTGTAACGACAGAGAGTTTGTGCGAAGTTTGTCGATTTGAGTCAAATTAATATTTTATTAACTGCAGTCAATTTGATTTCTATAATCAGTTTACTTCACAACGTGGCTCGCATTCACTCAAATTCCCACTTGTTTAAAGAACTCTCCCCAGAATGTTCGTACTGTAATGTTGTATTACTTGAATTACGCATTGGTCATATGTTTTGTGAAATTAGATCATATGAAAACATTTATCGATTAAGATTTCGTGATAGTGGATTTTATTATACATTCATGAATGTGTCCCAAATCCTGTAAAGTCAGCTCCCAAAATTAAATCAATTATCACTAGGCATGTGCCTCTCTAGCACTCCACCAAATTACCATATGTACATTCTTATTTTAGAGTGAAAAACCAAAGAAAAACTCACAGTAACAAAACTTTGCATTTTGCCAACTCAATATTTTTTTTTATAATCATGCCCAAGTATAGCGATATAAATGGTGTTTGTTTTTGAGATAAAGTTCACACTTTGAAATTAGTAAAATGTATCAACAAATTGCTTCGGAATGTGTTCACAAACTCAACTAATTCTACAACATGGAGAATATTTACTGAAAAAATATCTTCTTCTGCAATACAAAGCGCTGTCTTTCTGACTGAAGTGTGGAAAATGCTCTATTGCCAGTGGGGAAGTGCTGGAGAGTGTGCGCAGGCTTTTACTGTAAAATCAGGGGGAGATATTCTTGTAACTTTACAGGGCTCTTCAGCAAAATTGTGTATTTCTCATAATACAAATTTTGCCATGGTAAATTAAATATGTCTCTCTGCCATTCCTTGATAGTTCCATGCCGTGGAATTTCAGTTTTACGTAAATGCTGCATCGATAATTGTGTTACCGTAATAAAACACTAGAAAACTTTCAAGTAAACCTGTAGATTATTCAAGAGAATAGTAAAAAAAAATAATTTTTGTATTTACTTAAACCTTTAAAGAGAATTTTTTTTAAGAGTTTTCTTAGTGAGTTCACTTAATAACAATTTGAATCACTAGTTATACTCTTAAATTCCTCAATCATTACACTATATCGGTAACTTATTAGGCGTGAAATATATGAGAAAATTGAGAAATACACGTGTGCTTGTCTAGTGTTTGATGATTTTCCGCTACCCTGACTTCTCACATACTGATACAAAAAACAATTTAATTAACGTCTTAAAAGTATTGAATGTATTTGGATTTTGGAATAATTTTCACGAGGCGCCTTGTGTGTAAATAAACAATATCGTTTATATACATACATATTTGAAATGTGATAAAAGCATGCAAATTGAGAGATATTTGGGTGAGCAATTTGATGGAACTGTATAATACAGAATAGCTCTAAAAATATTTTTCCCATAAAAGGCGCGTTTTATTATCAATTATCACTGTTTGAATTGCCTAATGGTAACGTTATTTACGTTCTTCTATCCGTCATACCATTTAAGATACTGAACGAAACCACCACAAAGAGAGGATGTCCGGAGAGAATTTTCATCAGTTTGATTCCGGATCGATCGAGTTAAGTGACGAAATGACTAGAGTGAGTATAATAATGAAACCACCCTGGCGGAGATCCAAAAGTTGGTGAGGGATTGTGAGTAGGAGAGGCTGAAATTGCTCCTGCTCGCTAGACAATATTCTGCGTGGCGCCACGACAGCCGCTTCAATGCAATGAACAAAATTTGAGAGTATTGCAAATGATTCAATCTCTTCTCAGGTGTATGCAAAGTGCTGCTCATCGGCAGCAACAGCAATATGCCAGTTGTGCTCTATATGTTTGTACTGTGGCTATATCGGCTTTGCTTAGTCCTAAGAGTGAAAACGAATACACGGATGTACTGGACAAACAGTACTCAGATAATTTTGCCACACGAGAGAGGCTATCACGGTGGGATTCTTAAACATTTATCACCATGACTAGAAAGTCGAAGTGTAGACAACCCTAATATGTCACTTTTGAATGATCTTTATGATGAAATGGTGGAACTGTACATGGAGAAGCTCTCAAAAACCATCCCTAGAGTCTTGATTGATGGCTGCAATATCATGAGCCATATGAAATTTGTCTACTCAGCCATGCATAGAGTTGGATGGCTCTTTATCAAGAGAAGCTTCACTAGAGCAGAGAGAGAAACACAGGTCCAGGACCAGCTGTATTCCCAACAGTATAATTTCCAAACCCTGAGGAAGGTAAATTGAGTCTTGTGCTCTCAATTAAACTCGCCAATGAGTCTCAATGCATCGTGATCCTGGACAATGATCCTGATGCAGACAAACTGCCGTGTGCTGAAAAGAATATTCCAAATGGTTGACTATTGAGTGCAAAAGAACATTCAAACATTATTCAAGATGACTTTGCTGCTGTCAGCTTTGAGATGCTGAGTCAAGAATATTTGAAAAAATTCGCAACTTCTACAGCGTTTGTACTGCGAATAGTTGACATTTCTTTAAAACTAATCTAAAGAATTTCTTTATGCAACGACTTTTTCCTTTAAAATCACCTAAAAGACACTCTCAATGTCAAGTACGGGATGAGACACGTGATATATTTGACACCAGGTGTGAATATTGTAAAGAATGACGGAAAAGTTCTCTTTCCGGCGAGTAACATCTTTTAGACACTTTTCAGAAAACAAATTTAACGCAAAAAGTGTGCACAAGCCGGTCAGGTGTGAAAAGTATACTGATGGAGAGACTATAAATTCTATTTAACATGTAATAATTGGTGAATTTCGGTGACTGATATACCTCACAAAGAAGTGCCGAACGAAATAATGGGGAGAACGTTTCACCGGAATTCCTGAAGCCAACAAAGCGTAATTTAATACCAGCGCCAGAGTGGAAACTTTTGGTGAAGTGAGTACAATGCATACTTTCCTTTCCTGAATATTTTAAATATTCAAACTTCGTTTTATTTATTGACAACTCTATATAAAACACAATCCATATACATATAACACGCTTCCTTCTACATTCTGATAACTGAATTCCCGCCACATAATACATTTCTTTGGAAAGTATGTATAAGGTATTACTAATATTGCATTCTTTATCACTCATAAAACAGAATATATTGTTTAACCCTTGCGTGACATTCTTTTTAGAATTTGTATGTTCTAGAATTGACTAGAATATTCACATCTTTCGCATCTGTCTAATAGAAGTTCATTTTTATTAGATTGATTTTCTGGTTATATCAGCGCTGGGGTTAAAGTGAATTGCCTGAAAAATACATATTTCTTCTATGTTTTGGCGTTTTCTCTTAATTTACTTCTAAATTTTGACACTTTTTGTACTAATTGATTCTGCAACTAAATCTCAACTGCACGACTAAACATTTATTCTCTATTCTGATATTATAGGTTTTTAATTGTGATATACATATATATATAATTGCGAATATTGATCAAAGTTTAAATTGATACTAACTTTATTATTCGAACCTTTAGAATTGTGACATTCACCGTAATTATTTATCTACGATTGATTTAATTGATTTATTTGTAAAAATTAGGTCATTTAAGTATTTGGTATTCGAAGAAATTATCTAATTATTGAATTTTTGAATTTCGTTATTCACCCTTTAGGACCGAATCAGAAATATATTTGTTCATTAAAAAGATATACAGATTTACAAAGAAAGTAGTTTAGTTCAGAACCTTGTTGGCCCTAAAGGGTAACGATTTTTTTTAATCATGAAGTTCTTGAGTTTGAAAAGAATGAGAAATCCAACTATTATCAGCGTTTTCATTAAAATTAAATGTTTAATTTCTTCAAGATCAAAAATATATATTTTATCACAATACTTTTACAATTTTATTTCTCAGAAAATTCGCTTTACTTGAAACCTAATTTCACATATATTACGTCTTTGATAAATCCGCATCTTATCCCGCAGAGAGATTTTATGATAAATATAATACAGATTTTTTTTTAATTAGTAGTAGTGCAGTGTTTATATAGTAAGTAATAATGAAAGACATAAAGAAATATATAATGTGTAAAAAGAAAAATGATTTGTATGCTGAAAATTGCGTCCCAAAATTTTCTTTCTGTACACTTTCATGCACTGTAAATTTTCACACATATGTAAAATTGTTTCTAAAAGCTTCGCCTCATGGTGTGATACAATTATAGTATGGTTGCTGTTCTCGCAGCATTACCCAATTTCGGCGGTTGTCGTCAATAGTGTCAAGACAAGGTGTTATTTCTGGGAAGATATGGGCAAGAATTTCAAAAGTTGGTCTCACCACAGTGGTGATAAATTCGATTTGCAATTCTGGAATGCACGCCTTCTGGCGATCCATCATCTCTTTGGGTGACAGACCCATCTCCTTCTCCAAATCGCCCTGAGCGAAGAATTCTGCATACACCAACTCCTGCAAGACAATGAAAGGAATCAAAATATGACTGGAGGCTACTTCGAGCGCAAGCGGTCATTATCCACTCAAAAGGTATTGCCAATGGATCTTGGCATTGCCCGCAAGGTTCAAATTAATTTCAGCTCCTTTCATTGGGGCGATTGGAGCCCGAAGTGATAATAACCGGAGAGAAATAATGGGTGGATTAACATTTTATTGATTAGTTTTCAGAATTTTCCAATTCCAATTTTCTTGCGCTGTCACGAAAGAGAGTTTTCTTTGGATAAGCTCTAATATGATAGTATAGGAATAAATAAATGTGTTTTACGTTAATGGGCAGAATTCTATTGAAGCCATTATTGCTATAATTGTAACGAATTACAATCCAATTCCCAGCTTACCGCCACAAACTGCGTGGTGGGCCAAGGCTTGACTTGGTCACTCAAATCACAGCACGTCATCAGGAGGGAGAGGAAGAGCATTGGCTTCAATTTGAGATTCTCCATTGTTAATTGGCGCAAATTGCTGATGATGCGAAAATGCTGTGCCAAATCCGTGGCTAATATCAATTCTCCAATCACATCGATGCACTCCTTGAATTGATGATTGTCGAGTGAATCGAGTATCTTGCAATTGGCGTCATTTAGAATGCAAATCGCTTGGGAAAGATGATGTCGCTCATTCACGCTACCCTCAGAACTGTATAACTTCGCGAGGGAACTTCTTGAGTGTTTCTGGTACGAGTTATTAGTTCCACGATGATCCAAATCGTGACACAGGCATGCCACCAGGAATGCCAGAGCTTGCAAATCCCTGAATATGAGAGGAGCAGGAATACGAATACACACACAGATTATTTACTAAGTATAGGCTTGAACCCTTTTCACTCTCAACAACTTACGTCACCATTCCACGTTCGATGAGTTGGAGATTTTTCAACAGGCAAAAGCCAAAGTGGGTGACGGAGAAGGCGTGTGTCCAGTTGTGATACGGCATGTCTCTGTAGCCCTTCTGCACGAGCAGCAGAAATCTCAATAACTTATCTTTAGGTATCTTGAACTTCTGCACAAGTCCCAAATCGCTGAACATTTGAAAGGACATGTAAACGGATGAGATTCTCTCGATATCGCGTGGGCAGTAGTCGAAGGAGGAGAACGCACACGCGTCTATCTTATTTCCAAAGTTTTGCATGTCCAGAAGAATCGACTGAACATCATCTTCAGGTACCTAAAATAATTAGATAATGGCTCACTCCGTTGGACAGAGTTATCGCTGTTTCGCTATACAATTGTGTCTCGAACAAAGGAATGGTAGATATGTAATGTATATTTGAAGGATATTTTATGTCTTTATTTAATTTTTGTCATAAGAAAAGAGAGAGAATTTCTTCATTAGCGTGTTATATAAAATTGAAATTGCTTCGTGTATAAATATTGAACGAAGAGGATTCAAAGTGAGAAAGTCATTATATTGTTTGCGTACACTTTTTCCCGTGAATTGCCCGTGTGTTAAAGTGTCCTTAACTTTCTCACCCACGGAGAGTGACTCGATATCCTGAATATAGAGTCTCATTAAATGCGACACCTTTTTGCGTTGGCTAATGCCATCCGTGTGGAGCACTTTTTGTCACTTTATGTGTATTTATAGTTTAATTATGTGATGCACAGGGGCGGGAAAGGACAGCAGAGTGAGCTGAATTATCGGTGACTAACCTTCATGTGGTGAAGAAGAAGTTCCTGGGATAGCTTGTGGCGCGCTTCCGCCTTCTGAACACGTTCATGAACCAGAGCATGCATGATACTGATGCCACAGTAGATGGAGAATGCTGTGGCAATTTCTTCATCGCATTTGTCAAAATGAAAGCCATTCGCCTGGAAATAGAAGCGAGAATATTGCTACAATGGACCTAAAGTACAATAAGAGCCAATTCAGGAGCTGAAGAGGAGAGAGAGAGAGAGAGAGACATTTTAAGAATTTCATTATAAAATGCTTACAACTTTTGTCTCCATAGAAAGTGCGTTACTTTGCAAATTCTTCTGGAGATTTTCCAATTCAGATAACTTCATGATACATTAAATATTTAAATCGCTACACAATGTTTTTTCTCACCTTGTTGCACAATTGAGCGACTCCGATGATATTTTCCTCGTCACAAATGGGAAAACAGAGAATACTCCTGTTCAAAAAGAGGCGGTAGTAAAAGCAAAACAGTATTAACTGCTGTGAAAACACGATGAGCAAAGCCCACAACTTTTGGCACTAGGGAAAAAAGGATTCTGCTTTGCAAAAACACTTTTTCCCATGGCAGAAAGTCAATGAAACGAGAGTCAAGGGTACACAAAGAGGATATCTATATTCACACGTACAAAGGTTATGGGTTAAAAGAGGTGGAAAAGGATTAAAGTGTGACACACCAACCTGGTTTTAAAACCCGTCAATTCATCAACACCCTTGTAGAAGAGTGGATGTTGGTAGGCATTGCGAATGTTGAGCAGTTTTCCCGTATTCGCCACATGTCCAGCAATTCCTTGGCCATTCTCAATCCGTAACTCCTCGGTGGCTTCATTTCCATCAAACACTTTCGATACGAGCTCGCCAGTATACTTATCAATCAAAAACAGAGAACAACGCTCAGCATTCGCTAAGTCCTTCGCCTCTGCCATCACGCCTCGCATGAGTTTTCCCAAATCACCTGAAATTGGAAAAATTTAATTATACACTCTATACAGTCTTTATCCAAGGAAGACAAAGTGCTTTATGACAGGCGAATTATCGATTGAATTAGCAGTTTAATTGTTTAATAGATTAAACATTCACTCTACGTTTAAATTATATATACACACTTCTGTATATACGTGCATATTATATATCTATGAAGAGGAGTTGACAGCCATCCTAAAATAGGTCGGCTGGCGTCAGCCGGTGGCCTCTTGCGGCTATTCACAACTTATAATCTAATATCTAAAGAGCGCTTTCTGCGAATATTTTCCTGTACTTTGAAAATGGTCTGATAAACTCGACAAGCGTATTATTCGATTTATTATTCATACTTCTACAGGAGAGGGCGTAGCACTTGCCAAGCACTGCTTGTTTTCCCACCAATCAACCCTTCACGTATATTTTTTGTTCACCAACACAAGTGATCTCTTGACTTTTCCAGGAATTTTATCATTCTTCGCGAGAATCATCGCTAAATTAAGACTGATATCATTTTCAACGTCTTTTCATAAATTTGCTGCCCATCTCCATTCGACTTCATCTCTCTATATGTACCTTTGTTCTCTCCGTTAGCCTCTATTGACTTTTCCCCCTTTTGATTCACGACTAGTCACTTAGCATTCCACATTTTCAACTCGCAATGTTAAAGCACACTTTTCCCTGGCTGTGGAGGGGATATGACAAGGGATCATCTGACTTTTATATTACGTGATGAGAGTCTCGCTTTTTCCGAGGCGTTTCCGCCTCTTGGGACGGGCTCGGTAACAGGCAAAATGTCATAAACTGGTTGAACAAATACATCCAATATATTGCTCTATATTTATATTAAAAATAATATCGTTGGATGGGGAGAAATCGATACAAGTCAAATCGACGTGAGATTGGGTGTGAAAAATGAAATTGCGAAGTTTACACTATCTTTCACGATATTGCGGCTTTTATAGATTGCATTACTTTTGCAAAGCAATCATGTGAGATATTAAATATACATTAAAAGAGAAATTCATCCAAATTGTTGTCCGAGAAATGTGATATTAGTGAATAGGAGGAAAATTAAGTGATACAGATAAAATTCTCCAAGCCTTCACTTGATTTTCATTGAACAAGACATAATTATTGTTTCATCTCATCTTTCGAATTGCAAGAATAAAGAAAAATACCTATGCTTTAAGGGATATGAAGGTGAAATTTCCCATATTAAAACACTTCCATTGCTTCGAGCTAACAATTTTTCACTTCATGATTCTCATTCGATAGATATTTTTTTCCCCACAGGCTTCAATGAATGATTCTGAAAAATCTCAAAAGTGTACATAATTCATAGTGTAAATTGTAAATTCATTCACAACTACAATTTAAAGAGAAGAGAATGAAAGAAAATATTTTCGTTTGATAACACGTGTGATGGGAAAACTTTTGCTTTGTATGTTAAATTTTTCCTCGATGCAATCTTAGCGTCCCATCTTGTAATAGGTATAGAAATTGAACAATTATCTCCCCACCGAAAATGGGTGTTTAATTTATTTGTAACTTCTGCCTTTTGCCCTTCACATTTTATTATGGATTATTTAAATTGCACCCCGCAGTAAAATTGCGGAAAAGAGATATAAATTTTATTCCTGTTCCAATATGTATGCAAATACTGGAAAACTCACCGATTTTTCCCAATAAGCGTCGAGCGACTCTGAGAAGATTTTGGCACTGGTCCCGTACTCGCTTTTCCTCAAATAACTCAAAAGCTGTCAACAAATGACCCAGAGTGTATCTGAAATAGGATACAATTGCAGCATAATAGCATAGAAAATATAACATAGATGATGTATTGATTAAAGATAATCTGGATGAACACAATTTGTGTGACATAACATAAATTTTATCCAATAGGTCATCGATTTGAGACTTCAAGGATTAATTATTTCATATTTAAATCAATGAGAGTTTCTAGAATAGATCTGACTACTCTTACCTAAACACCTCTTGAATGATTTTCTCGTAATCTTCACGCTTCACTGTGGTGCTCTTATCTTCAATGACCAGACTGACAAAAAGAGCAACGTGATGGTTACCACTTCCTGGACTTTTCTGAGGATGCTTAATGTCAAACAATAAGATGTTCTGTTCCTTCCCAATAGTCTGTACACAGAATGGAAGAGCAGAAAAAGTTTCAGTGCAACGTACACAAATAGCTTTTGGTCTCTCTAACAGTATGAAGCGCCAGTGATTTTATTGCACAAATTCTATATATTCACTTCATATAAATAAATTTAGATATTTGCATGAAGATATACACTGAGAGAAAAATTACCTTTTCGATCATTTCCAGAAATTCGTTGTGTTTCTCGTTGACTAGGAATGAAAATCCATTCTTGGTTACTTTATTAACATCATCTGATGTTACCTACAATTAAAAATAAAAGTGAGAAAAGACAATTATCGACTAGAGTTCTCAAGTGATTTTAATTGAATTGTAATTATACTTCAATTAATTCTTATCATTTATCTTAACTATAAAATAGAGTTTGACCGGAATGATTGGCAGGAGCGAACAGCGCAGTTGAATGCCAAACAATCGTATCATTTCCAAATTTATCAAATAACACTTTTTATTGGAAAGTAATAATAATATTTTTAATTTTCCATCACTCTTCTCTATTTGAATTACGAATCAAGGTTATTCTTGACTGATAAATAGACCGTAATTATGGAGGCATTTCAAATGTAATTCCACAGATTTTTATTTATCTTGATTGGAATTACATTTTTTCCCCTAAGCTTTTGATCGTGAAGCTTTCTTGCAACGGATTTCAATTTCATTGCGAAGCCTATCTTGAAATAATATTTCTTTTAGGCAACCTTCGAATATAACCTGGCAAAATACAACTGCTTGATTACACAGAAGTATTAAATATCTTCATAAAATTTGCATATCTGGGTCTCACACTCTCGTTTAGTTCTCTTATGACATCTTCCCGAAACTTTTTTTTGTCTCAAATTAGATAAAACTCAATTGGAAGTTATGATTATGGTGTGAGCATATGGTGTCATATACTGGCAATTTAATATACTCTGGGTACAAGCTATCATCCCAAGATTGAAGAAACTAATCTCGTCTTATATTGTATTAAAACATTCGAAATTGTGCCAACTTTGCTTATCTCCACGACAGTTGATAGCAGTATGGAAGGACAGTGCTGCTCATCAGTGTAATTGTGGTTCTTAGTGGGTCAGTGAAGTTGGGATTAGCAAATAAATTTCTTGCCAGCACGCAATATAGAGTATGATTATAGACAAAAATATTGTTCAGAAAATGTAGAGCTGATTACACTCATACACCTCAGTTTCTCCATTCTTCGTTATCTATGCGCATAGTTGCGTTACACAGATATAGTTTATTGTTTGTGCTAATACTGTTTAGATACACAGAACAAAAAAAAATCACCCATTACAAGTCATATCTAATGCAAAACATATTCATGAAGAAGAAACCTTGAATTTACTTCTCATGTAGCCTCAAACATCCGCTTTAAGATATGTATGTTGGCCTAAACCACAAAAATATTCTATTCTTCACTCTTATTCATCTCTCATTTATCAAGTATTTCTCTTGGCTCTTGCAATTCCCCAAAGACTCCCTAAATTTCTCCTTTCATGACTTTTGATCCCTTGCGTAATATACCGTCTATTATTATCATCTCGCTTCTTTATTGTTATTCCACATTTTCATGACTATTCTATTGAGCTGGGAATAAAAAGATGCTAAGAGAGAATATATATACAAATTCTCAGTTGAAAAGAGTGTGAGTTTTCATTGTTTTCCATTTATCAAAGTAAAGAGAACATGAAATGCGAAACAAACTTTAAATCTGATTTCTCACAAAATGTTTTTTTTTTCTTTTGCCTTCCATTGAAAAGAGTTTTAAATGAGATTAGGATAAGCAATTTCGCAGCAGTTCCCTTGTCCTTATTATTTCATTAAGCAAAGAGCAGATATTTGCAGAACTTACCGAAAATCGAATTTCTTTATCCAAAACTTTTCCGCCAACCACTTGTAAAAGACCCTCATCACTTGTGGGAATGAGTGGCACAAGAAAGGCCACTGGAGCACCAGTCACATCCTGCAACTTTATATACCAAATAAATACCTTTCAGAACATCCAATTTGGATATAAAGGATTCAAATGTCCTTTGGGTTTGAGCCTCAAATGTCACATGAAACATGATATTGTATCTTCAGTGGAACATCACATTCCAAATTAGAAAGAAAACATGGCAATACAATCAGCTCAGCGCTGATATGGTTGTAACCACTGGTTGAAATTAAACTGAGAACATAAACTTACATATCGATTCACAACGCATTGTAATTGTATGGAATCCGTTCCGGCAATTGATAACTCTTCAATCAGTGTCAAGTGATTCATTTTGCTGCCAATCTCCTCGCCAACGGACATTGCTAATCACTGGCGCACACACTCTTATTACGTATTTCTGTGCACTTTGGGCACAATTTGAGTTTTGGGATGAGACCCCCGAGAGAGTCGCCACTTTGCGCCCTCACGACTAGATTGTCAACAACCGAGTGACTGAAGCAACAATTTTGCACTCTCTGCTGCCTCTTCTCTCAGCGTTCTGCATTCTCAGCGCTTCGTCTCGGAAGCACTTACGTAACATTGTGCTCGCTTACAGATGGCTTTTAGTCGTGAGACGCATCTATCGACGTAGTGCCACCTGTGTCTGGAAAAACAACGCGTTTTAGTTAGCTTTTCAAAACATTCTACTAACGTCTGAAACAGTTTCATTAGACTTAAATCGTATTATCCTTTCTAAACAGAGGTATACATGTAGGCGTGACCGAGTTACATATATTTTTTTGCCCGCGTTAACAACATTAATTTTCCTCTGTTATCCGAGACTCTGTGGTTTATAGCACCCTGAGTGTTCTTATGGATGTTGTATTGGTACAAATCTCTCGTTAGAAAACATAATAGTGATACTAAAGAGAGGCGAAGTCTCTGCTGAAAGAAGTACAGTGCCTATAATTACATTTCTCAACGCATCTGATGTTTAAAAAAAATTGCAAGCTGCGAAGGAATAATGAATTCAATATCTACGCTCAAAAACCGTGACTGATCTGGTGACTGTGCTCAGTGGTTGTTCAGGACCGACGCCGAGCTCGGATTTCAATGTATTTTTAGTCGGTTATTAGTAAATGCACACATTGCTGTGTCGCCGCTAAATAAACAAGAACAAACCAACAATCATTCAGCGAAACACATCTTAGAAATCCACGAAGGAAGATAGAAATGAAACACAGCATATTCATTTTCAATATTCTCTGAAAACCTTTTATGTTTGAATTTTAATCATAAAATACATGTATATAATATATATGTCAATAATAAGTCCTCATTACAGAAAATTATAATCTTTCCCAGTCATCTTCGCCAGTATTAATTTGTATAATAATATTGAAATTGGATCAATGCATTGTTAATCACTGGGTTGGTTGGTGTGAATTTCTGCGAAGAGGCGAGAAAGTAAAGGGAAGGGCAAAAGTACGCTACATAAATCTCTAAATATCGTGTGATTTCTCCTCACAATGCTCACATGGTGAATAATTCAAAAATATACTTCTACATCTCTTCTCCCCTTTCTTGATATCCATGCAGAAGACAGTCCTTATTTTGTTACATTTCATCAAGTCAATATCAATTCTGTGAAATCTTACACTTTTTCCATCTTCAATTTTATCATTTGATCTCCATATCAAATTAGATGTTTACTTATTTTTTTGTTTCTTATATGGAAAAAATATGTAATAAAAGCTAGTAAAGATACAATCTAATAATTTATTAAGGTACATGAGAAATATTATGATTATAAATAAAGACAATATAATATGCAACTTTGCTCTTTTTCAACTCCATCTTCAATATTAACTTCTTTACAAGTTAGTTTGCCAACAAATTGGGAAAAAAGTTAGAGTAAAGAAAGAAAAGTTATTATAAAATAAAAATTATGAAACAGTTTTTCCGTGAAAACTACAAATCCGAAAAAAATAAATTATCACAGATTTCTATCATTACATATATGTTTTCTCTTTTTAGTATGCTTCTTTATAATTCATATATTTCATCTTCAATATCTGTTTTCCTTGTGATTTGTTTCTTCTTATTTCTTTTCTTCTTTTTTTTTGCTTAAAATACAAATCGAAAAAACGATATTTCTCATCGAGAATGAGTGAAAGTTTCTCCTAAGAAATCCTGCATCAAATCAAAGATGACTGTTTCTCTAAATCTTGTGATTCCTTGCCTTAATTTGTACATTATTAAATGTAATCGTAAAATGTGTGTAGAGCGCACGTCTCTCGCAAAGAAATTGCCATTCTAGAACCAACGCCAAAATCCTGCACTACGATTATGTGTTAAATCCTTTCTAAATAGAGAATTCTCCTCATCACTGTAATCTTGTTCTCCTCAAAGCACAATTATTTGAGATGCAGCAATATCATATTTTCCCCATCCACATGTTCTCAATATCATCATTCAACAGTGGCGAGCAGAAGAAAGGTAACACACTGCAAAATGTCACTTTATGTATATGGCAATGATTTCAATTAGTCTTCATTTTGCAAGGATTCCTTTTGTCATCACTAAATTTACCGATTAATCTCTGTTAAATTTAGTGCTAAACTTTGAATCAACATTGTTACAAAATATTACAAATAAAGTCGTACAAATTGGATGACATTCCTCAATTCATCTCCAAATATTACTTAATCACTAAATTATTTCCCATCTTCTACACAGATTTGATGCTTTTTTTCTGCTCACCACTGTTTTGTTAGGGATTCGTTGCTCTAGTACGACATGTGCTTCTTCACAAGGGCGTCCAGTAGCCTTAATTTCCCCTTCTTCTGCTTGTACAACGCGTAAGTCTCCTCGATGGCCTTCCGGTCACTCTTCAGCATTTTGCGGCCGTTCTCCTTCTCGAATGAATGCTCGAACTCCTTTATGGTGCGCCTCAGGTCTCTCTTCTCGTCTCGCACCGCATCCAATTGCTGCCACAACTCCCGAATCGATAGCGTGTGCACGTTTTCATTCACACTCGAGTCCTCTGTGGAGTCCGTGGACTTGCTGGAGGACACAGTCGTCTCCGATGGCGATTCCACCGCCGACGGAACTGATGGCGGCGTTACATCAGTCGAGGGAGTTGCAGTCACAGTGAACGCCATGGCCTCGTGTTCGAGAATCGTGGGCAATTCAGCCACACCCACTCCAGATCCATTCAGAACGGAACTCCTGTTCAGCATCCGCTTCACCTGCCGATATCTGTCATACAAGGGACGCGCCAAGTCTCTCTCCTCACGCGAACTGGGACGCCCGAAGATGGACTCCAAGTAGAGCAAACCGCGCTGAATGGACGTCTTTTCCTGCATTAGCTGCTCCACTGACAACTCCTCAACAGCAGCCGGACGATTTTCATCCTTGCGTCGCTCTTGAAGAACCTTAAAGTATTAGAGGGCAAATAAATATTTTGAAGAACGAATCTCTGAATCGATTTCGAAATACAACAACATAGTTGTTACTTTCTTAGTACTTTACAGCAAGTTCAAGTATCGACTCAACTTGAGGTCAATCGGATCAGAGGAAGTGATTGAAAAATACATCGAATGGTCAAATTAAAATGTACAATTTCAATTAAAAAAGCATTGCAAAAAACAGCGATTGAGGAAAATTGATTCAAAATCTCAAGAGAGAAACCTTCATAAGTTGCTTTTAAGCAGAAATCTTTGGAAAACACCTTGCAATTGTTCTGCGAAACCCGTTCATTCTGGTGCAATTCAGATGCCTAATCTCACTCATGGTTCTTATCAGAAAGTTCCACTTTAATGCCATGTTTTCCTTACGCCACAGACTTGGGGCAATTTTTGCCCTCTCAAACATACGCAAATGAACTCTACAGCTGAATAATTAACGCAATTATGTACATTCCCATATAAACATTCGCCAGGCGCGCGTTGTGCTGCTAAAGTCATTTTAAGAGCTTTATTTGATGGCAATTTTTAGAATGAAATGAGAAGAAGCAATTTCTTCGAAAAATATTTGTTCACTCAAATTTAAACTCTAACCCACGTCACTTCTTATGTATGCAAAATCGTGATTTAGTGATTCTCGTTCTTTGATTTGTGTAATAAATTTGGGAGAAAGAAAGAGCACTGCGCAATTGATTAGGAGTACATCGACGAAATCACTTATGGCAATATTTATTTCAATGTCAAATACATAAATTATGATGATAAATTTTGTCAAGAGACATGAAAATGACTTCTTAGCATATATTCACAATTTCCCATCATTTATTCATAGTGACTTTCTATGATGTCTGACAATACAAGTGTATTTATGAAAGTACTAAAGTTTCTATTCGATTTTTTTTTGACTGACATCAAACGTCTTTCTCCTCGTTAAATATAATAATTCTCAATATTGAGTCTGCCTTACAAACAGGAAGTTATTTCGCTCTCTGCGAATAAGATCAAGGACCGTCCTTTGGCAATCTTCTCATTGCAAAAGGTGAAGGCAAATGAACGACTGAATAACACACTTTTCTCTTATATTCACCAGAATTGAGTGTGGTTATTTTTGCCCGTGATTCATTAAATATAAATGTTTTCACGCACATTCTAAAGAAAGTCCTCTTCAGTCACTTAAAAACACTCCATTTACGTGGGAGAAGACGCATTTCTCTCTGCCAAATCTCTCCAGAATGTTCCTCATCTCACGCCCATCCTCAACAGAGACATATGACTATTATCACATTTGCTAATGAGGCTCAACTGCCCACGCACGAAAGACCACATTTGGCACTGTGAAATTTTGGCGAGTAAATTGCAAGTGTCATTTATTCTTGGTGGTATTTTGTCTATTAATAACCGCACTTTGTGGAGGCAAAGTCAAAATATTGCCTGAGATTGCCATCATTGCGTTGAGATAAAATATCGCATTAATTTAGTCAAATCTAAATAAGTGTTTTACGACAACTCGCAGCGTTTTATCACTCAATTCTTCGTCCCTTCTCTCGTGACCACCATAATCTCAATCATATTGATAAATTACCGTATCGCACTTAGGCAAAGAGATAAAATTATACTGTCTCTATTTTATTCACATGACATTTTTGGCATTTTTTACCACCGCATAAATCATCTTCATACTTTTTTCATCCCACAAAAGCCGAAGACGCAATTTATTTCATATGAGTGGACAAAAGCTTCACTAAATATTGATTGTAATGGAATAAAGTTTTTCTACAGACTTTCTTCTGCCTAAACACTCACGTTTATTGACCAATTAATTCCTTATTAAATATTTATGAATATTGACTCGCATTTGTACGAGTTCACACACATTTCCCGTATCTTAATGAATTATAAATGTCAACCCTTCTGCATTAGTGATGAAATTGATCTTACACGGCATTGATGACTTTTCAGTGTCACGGAAATATTGTCAATTAATTGTTGAAGAGCCTCATCGCCAACTGAAGATTCTGAGTAGTTCTTTCAGAATACTGAATTAAACATAGAATGTGAGTAAAACAGCAGCTCGTGGCCGTAATTTTGGACGCCCACAAAATACATATGTTTCGTTATTAGGTAGTTTTTATGAATCTTTCAATCAGTCAAAAATTACGTGTCCTTGAAAAATTAATGTGATTTGAGAAATTACCTTTACCTAATATTATGAAAGCCTTAGAAATTTGCATTCTTCCACGAGCTTTTGCGCAGAAAGTGCATAAATCTTCTCACTTGCACTCCTCTTGCGCGTGACCCACTTTCAGGCACGAACAAATATCCAGAGATTAGAGGCAAATAGAGTGAATGTCAACTCACCATCTCGATGTCAGTCAGCGTCTCCTGCATCTGACTCAGCTTCATCTCCCCGTGCTGCTCTGACGCCGCACTGTCTCTCGCTTCCATCACTGGATCGCTCTTGATGCAGTGCTTTTCGCGCTTCAGCTTCTGAATCTCCGATACTATGCTCTTCATTGCTTTGTCGTTCATCGTCTCAATGCGTGGCGGTTTGTAGCCATAGTCCTTCTCGAAGTTCTCCTCGAACTGCGCCACGCGCTTCTTCAGCTTGGACAGCCGGCTGTTTATCTGCTTCACACGCTCATCCGGAGTGATGGCGACATTTGGCATCTTCTTCATGATGTCGCGCGTCTTCAGATTTTCGATGCTCGTGAACTTGTCCGTCTTCATCTCAATCAAAGATTGACTCTCACGGCGGGCTTTGGCAAGAGTTTCGCTGGCGTGAACATGATCGAAGGTGTTGTCAGCGAAGCGCGGACAAACAACTGGCGTGTCCTCGTGGAATGGCACATTCCATGGCAGGATCTCCTGGGGCACCGTGGATTCCGTCTCCTGATTCAGATCGATGAGATTGTTGTCATTAAAATCGGACACTGGCGAGAGCAAGTCAGATGACGATGATTCTGGCTCCTTCGGTTTGCTTCTCTCGCGACTCACGAAACCTCTGCGCTCATGCTTCAACGCGGAATTGTCATACTTGTACAGGTTCTCATCGCGATCCCTCATTTTGGCCACAACGTGCTTGGCTGGCTTTCTCGGCGACAGAGCCTTCCTCCCCGGAGGCGCTCGTGTGCGCGAGAATCTTTCACTACTTCTCCTCCTCTCATGCTCGCCATCCGACCGATCCGCCTCGTGACTTGGCGACATCCTGGCCGGCTCCACTCCCGGATCGCGCTCGCCGCCATGATGCGACTCAAGAGTGACGATGTGAGGTGGCAGTGGTTTCTTAAAATCCTCATGCGACGACACTCTCCTAATCACATCCACATCCGGTACGCTGATATGCTCCTCACTGTTGGACCGCACCAATTTCCGATCTTGCGTCTGCGAAGACGTGCTGTCCTGCCTTTCCTTGCGTTTGCGTGTATTGTGCCAGTCCAGCGGTTCGATGATCTTGGGCAGATACGAGGGCGCAATGTCCACCTTCACCTCGTCAGCCTGACACGGTGCTATGCTGCCCTCCGCCGGTGAGGATGCTGATGTCAGACGACTTAGGTCGCCATCGTGATGATCCAGAGACGGACGGCGCATGCCGCACTGAAAGTGAACCAGATGAATCCCGATTAGAATTGGTTTTGGACAGATTCACACCGACTATTGTTCCCCATCCGCGAAGGTGTTTCGTCAAGAGCAACTTTATTTGCATTTTTGATTAAATATTGTCGAGGCGCGGAAATGGAATAAACAAGAAACATTTGTTCTTTCTTATGGAGAAAAGAAGCGATAATTTTTCGCAAAATATCTCTTATAAACTCCATTCGGAGTTCTTGGTCATAATTAGTGAGTCTGAACTGTACAAGGTTCTCAACTTTGCAAACATATTCCATTAAAAAAAAGGTTTATTAATGTATTTTCTTCCCTTTGCAACTGGATTTCTTAATGTAAAATAAATCACTAAAAGAAGGCGGAGCATAAGAATGGGCTGGACTTCGAAGTGAAAAGAGCATTGCAATTATTTTATTCCTAATCTTAAGTGACATTTCATTAACGAATTTCTGTGATCTACTTCAGTTGACCTAGACTAGGTATTTTCAGATTTTCCCATAAAAGCATCTTACAGTGCAGCACAAATATTTCCATATAAATAACTTGGCACCCATTTTCACAGATTTATGATAGACATAAAATTAATATTCAGTTTAATTATAAACACTCGGCACATTCTTAATCGTCGCTTCACCAATTCTAATTACTCCACGAATTCAGTGAATGCCCGTTTTTGTTTCAGACAACATGTGAAGCCTCATAAAATATTAAAAACTCTCTCACGTAAAATATCTACACTGAATTTTACACCTATTCCTCATGAATACTTCACGTGTCGCTTTTGGCGAAAATTTATCCTCAGAGGACAGCTTCAACACACCAGAAATACATTCGAGGAGAAACATTGGGCTCTATAATATGAATAATTGAGAAACTGCCCACAAAAGCGGCTATTTTTACCAGAAGTGGCTCCAAATACAGCAGAATCATTTTATCCCACGACAAAAAGCAGTATGAGAGATTTTAAACACTTTTCTCGGGCAGAAATTCACAATCTTCAGAGCATCTGTTCCAGCAATTGAGTTGCGAGATGTAGACTGAAATGGAAATTGAACTGAACAGAGACTTTATATTAATTCTATCGCACAGCCGCTACTGTTGACAGCGACACGACGAATGGTATGTATAATCATATCTAGTGTCTTGGAATCACGCAACAGTAGTGATAAAACACTTTTTCACCCACTCGCAATTGTATCTTATCTAAGAAAGAGTTAGTGCTGGAATACAATAAATAAATCATACGTTCGCCTTTTTCCCCATTTAATTCTCATTAAAGTGTCTCTCATCCGCTGTCATCTCTATTTCACAAGGGTATATTTTTGTCAGATATGACCTCTTTATGCCTCTCAATGGATTCCAAAAAAAAATCATCATCCATTTGTGTATTTCGATGAATTCAAAATTAATTCGTATTTATTTAAGGCTCCACTACTCTTTCTTTCTGGGTCAATCAATAAGAATGATAGGAAATTTGATACTTTGCCATCATTTCGGTTTCATGTCACTTTGCAAATGACAAAAGGGTAGAAATTTCATGCGGATCTATTGGAATTTTTTCGCAATTGTTTGCCTATCGAAATTTTCCAGGAATGCACGAGGTTTTGCACACTAAAATGCCATTGTTTTCATGGTATTGTCATCAGATGAAGCTTTGGAAAGCTTCCTAGAATTTCACTCTATTACCTGTTTTATACAACTTTAAACTATAACAATAAACCACGATTAATTAAATTCCTCCAAGCAATTCATTGTAATTCCATGAGCTTTATAACCGAAATTAATTTTATTGAGAAAATCTATTTAATAATTTAATTCCTACCGAGAACATTGAATTGATTAATTTGGAGAACTTTAAGGCTTTAGACAATGAGGCACAAATGACGCAAAAAGCATTTTGTGAGTTGGAAAACAAAAAATTCTTATTTTGCCAGCAATTTAGCCCAATTTGCTTGATTTCAAGCGAGTCAAAGTTTTTATTGCACATATGCGACATCAGTTTTGTTCTTATCTGCGGACTTTCTATGTGTGCGAATAAAAAGCGCGACACTTTTGATTGATGCCATCGAGTTTAAGCATTCATATTTGCAGAATAAATCAATATTGTGAACACTCTATCGTGTAATTGCTCGCATTCTGCGAAATCTCCATCACAGAGAGAAAAGCGGAGAAATGACGGAAAAACTGTGAGCTCAACTCGTCATGAGAGTGGCTCACACACGATAATTGGTTTAGAAAATGCTGACAACTCATTCTGCAATACTTTGCTTGGCTCTAATTAAATTACCAGCAATTTTCCTTCACCTTGTAAATCGTCATTTTGTCCATCCACACAATCTAACCTTTTTTTACGCCTTTCTTTGCGCTAAATTGCATTAGAAATTCTTCACAATGATTGTTATTATTGTATTTTTGATGAACTGGGGTGAGATGAATGCACATTAGCACGAGATATTAAACAATAACTCCCATAATTCTCATTGTATCAATTGTGACGAGAGCAATTTATATGTACATATTTGCCTCTGCGTGAAAAGAGGAAAACGAACGACACTCTTTCACTAATTTACACAGTTGCATTTTATGTGAATAATAAAGAGTCAATTTGTAGTATTGGAAGTGCACTTATCGCGCAAAGTCTCTTGACAATGAACGTCCTTCACAGTTGAGTATCGCGTCTCAAAACATCGAGTCCACGTCGAGATAATAAATCGATTTGACGGAAATTATTTACACGGCATTTTGCCACATTTGCACATAAGAAATCGTCTCCTTTGCCCCCTTTGCGTGTGTGGAATTTTTACGAGAAAAGGTGACACTTTTCTGGCTTCCGCACTCTACTAAACATGAATACATGCACGCTGAGCTTTTCTCGCGCAAAATCTAAATATATTAGTCCACTCCCTCCGAAGTTCGGTCAATTGTCAATGAATTTATAACATGTCAATTGTAACTAATGATAGTCAAATACACTGATTACATTTTCAACAGGTTGCATGTTTTAAATCAATTACACGTGCAAGAGTCGTAAAAGAGAGTCGAAACTGAGCACGAGAGAAAACATTTAATTCACGATTAATTCAACAAAAATTCACAAGCTTTTTCTGCTCTTCACGCATTAAAAATAGCTACAAAAATAAGCATACCTAAATATTCTAACTACACGCTTCTCTAAATAAATATCCACTTCATCCCATCAGTGGCGTAGTGCAATCTAAAATATGGGGAAATTGACTATGTACGTGACAAGCCCTCGACTATCGAGGCTTACAAAGGAATTGAGCTTTAACGCTCAATTCCAATATGACATATTCCGAATAAATAGAGACGAAAATTTATTTTAAAATAGAAAAAACCAAATTTTGTTCACAAAAACATGTGATAATTTTAAACCCTCACAGTAAGTTCTGATCTTAAAATAAATCCATCAAAATTGTGAAAACTTTAAAACAAAATAGAAATAAACAAACACTTCAAGAAGAAAATCATGATTTGAACCTATGACTCTGTCATTCACTATTTTTTCAATCATTCACAGCTATTGAAACTCATCTAATGGATATTGAATAATATTTTCTTTGGCATTTGGTACAGTTGAACTTCTTACATTTGCCGGTGAAACGAAAGTAGAATTTATACAGCCCATTTAGAGAAAATCACACCTCAATTGATGCTTTTCTTTTCACTCTATCCCCCTTTTTAAAGTGAAACCACACACAGAACACTCTCGGTTCTTCTATACACCACAAAATTATCCGATGAAGTGAGTTTGCATTAAGTTTGCTATCGAATGGAACTGGAAAATGCTTGTATGTTGACTCTATCTTTGTGACTTTATCGCAGATTGCGTGGTTGGAAAAATTCTGTTGTATAGTAAATCTTACCCATTATAACATTGTTATGTTCGTCACAAAACTCATATGCTCTAAAGTCTAATTGAGTGATAATCGTGTATTTAATAGAGTGCAAATCGATAGCGATGGATAGCAAATTGAATTGTTATTCATTGGATTTTAGCATCACAAAAAAATTCATCGTTAACGCACGTATTTTTAGCTCAGAATGTTTGGCTCGTTTGCAAAAATTCTTTAAGATAATATTTACTGAGAGTTTGATGGGAAACAGTGTGACAAGAAATACTGTTTACAAAATTCTCATCTTGCCTTCTCTTTTATCTCCAGTACTTTTTTTTTCTTTTTCCTACTGTTTGGACTTTGAAGAGCTTTTCTTCCGTCATTGATACTTAATCGATATCTTATCACAGGGATTTTCCGATGCTGATATAGTTACAATGGGTCAAAGTGTCTCTCCTCAAGCAGACTAACATGATAAGAAAAGGTGTGGCAAGTCTACTTACAATGCAGGCCTTGACTGACTCCCAAATGTTTTTCGCAAACAATTCGATTTTGGACAATTTCACTGCAACTGCAAGAAGATGATGATTTCCTATGAGACAATTGCTCTTCAGCTGTGCAGCAAAGTGGATCTCCGGATTTGTGGTCCAATTGGTCAGAAATTGTGCTGTGACCCTTGTGCTGTTTCACCAGATTTATCGAAGGAAAAAATGTTCACAAATTCAAAAGTCTTTGTCAATTCAAACGGCAGTTTCGGGCGAGAAATATCCTTACAACATATCGCGATCTCTGCACATTTTTCCGTAAAGTCTTTTCACACAAACTACGGCTGTTTGAGGAAATGTGTCGACACCAAACGATAATTTAGCATGTGAACGGTGGCGCCTTCAGTTCAATATTGAAAAGAAGTCACTCTATTCTGCCCAGCCGAGCCACCTTTTCAAGACAATTACCCGCACTCACACTTCTTCCCACTCGCGCGAGGGAGAGTCTAAGCTCGACAATCACGCTCAGCCAAAATTACGCAGTTACTGAGCTCTCCCTGTGTTCCGTTTTCTTATAATGTCACTGCTTTCCTCACGCCTCCCCAAGTGCTTCGGCTGATGGTTATTTAGAGACTCACACCGCAGAAGAATTCACGACACGCGCGAGATTGGAAGTTTGTGGCTAATCCTTTCACACGCTGAGATGGATCATTCCGAAAAAGTTCAATCGATGCACCTGTCACACCGGGAGATTGATGCTTCCTGAAAATACACACCAGCAGACAGAATAATGAGTGAGAGTGGCTGAATATTACATAATATGATGTCAAACAGAACGCAATATTCTATAAACGAAAACTCTTCGAAGCTTTCTGCTTTTGCACAGAGCTATTCAAGGCTTCTGTATGGAATTGGTATTTATGACCAAAATTAAATCACAAAGAAAGACAGTAAGGAAAAGACGCAAACAATATTTTCTGAATTTTTTTCACGAAGGTTTTTCACGAAAAAATAGTGCGGAAATAATTTTATGATCATACTGATCGGAATCTCAAAAGTGTCAAAATGAAACATTGTAACTTTGAAATGATAACGCTGCATTACGGATTGGTCATAAAGATAAATCAAGTATAAGATTATCAAATTTTATACTTAGAGCTTCTACTAAAAAAAAGAGAGACATACGCAAATAGTTGTGAACGGAATGTTTTGCAAATTGTATAAATAACCCCTTCTTTATAAAATCAATATTTTATCGCAAAATATTGACTAAATGCTCTTATGGTTTCGCTCTTGCACAAACCAGCTTTCCTATGCAAACATCCCGTCGTTCTTTTTTCTTTATTCAACATTTACTCTCTCTCCTCGGCCTAAACACGCACTGAGCATCTTTGCGCCTAAGCAGAAAGCGAAAAAGAAGGGACACAACATAAATTATGATGAAGGAAGATGGATTGCCTCGATATTTCTGCCAGAAGGCGTTCGCATTTTAATGAAAATACCGAAAAAAATGATAAGATTACACTTGATCAATTTTGAAATGAATAAACCTCATAAATCTGCACAATTGAACGGAAAATTGTCATATCTTGCAAATCTGGCTGTTCATGTGGCCATTTTATCAACATTGATGACTCGCGAATCGAGCCACAATTATTTATGGTGTGACCATAAAATTTTGGGGGAGAGTCGATGAATTGAACTCGACCGATAGAAGCAGAAAAACCATTAGGGAAATGATCAAATTGTAATTTAATCAGAAGCCAATCACATAGTGTGTGAGCAAATGTGCAAGTGTTATTGATCGCAAAATCTGGTCTTGGCTGGACTGCAAAATCATGACCCATTTGAGCATCTGATAACTCTCCTCATGACCTTCCACTTGACTAATTTTAGAAATTACGCTCACGACGACTTCCACTGTATTTATAGATGGATTTTTCTTTCCAGGCTATCATCACAATGTCTTCCGTCGACTTCCCAGATCCTCAATGAGATGCCAAGGATGGAAGAAATCATTTAGAAAAATCATGTATAACTAATGATTCCACCGCCAGAGGCACATTGGAAAGCAATTGAAATCAATTCAGACCAATTTATTTGTCACATCCGCGAAAAATCGCAGATACTCTTGGATGGAATATTCTCGCGGAGAAAAGAAAAGGTGAGAATTGAAGATAAGGCGTTTCACCACCTCAAAAATTTTGCACAGCAAACCCACCATGACCAAACCCACCGAGTTCAATGGTTGAAGAATCACCAGAATTTTTCTGCTGCGTCACAATTCTTCCCCTCTTATGCTTTTTCGCTCAAAATCCCAGCTGAAAACAGGGAAAACGTCCGAACAAAGACTTTAAGGGGTGAAGAAATTGGCTCTTGAGGTCGCAATTTAATGAAAAAAATGAGAGCGAAAATCAACAAAGAGGACAATGATAGGGAAAAAGCGACGCAATTTTTGAAGGTAAAATGGGCTGGGCCTTTTCCTACAGGAAAACCCACATTCACCATTCCCAAATAAATCACACACATACACTTCTTACCTTCAGTGAGATACCCCGTGTGATAGAAATAGCAGAAATTCTTTCACAGTTCCTAGTCACTTTTCCAGCAAGTCTAGTCGTGTAAGAGATCAGGAAAGAGATGCAACCCAGGAATCGTCAACACTGAGAGATTTCACTTTGGGAATTGCTTTGGACTTTCAATGGCTCTCTCCCAGAGTCTTGCCTCAATGTGTAATCAATAGCGAAGGACATGCGCGCCAAAGGCCAAAGAGAACCTCAATATTCCTTGTTCAAGAGACACACACGTTCCTGTGTGTCGCTTTCCACTCCCCTTTCACACCCTTCCCTGCCTCAATGGCACTCTCCAGACCTCAACGCAGACGACGGAGGAATCTTCCGTCTCTCCCCAGGAATACCTCGAAGCGAAGGACTTTTCCCCTTAGCCGAGCAGCACGTGCGACAAGTGGAGCAACATAATTTTTCTCACTAGTAGACGATGACGAAGTGGAGCCGAAATGCAGACGGGAAGGAACCAAAAGAAGAAGACCTGATAGCGAAAAAATCAATACACGGGATCGCCATAATTATTATTCATGCTATATCAACACTTTTCACAATTACCACCTTGTCAACTTGCTCAAGAATCATCGTCACGAAGCAATCAATCATGAGATCCTTATTTAACCCATAATTATTGTGCAAATGCGAAAGGAGTAAAATTAGAAAATCCATTTAAAAGGTAAGAATATCATTTCATCACGCAAAACCAATATAATTCCAATGCTAAACTCAGATTTTGATACTATTCGCAGAAAATGTGAAGAAAATATAGAGCGCAAGAACTTTTGAAACAACGGAAAGTAGCAATGAAAGTGAGAGAATCATGACACAGTTGCAAAGAATGAGATCGAAAGGGATTGTTTCAAGCGCTTTCATGAAGTCAAGTTGCAACAGGACCACAAAGTTGTTGCGATCAAATCTGAGGTTTTGGATTCGATAAAAAATCACAAATCTATTGATATCAGTAGCTTACAAAGATGATAATTGAAGGGATACAAAGTATTATATAGGATGCATTAAATAAAGGAAATAAACGCAAATTGTAGGAAGCATCTCCATTAATGCTGTAATCGCTGAAATGGACAGTTTCTGAAAATGCGCACTTGCTTTTTGTACACATCCAACTTTGACCTCTCAGCGATTGCACTAACTCTTGTTTGTTGTCTTCTGATTAAACAACAGGAAAGTCTTTATAGCAAAATATCAACTTTTAGCCGATTCAAAAGTCATTTTCTCTCTAGACTAAAATAGCGTTCTGCAAATCTACTCCTTCATTATGGAAAATAACAGGCGCAGCACTTTGGAATTTTTCGAAAAGAATTGAACATCTGGCTTTACAGAGAAGCATTTGCCCAACACCAGAAAAATCAAACAAATCGGAGAGTGATAATTTATCCAATTCCTTCATTGTCACATCTTCGCAAATAACACTTTCAATGTCAAGGCTGTGCCATTTTGGGCGTGAAAGAAGGCGTTTTGCGATACCGATTATCAAGACTGGTTTATTTTTCCCAGCACTTTTCTTCTCCTCACTCGAAAAAATATTCGGCGCGCAGACACTCAAGCTTAAACTTGTGAACCTCAATATAAACAGAATTGCGACGATTAAATTCGAATGAATAAAAAGAAGCGCTATTTTTGGTTCTCTTTCGGCTTTTTTGTCTGTTTGTTTTGACTTTTTTCAGCGCTCTTCTCTTCGGTAAAAGTTAAGAAACACATGCTAAATGGCAAACAGAATAAACAATGACATAATCGCTGAGTCTGAATCACATTTTACTAACAAATGTATTTTAAAACTCAGCTGTTTGTTTTACAATACGCGTTGGGGATCAACTGATAAAAGATTTCCCACCCGCAAGCACAAGAAAGGCAAACGGATTACAGAGTTGTGGAGAGCCGAAGTAAGGAAAACATTTGCACTACATTTGCCACTGTTGACATAATTTTAGAGACGGTGAGTTAGGCCTTGTCCCTTCGCAAGAAGCACTTCATGCGCCACACCTTGTATAATTATGGAGCAGACAATTGACGGCAAATCACAGTTTCAGCAACTCTTCGCCAAGGCTATTTTTGCCCCACTGAATTTTCTGCAAACACTATGAATGAGGCTTCCACTCGACGCGAATGAGTCTTCACAGCTCCTCAATGGCTCTCGCTTTTCAGTTTTGGGCCTAAAAATACCCACATCGGTGTGGTGAAGGCGAGAGAACGTGCCAATGTGCAGCTACAAGGTATAGATTAATTGGACTGCGGCCTGTTTGTCCAGACAACACTCCTATTAACAAGCGAGTGCTTCTTTTTCTCCACATTTCCACTCCAATTGCCATTATCAGTTGATGGGAAGCGGATGCATTAGAAAAAAAAATCGAGTTCAGCTCTTGGTTTCAACTATGATTATCTCAATGAGCTCTTATCACCACTGTCGTCACACCTTTACAGTCTTTCCAACGCTAATAGAATTTAGTAGAGTGCCGTGCACAGGGGATCCACTATTAGACATTAATTAGTTTGTGCACTCATCATCACTGATTGTTGTGAAGACACGGAATTCCAATTGATTCGCGTGATTAATTACCGGATGATTTTCTTATCTTTTGGATGAAACTTAAAGATCTGAGAGTAAATCGCAAGACAGTCTCGTGAAAACTTTATAGAATTTATTTAATAAAATATATTAACTCTTAATCAGTAGAATTAGATGTAAAAATAAACTGCAGTGCTTTGAAACTTTGAAATACTTTTTTTCAGCTATTTACTTGTATGAATAATCAACCTTAAGAGAGCATAAAGAAGACTCCAATATTAGCAGTAATTAAAGCCTACAGTCGAGGTATTAAAGCTTTTACGGTCCCTATTTATTTTGTGACTTTGTATGTTCTGCGTCATCTCTTGACATGTAATTCATATGACTTGTTACGGGATTAAAAAAATGATTGCATTGAAACAATTCATTAATGAGTGAATTATTCATTAAGTGAGGAATAGATTAAACATTCAATTTATTCGCTAGTTTGTTGTCTCAATTTGTTTCTAGATACACATACCTACTTCAAGCCAATCTCTCAAAGAGTTCTCTAAATTTTTTTTTGCCAATTTTTTATTATATCTTCTAATATGCCTGTAATGGGTTAACGTGATGCAATGTTGATGGAAATGAGTTCACTCTCTTGATGAAAATTTCCATTTTTCACGCGATATGTTTCGTTTTTAGGTCAAATCTTGAGGACTGCCATTTGAATCTCGCAACAGCAAATTTCCTGAAATTTTTTCATGAAAATCCCAGCACTTGGCGCACTTGAGAGTCGTTGAACTCCGCACTTGTGTGTTTTTTATGGAAATTTTTCCACTATTCATCGATTCTTTTTTCCCTTTTTGTATGTGCATTTTTCTGGTTCACTTGGAAAGTCTCCAAGTGAGATTGCACAACTTCCTCACGGCACTTTGGGGCGCTTCAAGTGGAAAATCCTCCCAGAAGGTAGAAAATGTAGCTAATTTGAAGAAAATTGCCGTGATTTCTCTCGAGACCACTTGACAGCCATGAAGACCAAGCCCCTTTTCCTGGTGCTTCGCCCCTTGTGCATTTTCTTCACGCGAATTTTCTAGAATTTCTCACAATGTTTCATGCTTGGGTGTTAGGATAAGGCACTGAAATGGGGATTTTTATTCACTTTTGCTCCAATAAGGCGTGTTCTCTTCCCTTTCGCCAAGATTTTCTCACAAGGCTGTCAACGGGGGCCCAATTGGGAGTCCCAAAAGTGTGTGATTTGGTGCGAATTTACTTACTTTTTAGTACCCAATTGTGTCAGTGAACTTCCAATTACTACTTTAGCGGCAGATATTCACATTGATAGCATTTTTATCAGCAATTTCGAGCATTTTTTGCAGGCACACACTCAACACATACTTTCCAGGGAAATCAACGCACACACTAAGAAGCCATCTGACATACCTACTGTTATACAAATTTGCTTTCGGGACTAATATAAATTTCACGCCAAAATTTCATGAAATATTGGAAATGTATGATTGTATGATAGTTCACTGAATTGCATCACGGAAAAGCCTCGAAAAACCCTGAAGATCTGCCTAGAATTGGATTGTACAAGGGAGTGTTCTCAATTAGAAAGTAATAACAGAATATCCTCTCAAAGTAAATTTTCATTTTTCGCGCTGTTGACGCATATAACTGGAAGTCTGGAAGTAGCACACTGTCATCGTGTGTCTTTTCCAGTTTACTCGTGCTGGCAAAGGATGAGTTTGTTCAGGAAAATTGTGCCCTTTCCTGGGCTCCGTAATCACCAGGTGCGCTTCTTTAAGCCCGAACTGCCCATAAAGTGGGTTCGTCCGGAGAGGATTTGCTGCACGCATCCTGGAAAGAGTGGCGACTTGAGTGGGAGTGCTCGTGTGGATCTAACGCTGCCGGTGCAAGAATACCGGAATTCTAAGCTCTTAGCCGAAGCTGATGACATTGTGCGGGAGCTCTTCACACTCGGGAGATACCCAGGAAAGAAGACTGGCCACTACTTGAGGAATCAGATGAAGGCTGAGGTGCAGAGACACGCGCAAGACGAGGGTTCGATGGAGACTTTCATCGCCGATCAGACGGCAAGAATTCGCCGATTGCAGGAAATCTTCGCTGTTCATCCCAGAAACAGAATGTTGAAGGTCTACTTAAAGGAGTTGATCGAAAAGCGGAAAAAAAATCTGAACGATATGAGACGTTGGGACTACAGAAGATTTGAGTGGATCCTGGAAAAGTTGGATTTGGTTTACAAACCTTATGCGGCAGAGCATGTTATTCTAGGCAGAAAGTATGCTGTCCGGAAGCTGACTGACACGCACTGTGAGGAACTCATACAGAAGAAGCTACTGGATTACCAGAAGCATTTGGAATCGCAGCAGGTGGACTTTCTGAAGCGTAAAATCAAGAATCTAGAGTTTATTCGACGGGAGCAAGAGGACCTAAAATTGCCTCAGACAGTCACCGAAGAACAAATAAATGCCGCCAAGGCCAAACTTGCGGAAACTATAAAAAGGCAGGCCATTGTCGCGCCCAAGAGCCATTGAAAAGATTCGGATTGTTAAATATTATAATTTGTATAAAAAAAATACATCAGAGAAATTTTAGTAGAGCATACAAAATAAAATATCAGTGTAAAAATATCCATTAAATGCATTTCACTGGAGATTCCCGAGCCGTCGGAAGCTTTCTGAGGAGGGGCTTAAAAGGCATCTGCACACCGGGGATAAGCATTGCATGCTGGTGAGCCATTGAGTCGATTTCGATGAATGTCTCAAGACAATACTGAAGAATGACCGCCAGGGCGCAATAACTCACCTTTCAGTGCTGCCGCTACAGGCTAGTCATCGCCGGTGGCCTGGCGTACGCCTTGGGGATGAAGCCATACTTTCGCGTCTTCGGTGCGTACGCCCACAGCCACCCATCCACAGTCTGATTGTTCAGATCGGCGTAAATCCAGTCGCCACGGCGCACGGACAAATCATCCGGAGCCTGTGCTTTATAATCATACAGCATCACCAGCTCCGTGCCGTGATAGCGCAGATCCTCAGAGCCGCCCAGAATCTGCTGACCAGCCCCATTGCCATTTGCTGTGGCCCCGGAAATCGGCGCAGCCGTCTGAGCAGGATTGGCAGGACAACTGGGCGTAGATAAGCTGTTATTGTTGTTGTTGTTATTATTGTTGGGAGCATTTGAGGGTGCCTTCACGTTGCCCTGAAGCACATTGTCGGCGGGATAGACGAAGCCAGAGGGGATAAAACCCTCCTGGCCATCACTGCGCACAATCCAGAACCAGTCCGGATCCTCCCGATTCAGTACAGTCACAAACTCTCCGCGCTCCACGGAAACATCGTTCTCATCGCGCGCAATGAAGGTGTAAAGCACGATGTAACGACCGCTGGGGTCCTTGGCGAATGGCAAGAAGTCAGGCTCGGAACTCAAACTGGCCTACAGGATTGAAAGAAAAAAAAGAATTGATTGACTCAACATCCTCAATATTAACTCAAAAATATATTGCCTGAGAGTGTTTGAGAGAGGTTTGCAGACCCATCAATCCCGGTGCTGAGTCGTCCATCAATTCTGTCGCAATCTCGGGCGCCCCTTCGTTGATCTCCACTGTGGTTAAGCCCACCACTTGGTCTCTGGGCAGTTTCTTCTTGATGGCCAAATCTGCGAGTTGGGTATTGAAAGGAGCACAGTAGGAGTGCGGAATGAAGCCCTCTTGCCGCGTGTCCTGTCCAATCACGTACACCCAGTCATTCTCACGGTACAGGATGTTAACAATCTGCCCGCGTTTCACTTCCAGCTCGTCGTCCACGCACGGCGTGAAGTCGTGCATCACCACCATTTTTGAGTCCGGACTCAGGCCGTGCTCCTTTTCAATGCCCACACGCACCAGTGTCTCAATGCTGGCAGATCCCGTGATACGCCCCATGCCATGATTCAGTCCCAGGCCGCCCTGAAGCGTGAGATCCTTGTCCAGCTCGGCTCCCAGTGCTGACATGGACAGATTACAAAATTGCATTACAATTTGGCTCATTTCACTGCGTTTCCGTCACTTTTTCCTACCCTTTTTCTTCTTCCCACGCCGTATGCGCACTGGACAGAGAAATGCCATTGCTGATCTTGGGATTGCACGTCTCAAAACATTGCAAAAAGGCTGGAAAAGGAAGACTTTCGTCTCAAAATCACTTCCTGATTACCAGCTGTCACACTTTGAAAGCGCCACTGCGGACGGAATGTGCGACGGAAAGTGCGTTATACAGGAGGGTTGCCATGTGGAATACATTGGAATATTGGAAATTCCGAGCGTTAAAGAAAATGCGCTAATATTCATGGAAATTGTAATATTTTCAAAATATGACCCAATTTTCACGAAGTAGACGTAATTTCCTTATTTTTCAGTTGGTATTTACCATGAATTACATTTCTGCCGCTCCGGTACTGGAAGTGTCAACAGCCTGGAAGGAAATGTCATGCGCGCGCGCACCTCAAACGTCAGGTGGAAAAGTGAATGTGCAGTACACACGTCTAAGTTTTTCTCGATATCAAGACTTTTTTCACAGCCCCTAAGCTCATACCTGAGTAATAATTTCTGACGACAGTGATCCCGGATCCTTGGACAAACAAGCGTAGATCGCATTGCACAGCACTGGCTGCAGAATGGATGACGATTGGGGTGAGGAGGCGCGATGCGTGTCACATTTCTCCTATCCGGAATTGACTTTCTCTCTTGCCACACTTGCAGAGCAAATTGCCGACAAAATTGATCGGGGTGCGATTCCGCCGAAGACACATGTCAACAAGTGGGAGGGCGAGGACGAGGACGACGATGTGAAGGTGAGGCTGCACCCGGTAGAAGTCCCATCCGGATGCATTCTATGTCGTGGATTTGTGAGGTTATGTGTTTCAGAGAGTTTACAGCTGTTATCATTGTTCTGCAGGACAACTGGGAGGATGAGGAGGAGAAGAAGGATGAGGAGAAAGTCGAGGCGAAAGTAACGAAAGCGAAACCCAAGAAGACATTGCAGGATAAAATAGCAGAAAAAGAGGTAAACAAGGCCAGAGTGTGTGTTAAATTTTTACGGAGAGTATTAAACTGTCTTTCTGTTGTGCAGCGTCTCCAACAGGAAGAGACGGAGAGATTGGAGCAGGAAAAGGTGGCCATGACACCGGAAGAGCAGATGGCGGAGAAACTCAGGATCGAGAAGGAACAGAGGGAGTCTGACCTGAAGAATGCTCAGGAATTGCTGGGCGTGAGTGGTGAACGCCTGTCCGGAGAGGGAATCGATGCAATGTACCCCACAAATAAGGCGGAATTCACTGAACTAGCCGAAGCCATAAGCAGAAAAGCGTCCACATTCAAGAGCAAGGATGACTTTCCGGGATTTGTTGAAGATTTAGTTCGCAATCTCTGTGTACATTGTAAGGAGCGAAACGACAAATAGCCTTCCAAAGACGACAATTGATAAGTCTAATGTTTCTTCTCTTCCAGTGAATTCGATTGACTTGAAGAAGGTGAAAACCACAGTGGACAATTTGTACACGGAGAAGCAAAAAATGGAGAGGGAGAAGAGTAAAAAGGGCAAGGCCAAATCGCGAGCTAAATTGAGATATGACGGAGACACTGTGAGTATATAAAATGAAACTACAAATGCCCTAAAAGCATCTCACACGCCAATTTCACCACTTTTCTTGGCAGCAATCGAAGATCACGGACTATGGCTACGAAGAGTATGATGATTACGATGACTTCATGTAACATTAAATCAAATGGGGGATCTTTACTTGTTATATTTACAATTGATTTGATGACTAAGAAATTCAACATTCAAGAATGGCAAATCGCGATGGATAAACTTTGGTAAATGCGCATCCTATACAAGTGTAGAGAGTTCTACATGTTTTGTCTGTATATTAACTAAAATTAAATATGAATTTTCAAATAAACATTTAAAGATTGCAAAGGGAAACTAGCGTTTATTTGGTGTGTTAGGTTTTTGAGCCAATTTCTGGGGCCTCGAAAAGAATTCGACATAGAAAAATCCTTCCCTGAAACTTTCTCAAGGTAAGCCATTTCTGTTTGAATTCAGTGAAAGCAAAAAGTATATTTTATCTGGGATTCTAAAGAATCTTAAAATTCTTTGCTCATTCCGCTCTTTTCTTGCGTGGATTCAGTGAAAAACGAAACCATTGCAAGAAACACGCGTTGAGTTGATTCATCAATGGAAGTGTTAACACACGCACAGCAAGTGACACACGTCGCATGTGTTGGTGGTTCACCGCTTTCTGGAAAATCGCATTGTTTTCATGGCTGGCCAGCTGACTGGAAAGTAGGGAGACTTCACTGCCTCTTTGGCCAATTTCACTCACTTTTCTGAGCTCTGCAGTCGCAAAAAGCAAAAGAGTGATCCAGTATTCAGTCCACCACTTCCAAATAAAGCCAAGAGTGGTGAATTCAGTGCAGAAAGACAAGTTCGCCTACGTGAAAGTCGCTCTCTTTTTTCCCTGTGTTCTGTGATTCACCGCTGGAAAGACAATGGCCAAAGTCATCAGCCAGGAGACCTTCGATGACACTGTGAAGGAGAATGTCCTGGAGTTCGAGATGTCCGTGGAAGAGGCCAAAGAAGAGACCATCAAGCAATTTCAGGCACAGGGCGTGAATCTGGCGAACATCATAGTTGATCTGAAGGTGAACAGCGAGACAGGACGGCCAATAGTGCTGGAGAGAATTGAGGAACTCAAGGAGATTGAACAACTGACTGAGGAAAACAGGAAAGACTTCTTGGAGAAGGTGCAAGTGATCTCAGAGGAGTGCTCAAAGGTGAGACTTTTGCCTTGAGAATGTCTCTCATCAAAATAACAATGTTTTGACTTACAGACTCTTCCTCATCGTGTCCTGGCGGCGAAAAATGGCGCAAATGATGCTCTCTTGAACGCCCTGAAGAAAGTTTTGGACTCTGAACCTCGCGATAAGGAAGTCCTATACAGAATCCTTGAAAATCTCGGAATTCTCTCAGAAAAGCAACCTGACATCTTCACTCATGATTGCCTACATGCAGCCATTCGGCTTTTGCAAACGGAAACTGATGAATCCTGTGTCCGGGAGTGCCTCCGATGGCTTCAGAAGGTGTGCATCCTTCACGAGATGAATCGTCAGATGATCATAGAGGAGGGCGCCGTGAAGACTTTGAAGAATTTCCTGGCGACGCGATCTCCAGTGCTTGTCAGGGAATTGTGCAGTCTCTTTCGGAACCTAGTTCTGGATGATGACATCCGGGTGGAATTTGGGAAGGCTCATGAGCATGCTAGGACCATTGCTGAGTCCTGCCTGGCCGATCTTACGAAACTGCTCTATGGTGAGTGGATTTATTGACTGTCTCAGACTTTCATTTCCAATTCTCACTCTATATTTTGTAGACTTCAAAGGCGACAGAGACGTGGTGAGTGATCTTCTGCTGACCATTGCCACTCTCACGGTGAGAAATGAGTATTGTCTGCTCGTTGAGGACGCCGGAGGACTCAAGTTCACTCTGAGCGCAATGGGAGAGCATTCTGAGAGTCTGAAACTTCTCCGCGAAGGCTTGAAGTTGCTCAAAGCTCTAGCCGGGAATGATGCTGTGAAAGTGAAGATTATTCAACAGGGCGCAGCTCCATTAATCACCAGTCTCTTGAGCACTCATCAGGCTAATGAATCCCTCGTGCGTTACGCTTTGGCTGCCATCGCTATGCTCACGCTGCGCGTGAAAGAGAACAGCCAGGCTTTCTTCGACGCTGGCGCTGCTGAAGTGATTGTGGGCTGCATGAAAGTGCACGAGAAGAGCAAATTCGTGCAGAGATCCGGCGCCCATTCCATCCGAAATATGGTGTCCCGTTCGCGGGATCAGTGCAACGCCTTCATCTCTCAAGTGAGTTTCTCAAAGGCTTATTTCACAAGCAAAGACAGTCTCTAGTGTGTAATGAAATGACTTGCAGGGAGCTGAGGACGTACTCAATCTCGCCCTAAAAGAGCATCCCAGTATCACGTATGACGTAAAATCGGCGCTCAGGGATTTGGGAGTGACTGTGCAGCTGAACGAAGAGTGGACAGGCACGGCCGAAAAGAACATCACCAAGTGAAATGGCCAGCACAATCTTAAGTATTTGCACATCATTTTTCACAAGCTAACTTATCCTCGCATCAGTGACAACCTTTTTTACAGATCTAATAAATGTTTAGAGAGGAATTAATCCTTTCTATTTTCTACTTAAAGTATTCTGATTGTTTGCCCAGATTCAGGATGTTTCAGACAATATTTGATAATGATGATCACTCGCTGTTCTAAAGAAATGTATAGTGAAATTTTCCTTTCAGTTTCTTGAATATTTCCTGTGGTTTTTAAAACCTCTCTTCGTCAAAGCAGCGTTGGCGCATGCGCTTTGTCTCTGTTTAGTATTTGTTTTTCCTTTATATAATTCAACAGAGCGACAAAACAGTTTGCATTTCTCAGCGAAAGTTCACCTATTTTATCGCTGTCTCACCGCTTCTTGCCCTTGTCCGCGCCTCGGGTGGGCAAACAGGTTGGCTGTAAGAAGTTGATTTACAGACTTTTGAGAAGAGTGCAATAAAGCCGCCTCATCATCTCAACTGAAGACTGCCAAATCGGCTGATAAGCGAGGGGAAACAGCTACAAACACCATTATCTCAATTGAATAATAGAACAGCGAGATAGAGCTGAGGGTTTCCTGGGATCCGGGACGGAAGAGACGGGCAGATAAGGCAAAAAAGCGCGGAGACTGGCATTTTAACTGTAAGTGCCGGTCACTTTCCAATAGCTCGATTTCTCCGGTGATCAAACTGCGCAGCTCAGTCGCTTGTTGAAGGTCAGAGGCAAAGGAATGGCATCGCGAAGTGAGAAGATCGGAATAATTGGGAGTGGCTTGATCGGGGGCTCCTGGGCAATGCTATTTGCTTCTGTGGGCTACCAAGTCACCATCTACGACATCATTCCTGAGCAGGTTGACAAAGCGCTGCAACATATCCAGGCGGAACTCAAGAAACTCGAAGCTGGAGGGCTTCTCAGGGGAAAGTTGTCCGCTGTTCAGCAGTTTTCCTGCATTCGAGGATCTACGGATCTCGCTGCCACGCTGAAGGATGCGATCTTCGTGCAGGAGTGCGTCCCAGAGGTCCTGGAGCTTAAACTGAAAGTCTATAAGTGAGTAACTATTGTCTTTCCATCATCAAAGGATCCAAATTTCTAAAGTGCATTGTCTTCTCTTGTGAAATTTCAGGGAATTGGACAAGTATGTTGACTCTCGGACGATCCTGTCCAGCTCTACGAGCACATTCATGCCTTCACTGTTCAGCAAGGACTTGAAGCATCGCGATCAAATCATCGTCTCTCATCCAGTAAATCCCCCTTACTACGTGCCTCTTGTGGAAGTTGTTCCGGCTCCATGGACTCGTCCGGAAGTGGCACAGAAGACACGCGCCATTATGGAGGAGATTGGGCAGAAGCCTGTGTCGCTGAGTAGGGAGATCGAGGGATTTGCCCTCAACAGGATTCAGTATGCAATATTGAACGAGGTGTGGCGACTCGTGGCCGATGGAATCCTCAGTGTAAAGGATATCGATAGTGTGATGTCCGACGGTCTGGGCATGAGATATGCTTTCCTGGGTCCTCTAGAAACAGCTCATCTGAACGCAGAAGGTATGTTGAGCTATTGCGATCGCTACAGTAAGACCATCTTCGCTGTGAGTGAGACAATGGGGCCCACACCGCGGATGGAAGGACCTCAGGCAGCAGAAGTGGCCAAGCAGCTGGAGGAAATGTGTTCTCTAGACAAACTGGCTGAGAGACGCGCTTGGCGCGATGATTGTCTAACAAAGCTGAGTTCATTGAAGAAACAACAAGAGAAAAAGGATTAAAGAATAATTTTCTGAATAATTTTCTTGCCGAATAAAGAATGCAAGTGATTTATGAGTATTTTTTGAAGTTGGCGCCTGGAAAGCTGAGCGCCTTTCCAGTGGCGAGTTTAACCTCGCTTTATTGGTTGGGTGTTTGTTGGTCGTCAGGATGAAGCAGTGCCTGAAAATAGTGTCCAGTCGTGTTATTTTAGTGCCTTACGAGGAAAACCATGTCCCAAAGTAAGAATGAAATCCTCCAAAATCTTTTTCAACTATTTGAGTAATAATTGCTAGTATATTTTTGAAGATATCACGAGTGGATGAAGAGCCCAGAACTTCAGGAAGCAACAAGCAGTTCTCCTTTGTCTCTCGAAGAAGAATACCAAATGCAGAAGTCCTGGAGGGATGATTCAGATAGTAAGAAGATTATTTCTATTCATTATTGGAGAAAAACACTCTTTTTGTGTTCTGCAGAATACACCTTTATTGTTTTGGATAAGAATCTGTACCGGGAAACCGCAGATGAGGTAAAATCTATGGTCGGAGATGTAAATGTATTTCTCCTGCCAAATGAGGATGAGACTAGCGTCCCGACAGGAGAAATAACAATAATGATAGCAGAACCTACCGCCCGTCGGAAGGGTTTTGGCCTAGAAACAACGCTCCTGATGATGAACTACTGCATTCGTAGTTTACAGATCAGGAAGTTTGTTGCCATCATTGGCGAGAAAAACTCTACGAGTGTTAAACTTTTTGAGAAACTCCACTTCCGGGAAGTCGAGAAAACGTATTTCGGCGAATTGAAGTACGAAAAAACGGTGGAACAGAGAGAATGGGAGCAATTGATTAAGTCTTATGGATTAGCTTATGAGGAGAGTTCCTATGAAAGACGGAGAAATGATGCGTGAAGATAGTAAAAAAAAGGCCTTATTATTCTGTTTTGGTAAAATTTTTCATGTAATCATTCAATCTCATTAATTTTATAATATAAATTCTTAAAATTATCGTAAAGAAGCTACAATTTTTCTCTTTTTTTATCATTTGCCAAATTGTCGAAATTCTTACACTTTGTGCTAAACTTTTTACCACTATCTCAAACAGATGGACTTGTAAATAAGAAAATTAAATACCTAATGTAGGTAAGAATTTGTTTATCTATTATTTTATATGTAAAATGGATAAGTCATATAAATAGATATAATTTCTTTTACAACTTTACACAATATTCCTAAAAGGACCTTCCGTTTAAATTACTAGGACAATAAATTTATCTCTAGTGATGACAATCAAAGAAATAAAAATTGTTTTATCTTTCCTTTAAATAGAGCTAGAAAGTATCGTTAATTTTCACTAATTTTTCCTCTTACTTTTTCTTTACATGAAAAATTGCTATTTATTTTATTATTTGGGAGTATTTTTCCAGTTGTTTTTGCCATTTATCAATCCATTCAACTGTGTTTTCATCCACTATTTACTATTTCCACTAGGAAATCTACATTACTTTTTTTTCTTTCTTTAATGTTATTACATGCGGTGGTGACTTGTATTGCTTTTCCTCCCAGAAAACCATCCTTCTGAGATTTCTCAACTATGGTACTTTCTTTCGCCTCTATCCACGGCCACTCAGCCTCACGAGGGACCACTGTTCTACAATTATAGGGAACACTTAAATATAATTATTTTCTTTTAAAATCAGCAAATAAAATAGCATGACAATCATTCTCCCCGAAACAGGATAAAAGTCACTCTCCAATTAATCTTTGTACATAAATAAGATAGGATAAGAGAAAGTCTATTCACGGAGACGCAATGCAGCTCTAAAAGTGCCATCTCGCCACCGTCATCCTTCATTATCGTCCCGTGAAGATGTTTATTGAATTTGTTCCTGTTCGCTTCCGAATGAGTCTAGCAGAAACTGCAAAAAAATCAGGTTAAACAGACGATTAATCTAGTGAAATGTGAACAAGCGAGGTTTCTATGCAGCAGAAAAAACATAGTGTTCTGTTACTAATACGGAGAGACACAGAGACAGACCTTCACCATATATCTTTCTTCTTATATTTGCAGAGAAAAAGCAAGAAGTGCAGCATTGGAAATAATTCACAGATTATTGAATTTGCCAAGAGCTTTCGCACTAAGCTAATTTGATGAGAAATGAGTAATTTTCCAAAATTTGGCGTCAGTTCAATTGCTCTCCACTGTGCTTCATTCACTCTTTCTTCCCAAACTAACCATTAACATCGTTGTGCAATGCGATAGAATTATTTCCAATACGCTGTTTTTGCATATTTTTTCCTTCTTTGCAATGACAACAACACAAAAAAAGACGTCTACAGAGCGCACTTGAGCAAAGAAAGATGCCCCAATTGCAATTTTATTATTTTGTACGTTCTCGTGTTTTTCTCAAGTGACAATCTTCCCCGAAGCAAACAAATACATCTAATTTTAGTGACTAGAAGTGCCGCGTCATTGCGAAACCTCAGGGCTTCTCTCACGTGAAGAGGATAGAAGCTCCCCAAATGAGGCTTTGCGGGCACTATCGATAAACGACGCGATAAGACACATTCAGCAGGTTATCAATTGAGAAAACAATTGTCCATAGAAAGTTTGTTATCACGCGCGCCCGATGTTTTTTTATTCCTCTTGTTCACATTCATATTTATTTGTAATATTTTTTCGCGCTCTCTTCAGAGACAAACAATTAAATAATCACAGACGAAATTGCACACACAAAAGACGATACACTTGCGGAGCAGTAAAAACTCCCCTTCACCAGACATTCACGTGGTTTTATCGTATAGAGTTTTGTCACGAGCTTTTTGTTTCTCTTGCTCCAACACACCCAAAGGGAAGCTTAAGAGAACCGCAACCAATTGAAAGTGTTGTAATCTAAGAGCAGACAGTATTTTCCAAAAAAAAATATAACAGATAAACAGAGAGAAAGTGCTTTTAAAAAGGTAGCAAAATAATTATGGTTATTTACCCAATTTTCAGACTTTTCACGCTTGCAATGAGAAGGTTTTTGTGTGACTTTTGGTGGGTCTCTCATGTTTTTTTTTTGAGGTCAAGGCTAAAAGTAATCATTTTCCATAGAGTAATTTCGTGAGACGGTGAATGAAATAAAAGCCTCTCCTCCGTTTGCCTACGGAAGGAATACACACAATCATTTCAGAAGAGGATCATCAGTGAGGACAGCCTGTTAGTCAAGCAAATGCCAAGAGAACTCAAAAGTGAAAGTCTGAAGACAGGACAGGGAGACTCACTTGAGCTGTCTTGCGGCGTGAGCGGACGTTCCAGCACCTTCTGGATCTCGTGCATCCACTCATCGCGCTCCTGTTCAGTGCTGGCAGACAAATTAAACACCCTCTCGGGCGTGAAGAGCGTAAAGCTGAAGCCCTGATCCTTGGCGCCCTGCGGTGCCCCTATTCGGACACTATAGCCGTCCATTTGGTGGCCCAGGAAGATCTCGCCTTTCGGATAAGCGTCCAGCGGGTCGTCGTGGTACATGAGTTTCCTGAAAGAAGCGCACAGTCGTAAACTCCGATAAATAATTGGATGGAGACCTATAAAAATCATCTCTTATCATTCGGACAATGTAACTTGATAAATCGCAATTGTCTCGTCTGATGCAATATTCAACATCCAGCATCAACATAATCGTAAATGCAAGATTGTATTTCAGATTATGGCTTTTGGGTTGACACTAAAGCATACTGGCCATGGAACATTATTGGATTTTGGGAAAAGCGAGGCAAATGATTCTTCAGGAGTTCAAGGATCATTATATACATATTCATTGCGAATCTCACCTGTTGTCCAGGGTGAACCAGCGTCTCTTGTAGCCATCAGAGGGTCGTGGTCCAGTTTTGAGCAGCCACCCTTCGCGGGCAAAGTCCCTCGTCAGCAGATGCACGAGTTCCGCCTCGGACGCGGACGGAAATGCCACTTGCAGGCGGTGCAACTTCGCGCAGCGAATTGCCATGTACCAGTTATTAATCACTTCCGGGTCGTCGTGGTACACGTAAATGTGCCTGGTGGAGCCGTCCTTCAAGTACGTCAGCTGCATGGAGTTCATGTGGCCAATCTTGGGCGGCGCGAATGCCACATTGAGTTCAGATATTCGCAGGACGGCTTTTGGGTCCTTGCTCTCCTTCACATGGTACTTGAGCGTGTCATCCGTCTCGCACAGAACAAACTTACGCGGCTGGTAGCGACTGTCCTCCTTGCCGCGCTTCATGAGGAAGCCCTCCATGTGGCCAGAAGTATAACTGGGTCGCTCATTGAGGGAGAACTCCAGGCGTTCGTACTTGGCGCGAATCCACTGCTCGATGAGCACTCTGCAAAATAGCCAATCACTTGATTTATTGCACTCGCTCTCGCTCGTTATTTCCCACCCAAACAGTGGGTGGAATAATTTCACAGCCAGATTGACTGCAAGATTGAGACTCTGATATTGAGCAGGATATAATGTGCATTCATAGATATCGAGGCTGAGTAAACCCTATTAGGCAAATTCACATGTGAACCATTATCATATTCAACGGCTTACTGTGTATTCTCGAGACATTCTCAAGTGAAAATCTTAAATATTCTTCAACTATTAACATGATTCTAGTTTGAATATAAATTCTTTTTATTACACTTATTTAGCAAGTACAGATTAGGCAATTCGAAGTCCGTGTTTGTAGCTCGGCAGCATAGAAGTCTATTCACAGCCTATATTTGCCATTTAAATTCTTTGTCCAACTACACTTCCTCGCAATCTCAACATTTTCTCTCAACTCAACAAATATTTTCGCTTCCAAATTAAATGTACTATTTAATGAAGTGAATCACACAGTCTGTAAAGTGCCTTGTTTTTGCAAAAGAAGCCCAGCCAGAGTGATTCACTGATTACCATGAAAAGTGATCATTTTCTCAAATGCAAACTATGTGTATTTTCTCATTATTTCATCATATACATATACATACATATGTGTGCTCTTTCGAGTATCTGACGTCTTCGTCTTGGAAAATTGTTATTATTGAATGATGCTTGAGTGTTTTTCTCACTCATCCGTGTGTCTGTCGATGAGTTTATTTTGTATTTGTGGACACACCGAGAAATGGCTGCCAAGCAGTGTGACACAGAGTGAGAGATGACATGAGAAATTATCTCGTGATTTGTGTCAAATTAATATTGAAATTTTTTCTGCCTCTTCTCGCGCCTCGACTCTTCGTTAATGAATGGGCTCGTGGCATGGCTGAGAGAGATGAGGTGCTTGTGTGAGAAAGACACCGATTCACTTTGGGTTTGTTGTGACAAGACGATAAAATGCGCCATGGATACGCACAAATAGCTTCTTTTTTTTTGGTGGGAAGTGTGCTTTATTAAAATGCTACCGAAGCATCAGTATTTTTCCACGTGTGTGCCCTTTTTCCAACTCTTAACCCAGCTTTTCCCAAAATGCAGGCACTTGCAATTCAAGAATTCAGTACATGAATGCCACAGTCTCGCACTTTAATAGACAACACACGAGAGATCATTAATAATATTTTGTTTGTTTATTGGCCTCTTCGAGCAAATAAATAAACTTTCTGGGTCAATGTAATCGTGCGCGCGGTTAGCGATATATAAAAGTGAATTTAAGATGTTGATGATCACACTTAACGCATGTTAATGGATCAATAATTAGCAGTGCTACTGTGAAAATGAGATAAAGTAAAAAATTAATTTACTCTTCTCCAAGGATTGGGTCATTTCGGGTGAAATCATGGGAATAACTGTTTTTACGGTCGCTTCCTTCTTTATTTACAACCACAGCATGTCTCATTTCGAAAGCAATAAAACTAAAAAAAAAATATTTTTCAATTCCACATCTAAATTGTAGATCATTTTAGAGACTACAAAAATCAATGGAAATGTCGAAAAGAATTCACTGAAACATCACTAACTGTTATTAAAACGATACAAAAGTCTATTTTTAGTAACAAAACACATTTTTGAAATATTGAAAATGAAATGAAATGGCGTAATTTATCTCATCTCCGTGGTGTTTGCTCGTAAATCTATAGCTAGGATATGAATAAAGCAAAGTACCAACACTGCAAGTGACCTTATGAATTTTGAATGTTAATAAAAGTGTTTACATGGCAAGTATACATCCTTTTAATCGTGCCATATATCATAAACATTTCCTATAATCTGCCCCATTGTTTGACGAGTTACAATTCCTCTCGATGGATTTATTTATGCGTAAAAGTTTTTGGGGTAAACATTTCTATCCACGACAGATTGAAAAGGTCAGTTAGTTGAATATTATTATTATTATTACGGACAGGACTCCGTGAGGCGCAATTATCGTGTTCGAATTGCAATCACACTCCGAAAAGGTTATTCAATAAAAGCACGCCGCACTGGAGATGGCAATATTATTTGGAACAGCGCGACATCATAATAGGAAACGCCACGAACGGGAATATCGCATAAGTGAGCGAAAAAAAACAAGTCGCCTCTATTCATGAATAAATAAGTGGCTAATGTGGAAAAACAGACACAACGGGAAGGTGTAGTGAATGGGAGAGAAATTGAGCGAGAGATAATAAGAAGGTGGATATGTGAGCAAACAAGTGCAATAGAGAGTCATCAATTGAACTATCGCGGTATAAATTATTTATACAGTCATTTTCAGGGAAGGAATTTCAACACCGGAACTCAAATGATAACGTCTCCGTTATCACTGTGTCTCTTTCACTCGTAATTTTCGCCTGTTCTCTGTAAATACACACGAAATACCATCATTTTTGGGGTCAGAACACCGGAAGGAAGAAACCAAAAACAAGATTTATTTTCAACCATTGACTCATTTGTCAGTATCGCCAGCACTTTTTCTCCTATCTCAAAATTTTACAGCATAAAAAGCACCCAGAGAGAGAGACACATTCATGAAAAATTGGTTATAAACAACATGGTCTTGAATTAAATTTAATCTGCACGGCGGCAAAATAGCTCTTTATCAGTATTATTTTGTGAACACCGAAAAAGCATAATTATATGCCTTACAGAGTGAGAACACATTTAGAGACAACTGATCGCGATACTGTTCTCAAGAAATCCTGCAGAAATCACAGTTCCTCCTTCTCAACCGCGCGCGCTCGGCATTAAAAAGTCAATAAAGCAAAAGGCCATAATGGGAAAATGAAGAAGAGGAAAACATGGAGGAAGATATTGCGAAATGCGCTGTGCATCTCTATTATGCTGCCGCTTGATAGGTTGGGAATGCAGTGTCGTAAACAGGATTTATGATTCGTAGAAGCAATTACGTTCGATTGACGTCATTTTGCCATCTATTATTGCATTTTCAATGGTTGCCGGTGTATTTATGTATTGGTTGCACGAGTTGTAAACCATCATTTCGTGTTTTCACTCACAAAACTTCTTATTATTTAAATATAATTTTCTGTGGTAGAACATTTTCTGGGAATTGTTTCATATAAAATTCTCTCAATTACCACTTTTTCCGCATGCTTCCAAATGAGAAAATGCATGAATCATAAAACACAACATCATTTGTGGATCATAAAATGATGAAAATATGAATAGGAATTATGTGAAAAACACTCACTCCCTCTCTCTCTTCCTAGAATTGCGGGGAGATACTTTTTTTTTTAATAAAATTCTCTTCGTGCATCACACACACGTGACACCCACACAATAATATTGATTTGCGAGGAAAGAGTTCAACCGCAACGAGTTGGAGGTGTTAAATGGCAAGGCATTAATAAAGGACTCACCCTCTGGGCAATTATCCCTTATTGTAGGTATTATTTATGCAGATCGATTCATACATTGTAATGGAGCGTCAACTATTAAATTGGTATTAAAGGTACAATTCCACACGAGCCCGACTTTATAGGTCAAGCATTAATAATTGACACACTCCCCTGCAACATTGTGCCAGTGCAACAATGTATGAAAAATTCAATAAAGTAGCGACTTCGGGGTGAAATTTGGTCTTATTGGAAAAAGAAAGAAGAACTCTTTGTAAATAAATAAATACTAGAATCCAAAGTCTTATCAAACATTATAGCCGTTGATCACAAGCACATTTTTCAGCTTTGTATGATATTTCAAATCTCATTTTATACTCTATCTGCCGCGCGAATCTCGTCACTGTACTGTACTTCCATAAAAAAAATGATTGATTTGTGACTTATTTGCCATCTCTCCCAGGTCTCAATGAAAAATGTGGGCCAATATCTATAATGTGGCCTAAAATCGCGGCCCCCTTTTTTACCGCTATTGCGCTCCGATAGGATTATCTCAGTATCAGTAACCCCAGGTGACTCAAATCTCCCCGCGTTAATCCGCGTGAAAAAGCAACTCTCACGAGCGATTAGATTAGGGGAAACACTGCAGTGATCAGCCCTCTCGGCCCATAAATCACTGCAGCGTGTTATTTTTTTCGTGGCCACCACAGAAATTCCACAGCACTCTCGTCTACAGATCAATATCTCTGGACACGAGGCGAAAATGCGAGAAGCGCGCTACTGTTTGACTTACTGGGGGGAGTCTTCAGTGGGTCGTCTGTAGCAGGCCGGAACCCGTTGCTCATACTTGAGACGTGCCTTCACATTGCCAACCTCCTTCATCCGTTCCAGTTGACTGTCCTCCCATTTGTCCAATTTCAAGTGCTTCACTTTGGAGATGTGAGCGCCCATGGCGCGATGCACACCCGCACAACGAGTGCACAGGAAGATGCCAATGTTGTACGATGCCCATTCAACATCTGCAGACATGAAAGAAAGAGTAATGACCATTATTAATTGCACTGTTTTGCACAAGTGTACATTAGTTCGAAAATCTGCAATCTGCAAGAGCCTCTTCCCGAAAGTCCCTCTCAGTAAACGTTGTCCACGCTATACTTCCAAATTTGGTCGGTGACTGACTCTGGGTGTCGCTTTGGAATTCACAGACGGATGTGTGTCTCAAAATGCGTCTTGTTGTTCCCATCGTCACTATTTTTAGTTGATCCCAGAAATAGCCTGGGTGTCTTTTGGCGGCTGTTTCATGTCTCCTCTCTTACCATCTCCTCCTCGTGCCCCACGGTCTGGCCTCCCCCCTTCGCGCCATTCTCGATTACACAATTCCACACTATATACGAGATACTTGCAATATCTTCCACATCAGCATTTCTAAATACACCGCGTCTAGGAATGTAAACAAAATATAAATCGATGCGACAAGTGAAATTCTTCACACCACGAGTCACTTGGCTAAGCAGAAAGATGCCGTCCGCATTCGCGGCGTCCCACGTTATTTGGTCACAAAACAACTCAGCACAGCCAAGTCTACAGCAGCGACTAAAGGATCGCGCCATCCATCATGTCAATAGCATGGGCAATAAACAATGCAATGAGTGGCAAATTACGGAAGGCAATTGTAATGTGGAAAAGGGAATTCATAACAAGAAATCAACGTGTGAGCAAATTAAGGATTCCAATGTACAAACTTCTGTTGACGCGACTCACCCGAAAAGGTCAGCAAGAACCATTGCACTCCATGGCCATGTGACCACATTTGGCGCGCTAATGCGTTGCATTTAGCATGGAAGAGGAAATTGAAAGAATCCGCTGAGGCTCACTTATCATGCCACAGAAATCCTATACAAATGCAACATCGTCAAAGGCAGAGCAATTTATGGTCGAAGACAATAAATTGCTATGTTTAGTAGAGCATCTCAGTTACATTTTACCTATTATAGTGTTTGCCCAATGATTAATTTTAGGGCATTTCTACCCGCGAAAATGCGAAATAGAATTTTTGAAAAATACTCATTTTCAGAATTTAATGAGTTTCTTATTGGATAATAATTAGTTTCACTGCAATTGGAAAAAAAGTCTGCAACTGGTTTAAGAATTGAACTTTGAAAACTTCTCCGCTCTTTGACGTGAATGCGGTAGTTTTATCTTCTGAGACTTCTGAGCGGTTTTCATTAAAAGTTCAGAAGTAAAAGTTGAATAATATATTGGGTTTTTTTTTAATGAAAATCAGAGTCTGACCTGAATATTTTGCACGTGATGACTCTTCTTTTAAAACTAATTACTAGTTTTGCAGACTAATTATTTGTTCAATTCGGTTGCAATATCCGGTGATATGTGACCCCTGAATTTGCAGTGCACTAGTATTTGATATTATTTCACTTCAATTTGAAATTTAAAAAATTATCGCATGTAATCTGCAATTTAATGTATTTATTGATGGGAATAATACAAATTCCAGCAACTTCTTACGCATTTAAGTGGACAGTTTGCGTGGTGAGAAAAGAAACTCTCTATGTGAATCATCAACTTTCAAATGCCAATTTTGTGACTCAGAGGAAATTTACTGTTGTGACAAATGATCAACCCCTTTTTTCCATTCCCAAGAGACTGAAACTGCCTCTCGCAGGCCAAGAGGCATAAGTATGTCGATGGGGTGGAGAGATAGGAGGACACACTAAACCACGATTTATACATGTGTTGTGTGTGCGCGTTAAAACAAAAATGCTGAATTGAAAATAATTCGAATTCCTTGCATTTGCGCAACATTATGCGCCAAAATATTTCAGATTCATCGCTCCTCTTCTGCCCATTTCACTGTCGCGCCTCGCACAGCGGCCCTTCCCCGCAGCCACCTCGACACATCATTCATCCATCATCTGCCACCCCGCCCACGCCGCGCGCGCCCTCCCGGAAGCCACAAATGGGGCGGCGGCGGCCGTTGGCCCCGACGTAGTATCGTAAAAAGTACTCCATCTCTCTCGCCCGCCTCACGACACGCCAGATGAAGCAAGCCACCTTCTTTTTCGCCTCCCCAGAACCCCCCGGCGCAGCTCCATATCGACCCGGAGCTGCTCCTTGCCAAGGAACACGCTTCATCCAGCATTGCCGCCATTCAAGGTTACCAACTACTGCGCGGGAACTTCTTCTGCCCTTTTGGAGATGCAAACGACGCAATTTCTGAGCTGGCATGGCCGTGCACGCCGAGCATGTTGCGAATTCGATTTTCACAACATCTCATGTCCAAACTGTCGATTAATTCCATTTTTTTCGGACAAATACTAATCCCATGAGACTCACAATTACTTTTATATAGTGCGTAGAAGATTCATAAACAAATAAGGGATATTTTGAAGGCGTAGAAAAATTATCTAGCCTCTACCAAGTGACAAACTTATGTAACATCAAAAAGCACTGGGAACCATAAATCCTTGCTAGTTACGCCCTTTCAAAAACCAAGTAAATTTTCCATAAGAAGATAATAGGAAAATAGTAAAAGGAGCAAAAGCCATACAGACATGCAAATAGGCGTGGCTTCCGATTGGGCGGGGCAAGTTAGAATTCAAACATTAATATCTCATTCCAATAACAGTTGTCCATCTGAATTTTGCAAATTTTTCTCGCACTAAAGTATCGCGATGAAGGGCACAAAATCTAGATAACAATCTCCCCAACGACACCGTCTGTCCTCGCAAATATCATTTCCTGTCCATATATTTAATAATTAAGTGTCGTCTTCTGACAAACAACACACTCTTCGCCAGTTCAGTTGTAGAATTGCTTCGGCGAAATAAACGTGCAAAGGGCACAAATGGCATGTATTTATATTCCCCTTCTTTCAGCAACACACACGAGGCATTTTGGCGCGAAACGCACACTCTAGGGCTGCTTTTTGCACGCTCTCTCGACAGCGTCTAACAGTTGGTCCTCCCCAAGGCGAATCCGATTGATTGGGTGGAATGAACTGGGGGTGGACGCACCTCGGCGCCCCCGACCAACCCCAGCCCCGTGAACTCTTGGGGAGTGATAAATATTTCCCATCTCGAGTGCGTCAGTGGCGCTTGTATGTGTGTGACGCGGGCCCTCGATGGGCCCTGCCTCGCACCGCGCGCTCCCTCCACCCCATCCCATCCCAACCCACTCGGCACGGCAAAAGAACGCGCCAACACTGAGTACATTCACCCCTAAAATACGCAGTCATGGCCGTTTTGCGGGCTGGTGTTGGTGCATGTCTGTGAGACGGCGCTACGAGGCCGTGCGCCTGTGTTCGTCATTGTCGTCATCAATTCAATTCACGGACACTGTAAGTACACCGATACGGCGCTGGTGTACTGCGGCGTGTGTGTGGTGTACTCCCAACCCGCAACCCGCCCACTATTCACAGCTATTGTCATCCGGCCGGACACTTCCGCGCTCACCCCCATTTTCTGAAGATGATCTATATGCACTGATCTTCAGTCTTAACTATTTGGTAGTCAGGAATGGTCCTCAACGTCTAGATATTAGTTTCTTATATGTTTAAGTACATTCCAATTCGTCTCTCTTGTTATTCTCAAAGCTGGACCGTGATTTTGACCACGAACGTCACGAAAGGCAGTGAAATTCATTTGAAATTGGAGCATAAGCAAAATCTTTAGTGAAAATTTGCTCTCATCTCTCGCTCCATATCCCATCTTCAGTGTGTTCTCCTTGAGAATCCCTGTGGTTGTTAAGTGAATCTGCCTAACTTTGAATTTTCTCGCTCGCCCTCCTCCTCCCGTGCCCGACGAACTCTTCCACAGCCTGTTCGCCATACGCTACGGAGCCCCCGACAGAGCCTCCGCCCCGCGTGCGTATCTGCGACGTTCCAACCCCCCGCCAAGTTGGGCCAAGCCTCACGTTGGCGTAAACAAACACACACGCGTGGTGGACACACATTTCTCGTCTAACTGACCCAAGCTGCACCCCCCGCAGGAGGGCCCCATTCGGGGGAAGGTACTCACATTTGCTGCCGCAATCAGCACACTCGTTGTTGCCACTCTTCTTCAGCAGCTCCAGCAGCATCTGAAGATTCTGGTCTGCCATCTCGGGCACTCCACGCGCCCCAAACACACACCTCACAACACCAAAGCACTGCACAGAGTCCGCAATGTGGACCACCTCGGCCACGAGACACTCGCGAGGAAATGCGAGGGATTATTTTGATAGTGAACCACCCTCAGCTCCAGCACAGCGCTCTTCTGTGTGCGTTCAAAACGCAGTTCGGAGAAACACTGTCACATCCGCGGGCGCCTCTTTGACATTTTCGAAAAGCACAGCGAAAAATTGACTGTCGCAGCCGTTGGTATACCGTAAAAACATGGAGAAACACAAGAAGTTCTTAGTCCTTGTTATCGTACTGGGTAATTGAAAAAGAAGTTTCCTTAAATGTTTATCACACCTTTGCTATTGTATTTCATCATCTATGCAAACAATACGATAGCATATATTCCGTAAAATATTGTACTATGAACATTAATGAGTACTTAGTTACTCTGCACTTGTCAGGTGTTCATCATATCGAAGAGGACTTTCGAAGACACCATCTCAGCCGGGTGGTTTCATTGTCACTTAACCTTTAAAATGGTAAGTTTTGTTTTTCTCTCAAAATTACCTTTTAAACTTCCCAAAACACCTCCAAACACTCACCTGAGCACTCTCTTATAGGACGTCCTCTCGCGACCAGCCTCAGAGTTTGAGAATGACCACAGCCTCGAGCTTCTCTGGGCCGAGAAGGCATACGAACACGCCGAAGTATACTTCAACGTGAGTCCACACGCAGAGGGGTGAAGTTGAGGGCTCTGTTATTACCCTTTGTCTTTTGCAGATGCTTTGCAGTGTGGATCCCCGCTACCTGAATCTCACGCCACACGACGACGTGATTTACCGGACGTTTCGGAAAGAATTTCCGGACTTTGATGTGGCCGAAGTGAACGAGGATGAGCTCAAAAGCACAGCGGAGAAGGCAAAGTGGAGGATTTTCATAGAGAAGTTTAACAAACTGGAGAATTTCAGCTACGGGACGCTGCTGAGGCCAAGATCCAGTGAAGAATTTTCGGCAGACAACGCAATTCTGGTTGTGCGGATACAATTCCTGGCCATTGAGATTGCCAGGAATCGGGAGGGCTTCAACGATCGGTGGCGTAAACGCCCGAATCCACAGAAAGCGTCTACCAATTAATAAAGATTTTTTGATACTCTCGCTTGGGTTTCCTCTTTATTCCAGTCCAGGGATTTAAGATGTATCCATGGCAGTGGCCGAGGCAGCGCTCTCCTCCGTGTACTTGCCCTTGTCCTTGCCCAGGGCCGCCAGACGTCCCTTTGCCCGCCGGTCGAGGATCTTCTTGCGATCCTTGTCCATCTTCAGCTTCACGATCAGGCACTTCGACGGATGGATGCCGACGTACACGTTGGTTCCATTGGCCTTCTCGCGCTGGATGCGCTCGATGTACACCACGAACTTCTTCCTGTACACCTGCACAACCTTGCCCACCTGGTTGCCCTTGTAGTGGCCGCGCACTACCTGCACCTCATCGTCCTTCCGGATGGGCATAGTTCGGACGTTGTACTTCTGGCGCAGCTCCTTCGACAAGGGTGCCGACATGAGCTTCCTGCGGATATGCGAGGGCGCCGAGAAGTGCCTCTTCCTGTTCTTCCTCCGCGAGGACGACACTTGTTTGTTGAACTTCATCTTCAGGAAGAACTGGAGAAGGATAAACAGAGAAATTCATGAGTGTTGGCATCATGCAACTGAATGTGAGGTTAGCGGAATTTCATGTGTTTTTCACGCATATTTTACAAACACCAGCAATAATTCCACAAAAGGAACACACAATCTGTCTCTGGGCAGAATATTAGAGTGGAAAATAGATGCCAGAGTCCGTAAAAATGCGAGAAAATGCATTATTTTGACACACTCACCTTGTCTTCACTTCACGTTTTCAAGAAAGAAAGAGCTGGCGGAAGTGGTGGCCATTTTGTGGGATTTGCAGATTTTCGAAATTCTCACATGGCAACACTTGACATCCGCGATAATGGCGCTCTAATTTGAAAGAGACACCAAAAATTGTAACGGAAATTCTTCTTGAAACTTACAGTGGAAAAAGAAGAGAGATAAGGTAAGCATACATATACTGACATAATTCAGAGCGAAACTTGAAAGTGCACAAAGTTTGTCAAAAGTTTATGTAGGCACGATATGCATTGAAACCGGAAACTCTGTTGTGCTGGGAAGAATTTGGAGTTTCCAGGATTTATTTAGGGACCAAAAACCATGTCTTATCAGTGATGCAGAAACTGCGGAAGGTGATTCTCATGGGAAGACAATATGATGTGTTTTCGTCGGTGAATAAATTGAGGCATTCACATTCAATTGATGCTAATGGAAACCTGCTTGAGGCCGAGCGCGAGGCAATTCATCATAGTGTGTGTTGTTGAGTGTACCGAAAAAGCGACTCAGCAACTCCTCGATAGCTAAACTTTACGTTCAGTGTTGGAATCACTTGTGAGCTCTGCGGACGTACCGAAAACTTTGTTGTACTCGTAAATTCTCAATCATGAATAATTTGCGCAGAATTCCTCTGAGGCAGGTGAGACAATCATACTCTACGACCCTTGGCGGTTTTCTAAGATCCTCGATCGCTTTCAGATTTGCCAGAGGCTCGCCCAAAATGGTCGGCTGTACAGCGAAGGAGCGGCCTTCGAGAAGATTCCGCCCCTAACCCACCTCACTGACGACGAGCAGATGATGAAGGACACAGGTGAGTCCTTACTCAGGCAGGACCTGCAGAGAGGATCCTTGCGATCATTTAGACCTTTCCAGAGGCTTTCTTGCCTGCTCATTATATAACCAGTCGCACACTCTCAAATATAGTGTTGTCTATCTCACTGTGTGGCTCGCGTGAGGAAAAAAACAACCACGCAAGCAGGCAAATTGCGGGGAAGAGATAAGCCGATTAATTTTGAACGAATATATCTTATCGGCCAAAGTCGACCCCCGGGAGAGAGTGATGCTTATCTCTGTGTTTTCTCGCCTCGAGATCTTCCCCGGGAAAGTACAATTGATCTTGGGACTGTGAGAAATTGACCTACATTGCACCTGCGACCTTCGCCAACGCTGTATAGAATAGTTGTCTCACTGTGGCGAGAATTTCACTTTCATGCGCGCAATGATTACGCAACAGGCGCGAGATAGCCGAACAGAGTAGCGGCCGAATGAAGTTCGCCAAGTGCACGATAAGATTTATGGACGAAGCGCCGGTTTTTGGAACATAAGTCTTACATTTTTGGCTAGTAAATTTAATTTCATATACTTTAGCAATAATAATATCCTTTTATCAGCCTCTTTATCAATCGATTGCAATACGACTTCTCTTTTATATGAATCGGTTGTGCAAATACGCGATTTGCTGTAATAAACTGGTGGGAGGATGTCTGCTAAAGCGTGCATGATTAATATAGATAAGATATTGATTCAAATGATGTGTTGTTATGTGGTTAATATTTAATTATGATTGCACGTACTGATAATGTGTGCATACGTCATTGAATCTGTCTAGAGACATGCGTCTGAGGTCTGAGGGCAGATTTACTCAAACATTATTTTTACAGATTTGTTAGTCGCGAGCGGAGATGCGCGCGTGCTTGAAATAGACATCGCGCCTCCCATTCTAAAGCATCTAATCTAATGCACTTTTCTTTCTTGCCTCGCAGTGGCCAAGTTTTCGCAGGAGAAAATCCTGCCGCACGTGAAGAAGATGGACGAGAACAATCTGTTCGAGCAGTCCATCATTGACGAGCTGTTCGCACAGGGTCTGATGGGCATCGAGATCCCGGTGGAATTGGGCGGCAGTGGCTGCAATTTCATGACCAACATCATCGTGGTGGAGGAGCTGTCGAAGGTGGATCCCGCCGTGGCGGCGTACGTGGACATCCACAACACGTTGGTCAACTCGCTGTTGATGAAGGTGGGCAGCAAGGCGCAGAAGGAGAAGTATCTGCCGCTCCTGGCGCAGAAGTGTGCCGGCAGCTTCGCCCTCACGGAGCCCACATCAGGCTCAGACGCTTTCTCACTCAAGACAACGGCCAAGAAGGAGGGCTCGCACTACATTATCAACGGCACCAAGATGTGGATCTCCAACTCTGACGTGGCAGGAGTTTTTCTGGTCTTTGCCAACGCCAACCCATCGGCTGTAAGTATCCCATTCTTGTTCTAAATTACATAATAGTAATTCTTGTTCCCTTAGGGTGCTAAAATTCTGTGATAATTGCGATTCAGAGTGGTAAAATTGAAAAACAAACAGCAATAAAAGTAAGAGTTTTATCAGTGCAAAAGATAGAAAAAATGATAAAAGATAACAGTTGCAAGAGAATATCACTTGTTTTCGGGAAATTTAGTCTACGTTTAATTACTCTGTAAACAACCAGAGACTTGTAAAGATTTCTAGTTAACAAGCTATAGTTATTTATATGATTCTTCTTTTTTCATATGTTTGCTCATTGAGGTCTTTTTTCGTTCCCACAGGGATACAAGGGAATCACTACGTTCATCGTCGATGGCGATTCACCTGGACTAGTGGTGGCCAAGAAGGAGAACAAGTTGGGTATCCGCGCGTCAGGAACGTGCGTGCTCAACTTCGATAACGTCAAGGTGCCCGAGGAGAATCTGCTGGGCGAGTTTGGCAAGGGTTATCAATATGCCGCGGGCTTCCTCAATGAGGGTCGCATCGCGATCGGCGCTCAAATGGTTGGCTTGGCGCAGGGCTGCGTGGACGCCACGATTCCGTATTTGCTGGAACGGAAGCAGTTCGGCCAGGACATCTACTCCTTCCAGAGCATGCAGCATCAGATTGCACGTGTCCTCACGGAGATCGAGTGCGCGAGATTGCTGACGTACAACGCGGCGAGACTGCAAGAGGCGGGCAAACCTTTCACCAAGGAGGCCGCCATGGCCAAGTATTACAGCAGCGAGATCGCCCAGACAGCCACGATCAAGTGCATCGACTGGATGGGCGGCGTGGGCTTCACCAAGGACTTCCCGCAGGAGAAGTTCTACCGCGACGTGAAGATCGGCGCCATTTACGAGGGCACCACCAACATGCAGCTCAGCACAATCGCCAAGTACATCCGCAAGGAGTACGGCGGATAAGCTGACCCTTATCCTTCCACCACAAGTGATATTTAATGTCTAAAGCTCGCATGCCATCCTGCATTTATTTTGCTATAAAGATGATTTTCAACACTAATCTTTGTCTTCCTGCTCATTTGGGATCGTGAGGGAGTTTGAAGCCCACCAAACTGGCCGTGTCCTCCACTGTACGCTCTCCTCTGCCCGAATACTCCTTCCGGATGCGCTGATAGTTACGTCGGCTCTGCAAGTAGCACAGGTACGTTTGGCCCAGGAAGTGCATCTCCTCTTTTGCCTTGCATAGTGTTTGATCTGTGGTCTTGTACTTCCGGAACTGCGTCAAAATGTATCTGGGGAACGGATTAAAGTCTTTAGAGTGTATGGAAAATTACTACATGGAACATACTTGGCTGCAAGTGAATTCTTTATGTTTCCGTTCGGGTTTGCCAGGCGCAGCTCATTCAGCAGAGATCTCAGTGTTTGCACAGGAGTCGCCATCCTTCAAATGTACTTTCCCTAGGGCTTCAGTGATGAACTCTGGATCACAATAAACAGGTGCACAGCCTTTATCTCCCCAAAAACTCTCCGGTTTCTCCGCTATGACAGTCTTCGGAAAGACGTGGATGGAAGTGTCGTTGAAGACGTCCGAGTAGGTGAAGGTATTCTCCAATGGAATCTCTTCTGTGAAGTCTTCAGCTTTCAAAATCAACCCTGCGTCGATCTGAAGAGCCTTTTTCGGCTGAGAAATCAAGACTCCACTGAAGGAGTTGCTCAGGAGGACAATATTGGCGAGTTGCTTTCCCCAGTTTTCCCACAAGAGGTTGTTTGTAAGTTGTTTTGGGCAATGAGGCAGATAGAACAGGTAGATCTTGGCAGGATCAACGTGCAATTTCCCTTCCAAATTGCCGGGAATCACTGTGAAATTGAGGCTTCTGATGATGTCTATTTCACCAGGGCTGAAAGCAGGATCTTGAAAGAGGATATCACTGATGCAGAAGTGCTCCTGAAGCAAACTAATGAATGCCAGCTGATATCGAGACGAGGCGCAGCAGGAAAAGTGTCCGAGTCCTAAGCAGACAATCTCACTGATTTCCTTCAAGTGTTGATGCGTTTCTTGAACTCTCTGTAGTGCAGAGAAACTGTCTGAGAGGTATGTCGATGATTTTAGGTCCTGTTTAGCAGAATAAATCCTCCTGAAATGGACAAAACATTACATAAACATAACCTACATTTATAAGCTTTTCATTCTAGCTTTTTTCGTGTATACCTGATGACTCCTTGGACATCCAAATCACTATCCAAGTCAAATGAATTATTAGCAGGAAGCTGAGTGGACTTGTAGTACTTCCGGGAGAATCTTTTGCGATTTTTTCCCATATAAAAACATTTACCAACTTCACTCAAGTTCACGTACTCTTTGTTGACTTCGAAGACCTCTTGCGGATTTCATGCGAATTACTGTATTTAAAGGGAATTTAAATGGAATTTTCCCAGAATTTTCCATAACGTTTTAGAAGTGGCCATAATTACACAGAACTTCCAAATATTGTCTGAGCTGATAGAATAAGTGACAAAATGTTCACTATTCACCCTCATCATTATCATCACCCGCATCCAATTTATCTCAATTAACGCCCAGAGGCCAAAGAATGGAGACTCCTGAGAAATCTCATAAGAAAGTTATCCACTCTGATCAATATTTGATGAGCCAGAGGGAAATATAGCGAGAAACAGTGTCAATGGCATTTCTTTTTTGCCATATCGAGCAAGTTAAGCGATTTAGATCTGCAATTAGGTGCAGTTTTGCGCATATAAAATCAACGAGAAATCAACTCTCTTTTCTGCCAATTTGGTCGCAAAGTTGCACTTCTTGTCTTGCTTATCGCCGCGCAAGGGAAAATATTTGCATGTGTGACTTTTCTCGATGCGTGGTCAAAGTTCCAAGAACATGTGTGAGTCTCGAGTTGCGCCTCTTTGCTGCGGTAGTCTTTGAAATTTTCATTATTTCCATGAAAATTATAAACTGATCATTCGAAGACGCAATATTCATTATTTACCTCCGCTTCTTATTCCACTTAGAGAAGATGGTTCAGTCATGAATTGTTTTTGATCAATATTTAAAAATTATGCTCATATTCATTCTTTTCATTTATTTACATTGAAAATATTTCCTATCTTTTCGCGAAACTTTCAAAGAGCCAAAGAAATATTCCACTGCTTCATCAGCCTTTCATTCCCACTCTTGTGCACTCGCGAGAGTGGCTCAAAGTGAAGAAACTCCGCTGCGATCAGTGCGAGTTCTTCTGTCGTCGCCTTCGTTCATGCGCCCATCTTCGGTGCTGAAGAAAGTTGCTCCATTGCGGTTCAGACTCAGTGTCAGTGCCTGTGGGATTAAGCCAGTGTGGCACCAGTGAGAACGAGATCAATTTGGCCAAAAAAACCCAGTGATTTTTTGGGGGTGGCGAGTGTCCGCAGTGTGCGATCACACCGTTTTCGAAATCCACACTTTAACCTACTTCGGAGCGGTTTAGCCAAGAGAAAGAGTCGCGAGTGAGAAAGGGGCTCAATTGAAGCGTGTGCTCACGGGGAAAAAGTTGATAAGTTGCTGAGCAAGAGAAGAGATTTTTACGGGCGATACTTTGACCACTTATTGAGGGCTCACGAGTGTCGCCAGATTTTCCCAAGCCATCATCATCATCAATTTCCGCGGCAGCATCTTGGATCGCGCGCACATCTGGCTATTTACCAAGAAGTGACAGTAACAGTTATTTTCACCTGTGAATCTGTGAAACGGTTATTTCGAGAGTTTCTGCCTCTCTCTGCAATTTTCCAGCCACTCTCTGACCACACATTTGGGATTCATCACACAATCTTCCCGCAGTGAGTATCACTCAATATGCATTTATGCACCAAAACCACTAAAGCGCTTTCAATGTCTTCGAAAATTGCCTGACTTAATTTGCATCAATCGAGTCAAATGCCATCAATTGCACGACTGTCCGCGAGAGGGAAAATTAAGAGTCGCGGCGCGAGATTCTTGTGAAATTCACACCGAAAATGAGCTCGACTTGGATCAAAGGGCGATGAACTTGGTGGCTCTTTTATTAGCAATCTCAATTGCCGTCATCGAAAATCCTCCGGTCGAGGAATTGGTTCGAAATGTTGCACAAGCTCAGCTCGGAATGGATTTAAAATTAGCACATTTCATGAATTAAATTGTTGTGTGTTTTAGAATTTTGTGAAATTCAATTCCTGGCATTCCACAAACTATGCTTAACTATGTACTATGCTATGTGCTGTACATACACATGTCCAAGGGAGGAGTTATTGTGTTAGACAAGGGTACACTTCATATTTCAAATTGCTTTGCGCTTTATTAAAAGATAATTGAGTAAATAAAAATGTGTTACCGCAAAAGCGACATAGAAATGCAATTTTTTAAATGTAAACTTGCTTTAAAAATAAGGGGAAATATTCGAGTTACACTTTCCGTGTCACATATTAATTATCTTCAAAATTCCGTATTGCTCATTATTTATTTTCAACCCAAAACAACCGAAAACTTTTCTCAAGCTCCGAAAAAGTCGGTTGTTTTCTGCTGGGAACAGCGAGATTAGATCGAGAGGGCATTTCTCCTCCAGTGCGACGTTCGAATGCATGTTCTTCGCATGGCATGGAGAAAGAGATGAAAATGAGGCAATTTTTCAGTGGCATTTATCTATTGGGATTGAAATTTCCGGCAAGTGAAGAGGTCTTTTGGAGTAATTGAAAGTGTGTTTCATAAGAAATTGGTTCAGCTGCAATATTCTGAACAGACGCTGGGCATCTCTCACTCTCTTTCTCTCTGGAGTCGGATTACATCGCCATGCGAGGTCCATTGAGATTTAATTTTAGACATTGAGAAGTGCAGGAAATTCCGCAACACTTCTTGCAAAAAATGCCCACAGAATTTCCCTCTTCTGCTGAGAATCTGCACCAGACATGAAAGACGCTCATTGTTCTCGCGAAGACACTCAAAGATGAGCAAAAGATACGAGGGCGCCTCAAGGAGGAATTTCAAATGTCCAAGGAAAAATGTTATTCAGCAATCGCGCGTAAATGATTTGTTAACACGAATTGGCGTCTTGTTCATCGTAAGAAAGCATTTGTGAAAGGCGCGCGATTTTGTGCCTTTTCCCCGTTTGTCTTCTTCAAAAATTGAATAAAAACACTTTTTTTTCACCAAAAGTCAAGACTCTTTCCTCAAAACATTAAATCATATCGCTTTTTACAATGAAAAAGAGCGCGACTTTTGGCGCACACAGAAAAAGTTAGATATTTCTGTGAATTTTTAATTTGATTGCAATCTCATGATTTCAAACATTGAATCACAATGAACTTTCATTTGAGGTATAATAAATAAAGTGGTTTTTCTTTACACTTGTGCGCTGTTTTGATAATCCGGTCAAATATTGAATTAAATTGAGAGGCATTTTGTGTCGTGAATATCAAATAAATTTGTGATCTCTTCCTTATATTTTAACCTTTTTTTTTGAACAAGCTTTGGGGACATCATATCTAAATGCAAATTCCCAATATATCGTTAGAGTGGCCATTAAAGCGGAAATTCTAATTCTTTGGACGCTCAAGTGCCATTCAAAATCCCCAAGTCACAGAGAAGACTTTCAATTAATCTCCATGGCATAGAAGAAGAATGGCCGAAAAATGAGCCACGAACAAGGTCAAACCAGTCGCTTTAAGCGGAAAATGTCCAACGGCAGCAAAAAAGGCGATCAGTATCTCTAACATTTAAACATTTATTTCTCCATCTCATGGGTTCACATCAAGTGCAACCACAAGGAATGTAACATGACACTTTACTGGGCATCAAAACATTTCCCATTTACTACTAAAAAGAGCCGGCAAAAGGGGCACTTTAGAAACTCATTAAGCTAGAGGCGGTTGATTGATAAATAATATCTCCTCTTTCATTGATAAAGTTTGGCTGGCAATCAATAAAAAATTTACGATAAATGCTGTGGTCCTCAACAAAGGCCAAGGCGCAGAAGCTCTCGTGAGAAATGTACAGCAATATTAATGAAATTCTGACCAAAATGTCCCACTTAAGATATCGTCAAATATGCGAATTTTTAATGTAACTTTTTCGTAATCAAGTTCTCACGCATTAGAATTGTCATACAATCTGCGCTGGATCATCTCTTCCTCATTTATGCAAGACAAAAAACTGTGTTATGTCTGAAAGATGACTCTGTCTTGTATTCCGGGAGCGAAAGATTGGGCACAAAGCGTGTGCGATATGTTAAAGAATGCCTATTTTGACACCATCACGGATATTTTATTCATTTGACATGGTTCTGAAGGAGTTGTCAAGTGACTTAATTCAATGAATCTTGACTGAGCCACCTTGTGATTTTTTATCTCGCATTTTGACTCACTTTTTCGACTTACGCTTGCATAGTTTTTCGGTGGAGAAATTGGTTGATATCTGAGAGACTGAAATTAGAGAGTCACACCTTTCATTATGCGATGCGAAGGGGCCAGAAATATCCGACAACAGCTTTATTTATAGCTAATATCTTGCGTGTACTGAGTTGGAAGACAAATGCGTGGAAAGATGTCACAATTGAAGGAATAAAACCAACTGCTGCACTCAATTTAACGACCCCACGAATGTGGAACACATCCTAAAAATGCCTTGAGCAACAAATTGCTGGTGCCTAAAAGTTGAATAGCATTGCACAGACAGTCAATTGCTCATTGTGCAATAATGCCGGAGCAATTTTCTCAATTTCGGAAGTCGATGCTCACATAAGAGCGAACACAATTCGAGAATCCTCCAGTGGGATTGACTCTTTGTGCGCTTTGCTGTAGATTTTCTTGGTGGAAGAAAAGCAGAGGAGAAAGTTCCGAGTTGAAGAATATAATTTTTTTACGGCCGAGTAAAAACCCACCGAAATTATTTAAAAACGCGAAAAAATGAAAAGAGAAGAGAAGTGTGTGGAATTATTACAAAACATCATCCAGTTCATCGACATACAAAAGAGTGCCTCAAATTGTGTGTGGTTGTCTGGACGACGAGGCGGAATATTGCATTCTTCATCGGTGGTTCTCTCTTATGGTTGGCACCAAAGAAAATGCCTCAACTTCGTGCTTCACTGCCTCCAATATTACCATGTTTTCCCCTCCCGAGCCCGCCAATCATTCACCATCGCTGAGACTCTTTCTCTTTCTCCGGTCGCCATACGGCAAAAAGAGGCCTTCATCTTTAGCATCATCACTCCTTTGAGCCATTTGGATGATCGACTTTTAACACAAGAGAACAGTCTTTGGGCGCACACTTTTATGGCCTCGTCGCCGAGCATCTTTCATCATACGAGAATAAAAGTTAAAT